CTAAAACTAAGCAAAATCCACTCTTTCGGTGTTCTCAAGAAGAAATCGTTATAAATACTAGAGATTGACTACATGTTTCTAAAGAGTAGATATTTTAGGTGTCTTTTCAAGGGGTACTCATCGAGTGTGAAAAAGCAGGAGCTGTAGTGGGCCAAATTCTCTTTACGGTTGCCTTCACGTGGCTTTTCATAATTTTTCCTTATAGTTTGATCTAATATAGTCAGTGACAGCGCCAGCTGCTGCAGAGTGGGAGGGTAATGGATGTTACCCGTGAGACCACGCCCTATTGGCCTCGTTTCAGTGCTTTGTATTTTTAGCGTTGTTTATTGGCGCCATATTGAATTACAAAGTATGGTCAAAAACAATTTTTTTGACATTATTAGAGATTGGGTACTTGCTTCTCTCAAGTATATACCAATTCGTCGTTTAGGAAATTTCTCCGAACTTCATTATGTACGACATTTTTATGCTCAGATTTGGCTTTATCATCATAATTTTAGGCTGGATACAATTTCTTCATATTGTTTGTGCTTGTATTGTAGATTTAATGCAGAAATGAGGCTGTAAGTTGAATTGGTGTATTAGGTGCTTCGTCTAATTTGTTTAAAATAAGAATAACTTCGCGGGAAACATGTCTAGCCTCAGATAAAAAAATTTGAAAAATGAACAATATCTGTTTAGAGATTTGAAGATTTAGAGGAAAGATGTTATCAGCAAATTATTTAGTGGTCTTAGAAAGAATTCATAGTATAAAGATGTGGAACACTTAGTGAAGATAAAAACATTTTTATGGCGCTATTTGATGTTCTCGTCTATTTTGTTGAGATAATAGAAGCCAAAACTATTTGCGGTAGATTCTATGCTATTGGCATTTTTACTAACCGTTCAGTTATTTTGTTATTTCATATTTTATACTGGGAACCATAGTTATTTCATATTTCAAAACCAAAAATTCTAAATAGTTATATTTTCTCCCCGAAAACTTAAATTATTTCATATTTCAATTTCCCTTTATAGGACCTCTTAACTTCATTGCGGATTGCGGCATTTAGTTGATTTTTGCACGGTTTTGCGGCTTGTGCCCCCTCCCCCTATAATAGGCCCCCTTTAAATTACCAAAGAAGTAATAGCCACCATCGCAATTTCAGCAACCAAAATAGCCACAATTTTAGCAACCATCGTCTCAAAAATTTTCCTCGGACCACTTGCTTTCTATCTTTCGTTTTGACCCGGGCCTATAAATCCTGCCGCGGCCCTGAGTATTGTGGTAGTTGTTTTGTGCGAAGTTTGTATGTTTCGTCTTCTGAGCAGCTACGTCGTAGTCGTAGGGCAAGACTGTATGGGATTGACTGTTTGGTGTGTTTGGGGTGTGCGGAGGTGCTGAGGAGATACTGGTGTGTGTCTGTGGCTTTGACATAAAGATCTGTGGAGAGGGTATTGTTTTTGTTAATGGAAATTGTGAGGTCGAGGAAATGTATCGATTGTTTAGATTGTTCACTGGTGAACTTAATAGTGGGATGGGTGTTGTTAAGTGTATTGATGAAGTTAGTGAGTTTGTCTTGTCCTTGCGTCCAAATCATAAAAATATCGTCAATGAAACGCCACCATACAAGAGGTTTGTACGGGGCTTTCTCCAGGGCATCAGATTCAAAGGTCCCCATGAAAAGGTTTGCATAGGGTGGCGCCATCCTTGTTCCCATTGCTGTACCATGTTTTTGTAGAAAGTGTTGTCCGTTAAACTCTGTTGTTTGTCAAAATAATGTTGATAAGTTCGCAAATAGTTTCTGTTGGGGGAGTTTTAGATGTGCGTTTGTTGAGGTGTACCCAGTGGCGTACCCAAGGGGGGAATGGGGGGACCCCCCCCCCACTTTTCTAAAATATGGTCCTCGAGATTTGTCCAAAAACGATGTAAAACTCATTGGGGGGGGGGGGGGAGTTTTCNTCATTGGGGGGGGGGGGGGTAGTATACTGTATGCTTGTGTGAATAACAATTGTAAAATGCTTTGCTATTTACCGTAGCTAACATGAATAAAATAGTGGGGGAAAATTTGCAAAAAGAGCGTTTCCCCGCATTTGCGAGTGTTTGAAGGGCGTGGTCCAAAAAAATTTCTGGAGATTGCACCCCAGACCCCTCCACTCCTGCAGCCCTGAGTACGCCACTGGGTGTACCCTGGCAGCTTTGATGCCTTCTGTGTTAGGAATATTGGTGTAAAGGGATGATACATCGAGGGTGACGAGGAAAGAGTTATTAGGAATTGCAGAAAAAGAACAGCGTTTGTTAAGGAAATGTGTGATGTCTTTGAGGTAGGATGGAAGTTTGGAGACCAGTGGGTTTAGGATGTCACTGACGTATTCTGAAATGTGTTCTGTTGGGTGGCCATTGGCTAAGACTATGGGTCTGCCAGGGGGGTTGTTGCGGTCCTTGTGAATTTTGGGTAGAATGTAAAATCTAGAGCATGTGGGTTGTTTGGCTGACAGGTAGGTAAAGTTTCTTCGTCAATATGGTTATTGTTTTTCATCAGTTGCAAGTAATTGGTCACTGTTTTTTTAACTTTATTAGTTGTGTCTTTGTCTTGTTTAATGTAAAACGTTGTGTCGCTCAGTGTTCTAACGCATTCGTTTATGTAGAACTGGTTGTCCATGACTACAACCTCCGAGCATTTGTCAGCGGGTTTAATTACAATTTCTGTACGTCTTGTAAGATTTTGCCGTACGTTCCGTTCGGTGTGAGAGAGGTTGCCTGTTATTTTGGTAGGCTGTATGTTTCTAATGTCATCCTCGATCTTGTTGATGTATGTGTCTAGTGCTGGGTCTAGCCCTCGTGGGGGTATCCAGTTGCTTTTCTTTTTGTATTTAAATGTCGGTTCGTCGCATGGAGAATTTCTGTTTTCAGGGTCTTCGGTTTCGTCTTTGTCATTGTTGTGGAAGTAACGTTTCAGTCTTAGTCTGCGTTTAAATTCTGTAAGGTCTGCGTTAAGTTCGTTCCAGTCTGTTTTGTGGGGTAGGGCAAAAGTTTAGTCCGAGTGACAGTAGTGTCAGTTCATCGTTCGAGAGGGGGAATGTCAATAGGTTTATAACAGTGCTAGTTTCAAGTGGTTGTATCTTCTGTCTGGGGCGTATTTTGTTCTTAGGTCGTCTCAATGGTGGTAATAATAATGATGATGATGATGGCGAGGGTGAAGGTGGTGTTGGTGGTGATGATGATGATGTTGATAAGCAGGTGTTGAACTGAAGGTTGTGTTTGGCGAGGGCCGAAGTGTTGTTGGTATTAAAGTAAGAAAGGGAAGAACGTGGGAGGGATGATTGAAAACGATGGTATAGTGTGGGAGGAGTAATGAAGTTGTGAATGTTGTTGATGATGGGAAGTAGTGCAAAACGACTGTGATTTGGGTGTTTTGCAAATGTGGTTGACGATGGTTGTGGGACGGATTACATTGAATAAAATTACTAAAACTTAAATAATTAGATCTAGCATTTTGAGTCTTGATAAAATAAGGTTTATTAACAAAACTAGCGTCAAAATTAACGTCTCTGGTAATTTTACGTGATTCTATAGATTCTAATTTACGACGGAGGTTAGAGGTAGTGTAGAATATATTCTGTCTTATTGTATTAAATAGTGCATGATCACAAGTTACGTAATGGTTGTACCATAAATCTTTGAGCCTTGACTGAAGTTCCATAATTGAAAGTTTGTGATTCTCGATAAGGATGTGAAGCTTAATTTTGGAATGATTGTAGTTATTATTTTGCCAAATAAATCGGAGATGCGGATGAAGAGAAACACTGGGCGAGAGTTTTATTTGGAGTCCTTTAGGGATTTACCCAGCGAAGCTTGAGTGCCAAGAAAGTTCAGATGGTGTAAATGTTTGGTGTATTTGATTTCGGTACGACGGAGAGAGTTCAGATAGTGTCTTTGTTGACTATTGAGGTTGTTGCAGATAGATGGGCCGGGATCGAGTTCGATATCCATGCAAATAATCAGGTAAATAGAAATAAAATACGTATATCTAAGTGGCATAATTAAGGCGATAAGAAAAATAGTGTTATGCTTCTTACTAGTTGTATGTGATTTTAATTCTTGTACATCATCGTTCTTTTGATTAAAACGAGTGAAAAAACCAGTACGTGTTCTCCACAATAATAGATCAATACCCATTGTGTTAGCTAATGTTGATGTACAGATCTGCTACGTTTGACGAAAAAATCTTGAACTGTATCCTAAGAACTGTGAGTGTGCAAATAAAGGAGAGGCCACGATAGCAGGCTGCTCTATAACTTTTAAAGATAAAACCAACGCTGAAATTTTTAAGGACTTTTACAAATCTAGCTCCAGTTTTAGTAAAGAAACTTAAGCCGTCCCACATTGACTAGACAAAGTAGGACAGTACTACCAACACTTGAATCTTTCTTAACCATTTTCACTACTTCCCACATCATCTGAGAATGTCCCCAAACTCTTAGAAAAGATAAACCCCTCTAAAGCAACTGGTTTGGATAACATTGCAGGGAAACTCCCCAAAGATGATGCAACTGCTCCAGTTGAACCATAAATTACTTATTTATGTAACCTCTCAACCCAACATTCCGAGTTTTTCGATGACTGCAAAAAAGCCAAACTAAAACCACTTTTAAAAAAGGTTGAAAAGTCAAACTCACAAACTACCGTCCAATTTCTTTACTACCGCAATAAATAAAAATTACTGAAAAAATCATTCATGGTTTTAAGGAAGCTTTCAGTTAAGGAAGCTGATCATCGATAAGATCATCCTCATCGTCATAGCAGAGGTGACTTAATGAAAAGTTTCCACTTACAGCACATAAAGGCTGACTTTGAGTTTGTTTTTACTAGATTTGGGACGATAAACTTTAAAAGATTTGAGCTTTCAATATATGTGACTAAATTGTTGATTAAATAAAAAGCACAAAAAAGACAATCCGATTAACGGAAAGCAACAAATACATCGATGAAACAACATATATAGAAAGGTAAATCATACCTTTGGCCTTCATAATAATCGAAATTTCAAAATCCCCGACATTCACGTGGCCGGTCGCCATTTTCCTGGAATCAAATGTAAACGAGGCAGTCTGGAAACAAGGCTGCCATAGTCAATCTGATTACTGGGCTTGTAAGGGGCTGCTTTGGTTCAATATCGTCATCGCTGTGGTCGCTTTATTGCTTTTCAAACTTTGACAAATATTTTTCTGTGCAAACAATACTTTTGTTGGACAAAATTGAAAAATAGCTTAGAAAAGCAAATATTTTTAATGTTTCGAGATTAAGGATGTTGAGATAATGAGATTTAAAATGTTTTCTTTTTGGAGCCATTATTGAGTGTTTCCATGCATCTTAGCCCTGTAGAAACATCTACTCCTCTAAAATTAATGAAACCAAAACAATATACTACTTTGTATTCCAAATACGGCAAGAAAAAGAGGAGCGCTAACCAATAAGATCCTATCAATTAAAATAAAGACTTTGAACTCGAAATTTAAATTTTGAAAATAAATCAAAAGTAGAGAGCACCAATCTCCATGCAGCATTGCTTATAGTTGCACAGAAAATGTAAAATATAATTTCAGTTTCCCACAAGAAGGTAGACATAACCGTCAAAGAGAACTTTCAAGCTGAAGGAACGTGTCAAGCCTATTACGTCACAGCGTCGATCTGACTGCGTTCGAATGGCATCACTTTTGAAGGTCCCTTTTTCGTGCTATCGGGCGCAATATCTAGATTAGTTCAAGTCGTAGAAAGAAACTAAAAACGGCATCTTGACAAGCGAAAAAAGCTCTACAAAATATGTGAAAATCGTTGTTCGCTTCATATGACCTTTAAAGGTAAGAGCGTTTAGACAAAAAGGTGCTTATCGCGGACCAAACTGTGTTTTTCTGATAACTAGCAAGTGAAAATGAAATCCCAAACATGAAGTATCTACGTAGAAAACTCTTATCTCGTTATCTTTATTTACTTGTGCAAGATTCTCACAGCTTTGTATCTTCGTTCCCTTTTAAGAATGAATAAATCCTTTTCTCCTTTATCTGAAATTTTACTGTGTTCCCACGACCCGAAAACACGATCTCTGAATTTTTCTTTCAGCATTTATAACTTTGAAACAGTGATATCAATGAACCAAGCGAAACTCTAACAGATTTAGCCAAATTTGCAGGCTTTAGATAAAAAAAATCCACGACTGAGAATTTAAAACTTTCCTTTTTTGTAAGTTTACACCAATAATGTTTTAGCTTATGCCCTTAAGACTGATATAGAATTATCCCTTCTCGGTAAAAGCTTCTCAAAATTCCCCTGTCAGCAATAGTTAAGAGTATTTGTAAGTTGGCAATCCATAATTGAATCTGACCGCTGCTAGCACTGATAAAAGGTTTTGCAAAAAAGTAGAGCAAAGATAGGAAATTTGAATGTTCGAGAAACCCAAAGAGTACAAAGCATATGAATGAGTTGTACTTAAAACAAAACACTTGAAACATTCATAAAATCGTTCAATTTTGATCCTTGATGATATCAATCAAGAAATCTTGAACTGAGATAGCTTTCAAAGAAAAATCTGACCAGGTTACGAGAAATTCTCATCAACCTTACGAGAACTAGAGCTTACACGTAACGAAATCTTGCCAGAGTTGATCCTTGAATTTGAACGGCTTCTTGGGATGACGTATTTGAGTTTAGAGAGGTACCATATCTTGCAGGGCAATAGAATGAACGAAAAACTAGTTTTTCAATACATTAATCATTACATTTTAGGTACATTAAAATACAACAAATAAGTTGTTAGATTACATTCAGCTTTGCGTGATAAGTTGGTGAGAAATTTACGGTTTTGCTTTGGCAAAACATAGTTTCAATATTAAGCGATAACATTCTGCAGTTAATTTGCGCAAGGCAAGTATTCTGTTGGCGTTTGTCATTACTAAGTTAACCCCTTAACGGCGATCGCAAGCGAGGCAAAGCCAAAGACAACAACAGCCAAATATATAACTGTACTGAGCGAGAAGGGCGATTGAGAATCAGATTCTTTTAAAACGCTGAAGAGCTCTTGCAGCAGTTGTTGGCTTGTCCTCAAATTGCGGCCTTTGAAACGCTTCAAGTGGACATGGTATTCGCCTTCGTTTTTCTCAGTGTCAGGATTGGTTAATCCTGCCTGGGCTGCCATGTTTAATCGCTTCAAACTCAGCTCTTGTAGAATGTTTTTCTGAATTCTATTCACTAGAAAACATGGCATTAGATTTGCGATTAAACCCAAGATCAACATCAGGCTATCAATAGCAACAAACCATATAGCAGCGTGCAGGAAACCATTAGGTGATATGAACTTCAGAAGAAATATTGAAATGGCTGTGATTGAGACAGAAAAAAGGCAGTTGAGTGTAGCACGTAAGAATCCTAAGGGCGTTTTACTAGATAAAGATAGAAACAATATCGTTTGATATACACGCCACCATGCTACAATGCCGTCCATTCCAATACAAAGCAAGTCATCACTGTTTTTCAATGTTGCAAAGAAGCGCCTCCACATTTTCAACATCACTATGTTCCACGAGGTGATAATCATGAAAGCAGCGGCAAGGGCAAATGTTACGACGAAGGAATTGATGGCTGAAAAAACAATCACCAGATCTCTCAAATATGAGGGAGAAGTCATGTTCGTCAAAGCTATGGTTTGTTTTATTGTATTTGCCGTTGTGTTCGCTACAGAGACGTTTCGGGGTTTTAAGCTCCCCAAGAACAATGGTATCAAGCTCCTGGATGCACATAATAGCAGGAATATTATCGAGAGCAACAGAAAGAGACATCTTGGAAAACAATTGAACAAGAAGATACCCTGCTCTTTAAGGCAAGTTACTTCATGTAAAGATGACAAATGGGTTTTCATAAACTCTACAGCCAGCTTCATTCCTCCTTTTCTGTCTGGTTTCCTCTTCGAGTTATCGGAAGCCTCGCATGCATAGCTGAATCTCGCTCCCGAAAAGGCATAAACCATAATTGGCGCAACAAAAAGAGTGATTAGCAGAAAGAGCAGTATAGCGGCGAAAACTATGTCGTAAATTGTCGTTTCGAGGTTAAACAAGGCGCGTACGACAGCCATTGCGATAATACTGTCCTTAACAATGCTCACCACGAGTGATGCAAGAAAGGAAATCATCAAAACCCTTACTTTCTTTTGTTCTCTTTTCGATCGACCAGCATTTGGAATATAGATACATCGGATGAAGATTCCTCCAGCAATGGTAAATACGACTGATGGGAGTATGAAAAATAATAACAAGATAACAGCCGTCTGCCATATTCCATCAAACCAGGGGTCATCGGTCGCAATTTCGACAAAATAGAAGGTCGTATCTTTGGCACACAAAACAGGCTCTTTTGTGCTCTGTACACGTGCCTCTGTTACCCACGATGCTTCTTTTTTCTGCATTCCGGAAAAGCTTGTTTCAAAAGTTGGCGAGGCCGGTGATGTTGGTGTCGAGGACAGGCGTTGTCTCTGGTAGCTTTCTTCGTCAGGAATGAAATCGTTTTCGATTACATCTTCAGGAACTGATGAGACCGACTGGTAGACCCTCCCTCGTCTCACAGCAACTTCTGTTTGGTAATCTGGGCTGGACGGGCCACTAATTAAAGGTGTTGATTGACTCAACCTTCCATGTACTTTCAATTTCTTCTTTAGAGACTTCATTTTTTCAAGCTTCAAGAATGATCAGATAAACTAAACTTACGCCATTATAAAAGTACTTCCATTTCCATTGTTGTGAATATTTCTCCTTCTCATCAAGACTTTCATCCTTAGAAAATGTGCTGTTTGTTTGTTACGTCTGACCAGTATTGAGACGTCCAAATTGAATCAATGGGACTTCACGAAGTTCTCAGCAACGAACTGCAGGATTAGATGAGCTTTATGAAAGTAATCCGCTATTCTTGTTTATTATCTCGACATCCCCATTGCTGCTATCTGCATGCTCCAATAGGTTTCGAAGTCTGAAGAAGTGTGCTGCTATGTTTGCAGTCGATTCTTTCTAAAAGGGCGGATTGCCTTCTTAAAAGGCGGCTCGTTTTCTTTATTCAACTGACTGATCAGAAAGACATAATCGTTTGATCAATTATCATTGTCTTTTCAAACACTGTTGCTAGGGAAATTTTGTCTCTTAATAAAGATTTCATGATGTCTTTTGGGCATTACACTTAAAAATTTCCCCGAGAAACAGTAGAATTGCCACTAACTGCTTATAGTCAAACCTTGTTTACAGCGTAATAACTGGGGTCGATTTTACATCAATGAGTCTTAGTGAAGGAGAATTTGTTCTAGATTTGGTTAAAAGTTTGACTCTTTTAGAACCGGTATTTGTTAAAGCAGACACGGTATCTACTATTCATGGTTTTTCGAGAACTTAGGAACACAATTCAAATAGAGTTTGACAAGTAAACGTTTCTGCTACCCCGTTTTAACCAAGCACTCTTCGCTAAAAAAAGAAGTATTCCAAATGCTATGTAGCTGTTAAAAGAGAATCGTGAAAATCTTAATTACACCAGTGTTGTTGTTTTTCTGTCATTAGTGTTATTCAACCAAGGTTAAGTTTTCAAGGGAGGTTTCCAGTGGGGCCCGTGTCCATTGTCTTAATAAAGAACAAGAGGATTTATATAAGACAAAGGAAGGATTTATATTTTGTTACCATTCATTACAAATTGGTGTACTTCCTTGGGCTGTAGCCCCCTGTTGGTACCTGTTCTAAAAAACAAAATGTGTCGTTATAAACGGGGTGTTATGATGTAAGACAACGGTTGGTTGTACCTTTTAACTGCATCTGCAGCTCAGGGATGCCGGAACGACCTAGGGGCAAGGGGGCAGGCTTGAGTAAAAGGGCATTTGAAAAATAATTCCCAGCTACCAACAATTTTTTTGTAAAATCGACTAACTTTTGGCATAAGAAATTTATTTGCAAAGTTTTGAGAAATGTCGCAATGAATAAGGCAATCAAAATTTCATATGAATCTTCTGATAACTGCAAATGACTGATGTCTAGGGCCTTTATGTGAAAAAGACACTTTGGCCCCTTTTGCCTCTCCTATCAAAAGGCAACAGGGGTGGTTGACCCCCCACACCCTCCTCTCTGGCGTCACTGCTGTAGCTACAGTAGAAACCCGTATAAAAGAACCTGTTTTTATAAGAACCTTGAGGCTGAAATTTAATCTTTTAAACCCCATAATTAAGAACCCCCAAAAGGCTGTAATTTGGAAAGTTCTTTTATGTATTTTTGAAAAGGTATTTTTACACCCTATTCACACTGGCACTTAGAGTAAATTAGGTCATGATATGTTAAATTTTAATTGGACAATCTAACAACACAAATTCATTTGATTAGCTTGAAATTTAACATGAAAAAAAAATGGCTGGTTTATGTGTGTCCGTTAGAATCCTTGCTGTGGAAAACATTGTTAATGTGTGCAAGGCCTGTACGTATATAAGAGCCTTGTTAAGAACCTTTAAGACTGGAATTTAGAATAGCAGCCTGTTAATTAAGAACCTATTCAGGCTGCCAGAAAAAAACCTAGGTTCTTTTATGCGGGTTTCTACTGTATTATAGATAACGGAGAGTTGGGTATAGGTCCGAATGCAGCTGCATTGATATGGTGCGTGAAAGCTGATTCAAGGCAAGAATGCCTGCATACCCAATCATAAGAGGGGCATCGTAATATAGACGAATAGGTGGCAAATTGAATTCCAAAAAATGTGATTCAAGCACTGTTCTAATTAGAGGGACCAAAATTGATCCTTGCGGCGGACGGCTTCAGTCACAGGGAGCCGAGAAAGGCATTCACGGGAAAAATCAAAGATGGTGTCTGCTGCCGTAACAAGTGCTGCAAGTGCTCAACTGTTTAGGTCAATTTTTTTCCATTTTGCTAAATTTATGTTTATTAGTTTATTCATTTTTAAAGATAAATGCTATCTATATTATTTAAACTTGAGAGTGCCGATTTAAGTAGCCTTTTCGGTAACAAAATCTACAGAAAAGCTTCCAGACAAAAGAAGCCAAGTTAGGCCTATATATTGAAAAGCCCTATATTGAAAAGCCCTATATTGAAAAGCCCTGATATTGATGTCCACTTCGCTTAACAGATATCTCATCTACTGATTGCTCTACCAAGAATCGATTTCGTTTATTAATGATCTAGCGTTTAAGATCAGAATTATTGTTTTCGTGACTTTTTTTAATTTTTCTTATTGGCTTGGGGCTACAATCAGGATCGACCTGTAATTCATATTGTTTACAACTAGCTGTCTAAGAAAAACATCTCCCATTAAAATAACGAAAAATAAACCTTTTGAATCTATTTCGTAATTTGAATTTGTTACTACTAAACTGCTAATACAAGTTACACAAATTTTTATTTGTGCTCAAAAATAATATATAAATATATCTATTTTATAAGAAAAATAAGTTTGGGATTAGTTTTGATATTTTTTTGGTGATTTTTTCTTGTAATCTTTTAAAGTTAAGGGTGATCAGTACCTTGGTTATTTATTTGTTTTGGTAATCTTGGGCCTTGGTTTATTATAGACAACTGCTTGTAGACTGTTTCTTATTAGAGATTCACATAGGTATATGTTATATTGATGTTACTATTATTGTTTTGACTGTTGCTATTGTATATTTTGTTGAAATTGTAATCTTGGATGAAGTTACCATGAAGGAAGATACTAAGTTATTTCTGTGTAAATACTTGACAGTATACATAAAGTTTTTGTCAACAGAGCATTAATTAATGTAAAAGTTAGCTTGATATTGATTTGGCATTTGTTGTTTATCTTTTTAGGCAAGCAGAGGAACTCAAAGCTACAATTTCAGGTTTGTACTGATCAAGGCCGATCATAAACTGTATTAATTTCATAGTAATTTTTACTCATCAATAAGGGCTAGTACTTGGGAGCATTTTATGAAGGTTGTATTAACAAGAAGACAATTTTGAATTACCTAAATGTTAGCTTCCTTTCTGGGTAAACATCATGGAAATAAATTTTAAGTTGAAAAAAACAGCAAAAAAAAGTCTTGTTGTTAAATATTAAAAATTGTGTTTAGGTACAAAAAAACTACAAGAGCTAAAATATGGGCTTGCCAAATGAGTTTAAATATGAATTGCAGCCAAAGAGATTGATAGATTTATAATACACCATTTTATTAATGCCTACATGCTTACAGAAAGGAAAAACATTCAATTCAGGATCTCATTAAGTATTAAGTAAAAGGTTTCGAAAGTTGTAAGAAGAAAATATGTATTTATTCAGTTTAGGAGTCAACAGAGTTCTAATGACTGCGCAGTTAAAATTTGTCAACGGATTCTTCATAAAGGAATACTGACTAATTATTTGCTTTGAAGGAAAATATGCTGACACCACGGACCATTTTTCAGAAGAATTTGTGCAACGTAAGAAGTGAGTAGATCTTTTCTCTTATTAACCAGGCTCTTCCTTTGAATTCTCACCAATTAACTGATATTTAAGCTGTTTTAAACATAGTATAAAGAAACCAGCTGTATGGTTTTTATTATACATGGATAATGACAAGACATTTACTATTATCATGTTTTGACTCATCAAAGTATCATTGATTGACACTTTAAGTTAAGCCTTGCTTGGTCATGCTGTGATTGAACATGTTTTTTTATTACTCTTACGCTGAATACGTAATGTGGCCTAGTATTATATCCTGATTGTATAAGTTGTTTTGTTATGTTTGTTCAACTGTAGTTTATCTTTCAAAATACTCTCTGTGGAATTCTAATAGATAAAGTGATTCAATTTTATACATCTGAAGGCAGGTTCTAGGATGTTCAGCAGGTCAAAGCAACTGACAGGAGAGCATAAACTTTATCTTTTTAAATTATGTTCTTATTCAAGAGAGATGCAGTGTTTCTTGATATATGAACTGGTACAAATGGCTGGATTTTGTTAGATGTTTCTGCCCATTTTCAACAAAGGATTATGTTACTGACATTCACTGACTTGACAAATCAATTCATATTCTTTAGTATTAACTTTCAAAAAAGTTTAAACCTTTGAGCTGCAGAGTTTAAACCAGCAGAGTAAGCATGGCAACAGATCAATTACAGTACAAGTAGTACTAAAATAGTTAACCCTGTATGTTATTTTAATCATTATTGGCATACAAAGTAAAAAAAGGAAAACCCAAATTTTTATTGAATGAAGGACTTCTAGTGAACAGCTTCACTTAGGAGAAGTGTTATACACATAGCAAGGGAACAAATATGCCTACCCATTTATACACTTGCATTATACACAAATCGTGCCTACCCTTTTATACACCTAGGAATTTTTGCTTTAAAAGAAGACATTTTAGTAGAGTAATGATAATTAGATTTCCTATCAAAAGGTTTTAGACACTGAACATATTTTACCTTTACAATATTTGCTGCTTTATAATTCTTGACAAATTTTCTAGGTTTCTGAATAATTCTAAATAATAAGGGTACCGACAGACATGAAATATTTTTGTCATTCTTTGCAGCTTGCAGGAAATATACAAGACTATACTGCTTACAGATCTGCAATATGCTTTAAACAAAAAAGTAGAGTTAGAACTGTAAGTACATTTGTACTAGTTTTTATTTAGCTTATCAAAGTTTAAATGGAATAATAAGAGAAAGGGTATAGCATTTGATTAACAAATATATAGAATGGTTCCAGCTGCTCCACAGGTATGCCTGTAGCCCCTCATGTCCCCCGAAGTATGATATTAAGGCTGAAGCATGTTTTTCAGTTTGTCTAGAGCCCCCCTTGCCACTTCAAAATGTGCTCTGGCATCCTTGTGCTAGAAGCCTCAAGATGTCAGAAAGTGATATTGAATTCTGAAACTCCTCTAGTGTGTACTATGAATGGCTGATGCTGTTAACACAAATATGTATTCAAATATTATAATATTTTATAATGTCAAAACCTGTCTCGATCTTTTTTAGATGGAATAATGCATTTAAAGGCCACATTGATTATCTGAGGCAATGCTTAAAAGAGAAGCGGGTAAAAACAGTATCACTTACAACCTTAATGTTACATTGTCTCAATACTTTTTCTGACTAATATGATTGCAATAATTGAATGAAGGAAAGAACCTATCTAGTGTTCCACACTGGAACCATAATTTTAGTGACAGAAATTGTCAATCCACACCCCTGTGTATCCACTATCATTCGGAGGTATACCCAAGTTTATCCAGAAAACCTCTGAGAAAGGGATAGTTTATTTCTCAAAACCTAGGACAGTGGAACTTTGAATAAAGATTGTATTTCAAAACTTGACATAAATCACTGAAACAGGGAATTTTTTAAAAATAAATCTAGGCAAAGATTCCTCTTTGCTAACAGTATCAAAACATATGATACATGAAATCAAATGTGTGCATTTAGTTTGCCCATTGATATAATTATGAAACCCAAAGATTCTTTAGAAAGAGCACCACCTTAATTTGATTCAATACAACATTTGGAAGGTAATACTTTTGTATGTATCAGGTCATCTGCAACTTAGGCATGCCTTTTTTATTTATCACCATTCTGAACAAACCTATAAACCTATAAAAATAGAACTTAAGTGCAGTCTTGGACAAAAAAGTGTAAATGAATCATAGTGTAGCAGAGCAGGAACTCCTGCTCACTTTGTTTATTGCAAAAAAATTATAATTTTATAGTATTATATCTCAGTGAAAAGGGTATAAAAATGTCACACATTAGTAAGAGGGAAGGAGATTTTAAGATCTTTTGGACACACCCTGATCCACACATACTTAGAAGCAGAAAATTGACAAATACAGTTGCTCTTGGTTACTTGTTGAATGAGACTTAAATAGATAGCATGTTAAGTAGTTAGGTTGATGACGATGTTCTTTTATCGAGCACATATATTCCTATATTGTGTCCACATGCACTCCTTTCCAATACTTTTAGTACAATGACACTCCTGGTGTCTTGACACTTGGTTATTTGCTATTTACTCTTCAATCTCTAGGGGTCAGAAAAGGCAGAGCTGCAAGCAAAATTATGTTTTTTCATTGATTCATCTGTGGGCTTCTATCTCCAGGTAAGAAAACAGTAAATAACTTTATATTCTTTGCTTCATATATCCCTTGGTGATATAGTTAACAAAAGATTACAGCGCATTAAGAAAATAAGAGCGCAAAAATAATAAAGGTAAAGACAGAGGCCGAAATCTGATGTCATTTTTAGGATAATCCTTTTTGATATGCGATTCGATCTGTTTGTAAATATTTCACGAGCTGGATTTTATGAATTAAAGCAGGCGAAACAAAGCTGGCTTAAGAAATTTTTAAGAATTTCTTACACTTAAGTTCATTGCACAAAAACGAACAAAAGTTTATTGCGAAAGTGCTCGTAACATTTGTATTGCCGAGCCAAAACATATTGGAAACATTTTAAACCGAAAGCTTTCAGAATGTGGGAATATTCAAAACAACCTAAATTGGCAAAAACATCGCCAGAAAAGGCTGCTCGTTCCCAGTTTTCTGAGTCTGTTGTTCAAAACTTGATTACAGGGTTACCTACCCCATGCCCCCCTCAACTCCTACGTCGCGTCGGAAGCGCGTTTGGAGGTAAACCCTCTCCCTGAAAATAATTTCTAACTGATTGTAATCGTTTCTACGACGTCTTCAATGGAAAATATCAGTTCCTGCATTACTCTTGGTGCCCCTGCCCCCGACTGGAAACTTTGTCGCGCGCCCACGATATATTGCCCGCGCACTCAAATTTTCCATCCGCGCACTTTTGCATTTTGGCCACGCAAAGTCCCTTAATAACAATACAAATTTCTTAAAATTGCGTTATTTCAGGCGCACAGTCGCACAGTCGGGCGCGTGAACTTGCCCGCGCAAGAAACAAATGTTACAGTCTGGCCCCCTACCACACAGTACACTCATTCTTCGTACACAGTATCCACGGGCCCAAGGTTTTGCGACATCACAATAAGGTTCAGCCTTCCACCGGCGCCGTGATCGTATAGTGGTTAGTACATTGCGTTGTGGCCGCAATAACCCAGGTTCGAATCCTGGTCACGGCATTTTTGATTAATCTTTTTTCCCCGTAAAAAAATGCGCTGGATTTATAAATTCAAAGTTAACATCGCAATGAGCAACATTTAAAACCTCTTTTACTGGAAACCCATTTTCAATGGTTTTGAAAGTAAATTATAATTATAAACTTGCATTTTTTGCTTATTTGTAAATCTTTTCCATCATATCATCCATTCAATTAGCTATGTTCAATGTTTATAGAAAATTTCACAACTAACCGTTCGTCTTAGAAAAATTAATCAATTAATATGTATAAAAAAACTTATCGAATCCGCCTATTTTTAATCGCTATTTGTTAACATGCGCAAAATGTTTAATTTTATCATTTTAAATCGGGTGGAGTTTGGCCCATGCTATTTCGTCGACCCTTATCATTAATTTGTTTCTTACTTCTTATTAATCTCTTTGATAAAATTTATCTTTTGCTTCACATAATTCAAAGCATTTTCCACTGTAGTTGTTGCAAGAATTTTGCGATTGCTATGAACTGGAATTGCCATTCAGGACAAAAGCAATCAATTTAGGAATACTTCAAGGTAAGTGTAATCATTTTTATTTTGAAACTTCCACTTGTTATTTCAAGAGTAGCTTGTTCAAATATCTAGTACAAAGAGCAAAATAAATTTTACGCAATTGATAAATCCTGTCCTGTTATATTGACGAGGGAAACAAAAAATTACGAGATCCAAGTACCTTGAATGCCCAAGGCTCGGCAGGGGGAGGGGGCGGGTTGAGACAAGGGAACTTATCACCCATATGCCACTACAAGAAGCAAGTGTATACATTCTACATGCAACGTGCAAAAATAAGTTTGACTCCTTATTTTTTACTCACAAATATTATGTGAGCCTATATAATAAAGTATCAAAACGTTATCAAAGTTCGTTTGACCCTTTGGTACAGATTTGGACTTTTTGAAAAGCAAAACGATTGGGTTTTGTAAATCTGATTCATTGAATCATCAGAGGTGTTTTTACCAAAGAATGCTTTTAAGCAGTGTTCGATATGTTAATCGTTTGGCCTCAAGGCTCTGGAACTTCATATCAATTTTTAGGCATTCTGTGGAAGCATTCTGGTATCCGCTTAAAGTACTAACAACAAATATATTTCGTTTTAGGCCCTATTATATCAGAGTGTAAACCAGTAAATCAATTGAGGCCAAAGATCAGCTCATGTTATTACATCTCACAAGACTGTCTTGTTCACTTAGGAGACCTGGGTTTGTACAAACAACATTGTTATGACAGCAATTTCTACAATATTTTATTCATTGTTGTACTAGGTTATTTGGGAAGGGGTTAATACGTTACGAATTACTACAAGATTTGCTTTCGATGAGCAAGAAGTCGATGAGCACTATAACGTAGTTTTTACTGTTAAAACAAAATAATGATATAATGATTAAGCAACTGCAAAAATGGCAAGCAACAGAAAGACTTCCTCTCTTGTGAGCACGGCTTTGATCTCACATATCACCTGGTCTCATATCGTCTTGGCTCTGAAGTAAAGCTAGATACTAGAGTTGAAGGAATTTCTTTGATTTTAACGCGATGTGTTTTTTCAAGCTTTATTTGTGGATGTGTGATATTTATTTCCCTATACTTTCCTGAAAATTCTAACTTTCTTAGCAACTCAAATTTGCATTGCAATGTTTTTACTTTCCTCAGCACGGTACAGGAACGATGTGGCGCAAGCGGAGTCATACTACAAACTGGCGTCAACAATTATCGCTGTTAATGGTAAGTGCCTCATTTTCTGGTGTACACAGCGTCTTCGAACATCGGAAAACGCATAAATGAGGCCGATTATCATTAATATTTGCACATTATGATAATATGAGTTAAGTCAAAGACTATAAAACTTTCTAATTTGTGTATTCTAACAACTATTAAACCATAAAACTTTATATGAAACTTTCCTCACCGTGGCCTTCCGTTAAAATACTCATTCCGAAACAAGAAAAAAATATAATTTTTACATATTTAGGCCCAGATTGCTTTTTCATCAGAACAAAGACACAATATAGACAGCGTTGTACTGATTGTTATTGTAATAATACCCTGCCGTTATTTGTGAAATTGGATGACTTTGGTTCATGTTTCTGAATCTTTTCTGAACTCTACAGGTCCTTCTGTGCTACAGGTTCTGTAAAGTTTGATTCACAGTTCGTTTGGACATTTTCTTGAAGCAATTCGGCCCTTCTTCACTTCGTCATGGCTGCTGCTTGTAATTCTTCTTTTAAAAATTAGCTTTTTATCAGTCATGATTATGATAAAATGTAAACTTTCCCTTTAAAGGTCAACCCTACAACCAACTTGCTATTATTGAAAGTGCTAAAGGCGACCAACTTAAAGCAGTCTTCTATTACTGTAAAAGGTTTGTTTTTCTGCTTTTAAATTCTTCTCATTTTTTGCTCGTTATCAGTTTCTAGATAATACACGCACAAGCCTTGCTAAAAAGGTCAAAACATTGAATTTTGTATTCTTAGTCGAAGAAGCCCAGCTCTCATCGAGTTATAGCCCTCGAGTTATTTTGAGTTGCCACTCCCCCCCCCCTCTACCCCCATAAAGTTATTTAAGTTCATTACAAGAGACAGTAACATTTTAGATTAAGTATCATTAAAAAATTTAACCTGTGCATGTAAAACCCCATGTTGGATGGATTATACCCTGGATACCAGTGCCACAAAACTTTGAGTGCGTAAATAGAAAAGTGAGTGTATAAAGGGGTAGGCATATTTTTTCCCAGCAGAGGAGCGATGTCTCCATTCCTATCTTCTGTTTTCACTCTCGAATTTATGAGGCTTTGGTACCCAGAGTCGATGGATTGCCGCTTTGGGTTGTTGTGGAGAGTTGCCCGCCAACTCTTGAGATTTCGTGGGGGTTTTCCAACATGGACGTAAGGATTCTGACTACAAATTTTAATTGTAACAACTTTAAAAGACTGCATTCTTAGTCGGTAAACTTTAAATATTAGTAAGAAAATGTATAGAAGGACACAATTCTAGAGGCAAGACTCCCTCTTAGGGTCATCGTTCGTTTTGAAGTGAAATTTAAACAAGAATACTTAATTTACGGCTTATTACATAAGACTTATCAGATAGTTTATCGATTCCTAAAATTATGTCCAGAATTAAGCTATGTTAAGTATTTTTCAACTTAAAGATTAATTGTTTTTTACTCCAGTGCTCTGGTCCAAAACCCGTTCCCGCCTGCCGTATCCAACTTGCAGAAGACCCTACACCAATTCTGCACAAGACAGAACTTTAGGTATTCATTGCGTGTGTTATGCTATGAACGCTTATGATATTGTGAATAATAACAAGAATCTCATACATTTTAGCTATCATTTTTGTAAGGTTAACTCTATCAAATAGACGGCAGAACTCCTAAAAACAAACAGCAGCTCCAAGTTCACCGGCTTGTTGTTTTTCAAGAAAAGGCGCTCATACTTTAGGCAAACGATGAAACATTTAAAGGCAGTCTGTCCCCTATTGTGCTTAACCTTTTTTTCACGGGAGTGAAATTAACGCACCGTTGAGTTTGATCGATAATTAAACGATTTAAACCAGTCATTGACAGCATGGATTCCAGAGCTTTTGAATCAAATGGCTGTGTTCCCGTTGAAGTGAAGCTGTGGCTAGAAAAATTTTGTTCCCTGTTTGTTTTTGCGACAGATATGTCAACAGCGAAAGGAAATTCCTCTGTTATCATCAGTCAATTCCAGTAATTAAATCTTATTGCCATTCCCGGTAGCTTCTTGCTCGTAAAATTCAAATGTCGTCCACTAACGCAGCTAGGCCAGCCAAATCCATTCAGGCGGGAAGACCTATTGTTCATATTAGCCAATCATTGAGGGGACAGACTGCCTTTAAAAAAGACATGAACATATGATGTCCATATTTTATTTAACTCTTCTAAGAATGGTACCTGCTCGTGGGGTAACTTGGCTTGATTTCCACATATGCTTATCATCGTAATTTTTCCCTTCTTCATTTGTATTCTTGTTTACAATCAACTTAAGAAATTTTAGCATATAAGCCAAGTAATTGAAAGCTTTTCACATAATTTCTTATTACTAATATTAACTTGCATGGTCCTTGTTTAAGTTAAAATGCTTTGAAAGAAAACTAAACTGTATCCTCCTTGATTTTCAGCATTCTGTCGAAGACATGTTGCACAAACCTCGATGATCTAATTTCCCTTTATCTTCAATATCTTGGCTCCGTCTATTTAGTTCTCAGTGAGTGTTGCTCTTTCATTTTATACATATTTCTTTTTCCGGCTATTTCTTATACATTTTGTTTATTTTCAGAGATATTTTTCAATATGAAGCTAAAAACCACACAAAATCAATATCCTCATAGATGATACAAAAGTCGTGTCAGTATTTTGATGAATAAACAGTAAATTTCGGTATTGTACAGGAACTTGTGATTATCAAAATATGAACAATAACATATACTTGTGGCACATCCATTCATATCTTAAAGCAGCAATTAGTTCTTCATTTCGTGTTAGCATATGTTCTCAAATACCTTTCCATTTAGACATTGACAAAATTGGTTCTCTTCATGAAAGAATGTTGGATGATCTAGAGGTGGGTATATTTAGATGTAGCAAATATTTTTAAACATAAGATCTTCATATCTTGTCACAGACATTGAGTAAACCTTCGTTGACTATCATATCCGCATTTTTGACCTTTGCCGTGGAGGGTTATGATATGCTAAGAGATATACTTCATGTACAAGTCAAAATTATGCCTAAACCAAAATAACCTCGAGAAAATTTATAAACAAATCTTCGATTCTTTTCAAGGCCCTCAGTGATGATTTGACAAGCGATCAACTGCTGAATATGGCGCTGATAACAATATTCACACTCTACAAAAGCAAACCAAAGGAAGAAGACAGTCAAGAAGATTGCATTGCTGAAGACGAAATCGAAGTCTGGAATTTGATTTCTTCGTTCACCGCATCTTTCTATACTTTGCTGGTCACACTTGCGTCTCGTTATCAAAAACTGGATGACAAAGAGGACGAGAATAAGTTTCTGCCTTGCGTCAAAATATTATCAGACTGGATTCTGTGTTCGGGGTCTTCTATTTTGATGGAAGAAGCTTTCGATAGAAACAAAGAGTAGGCCATAATTTTAATTTATATAGTTTTATTTTTATTTATTTTTTATTTTATTTCGTCTCATTTGTATAATTGCTCAAGACCAAAAAAATTTAAAAAACCTTCTAGTCCTGATCCAAATCTAAATTTGATCCTAAAATCTTCATCTAATTTTGATTTAATTTGATTCTTTAGGTATTTGAAGTTTTCTAAAACACAAGATGAGGCCCCTTTACAAATGCCAGAAATTTTATAAGTAAAAAGAAAAACCAACCACGCTTTGAACCTTTTTGTTATTCTGGGATTATTTACATGAGAGCCAAAAGAACGTCTCTGTCCCAATCTGAGAATATTTATTTCTTTTTTCTATTTCAATTTATACTTTTTTGCTATTTTAGGCTTTATAAAAGTCTAACATTGCTTGGTAATGGATTGCTTGTTAAAGCTACGGAGATTACGTCCCCAACCGGTATGTTTTTACAACGAGATTTCAAGGATGTTTTTCTGTTTTCGTGACGTTTCTTTGAATTTATTCCATGCTGGTGTCGTCTTTTTCCAATCGGGTCAGATGGGCCAGCCTCTCAATCACTTGAAATTGACGTCAGTTTGATCAATTGTTAATTTAGCGCTTGCTCGATCGGCAGATTTCATCCCGCTCTACTGAGCCAACTCACCTGAAAGCCTGAACTTGCTCTCGGTTAATCAGGATACCGCCAATAAACATCAAATATTTAGGCGAATGAAAAATAAATGTTGCCCCTATCACAATGAAGCAAATTTACAATCAAAACTAGTACTTGCTTTGATATTACTAAGGCTTATGACAAACAAACGGGTTGTAGGCTGATATTCGAAACGAATTATGCACCCAGGAATAATCAGCGAAGCTGCCATGCCAATGTTGGATAGGCCTCTCAGAAATCAAGCGAATCGTTACCGATTTTTTAATATTCCCAAGTAAATTTAGGTCTCTAGTAGCCGTTGACACTAGGGTCAGTTACCCCTGATACCCCATTTTAGCCCCCTGCTAATTTGTTATTGATTTCAATATTTTAAGAAGTACAAAAGACAAATTTAATTTTATCAACAGCCTTGCCTCTGCCAGAAGATCGTGAAGTGCGTGGCTTCTTTCCGCTGAGAAGAATTCACAGGTTAGTTGGATCATTTCGTGTTTACTAAGACGGTTTCTTCAATTATGTAAAGATTACTTTAAAAAGCTCAGGAATGTGCCAAAGGATTTTCTTATACATGACTTGAAGAGATCTTTGGATAAATATCTCTACTCAGGATGCAGAAATTATCTTGAGCGATGAGTGACACCACGCCTGCGTGTACCATCTAACCAGCAGACGAGGTAAACAGCTTCAAATTAAACGTCTTTAATAAAACCGGTTAGGTAACACGAAAAGAGGAAAAAGTCGGCAATAATTGGGCACTCCTTTCATTAAAAAGTTAATTTATTTCGGAGGTAAATTTTAAAAAATCGGGGTGTGCGGGGTTAAGGGTAGATGGTGCAGCTTAGATACCAACTTGCTTGCAGTAAGCCAAACAAAATAGCCAGTGAAAAATATATTTCAATTCTCATGTTTTTAGACGGCTACAATTCAAACACAGTGACAAGGATTCAATCAATGTTCAAAGCTTGCGTGCGTATAGAATCATTTCCTACATCAACTGGCTGTGTCAACAGGAGCCTGCCTCAAGGTGAGCCGATTTCGCCTCGTTTTCAATTTCCCTTACATGTTGAACTGTTTTAAAAATACGTTTGTTATTTACACATATTCATTCATGCTTCCAGATACATCGCAAAAGGAGAAAGCAACGGGAATGCCAGATTTTTCTTCCTTCAGGTACTGTTTTATTAACTTTAAATAAATATATGTTAAGAGTAATAGTAATAGCGACGTCACTTTAAAATATTTGTTGCCAAACCCAAAAACCTTCCGATTAAATGACTATACAATTAGATGCCAAAGGAGAGGTGGGTGGACTAGAGCACCTGAGCTAGGCCCTTGCACGCTACACATTTAACTTAAACATACTTTCGTTAACAATCTTTTCGCAAATTCTATCTTGTCGTGGTGTCAATTAGCATCATATCAAAAAAATCTCATGATTTTTTAGTAGCAATCGCTCAATTTAGGCAGTAAAGCTTGACTTATGAACCGAGTTCTACCCATATATCTCCAACCCATCAAAATGCATCTGCATTTTAATGCTATCCTCAATTCTCGATGTTATCCACAGTCTTATTCTCGAGTTGAACAATATCATATTTTTTGTTTGAGCAGGAAGACCCCGTCAACGATAAGCATTCGCCTAAGGAACTGAAAACGAGCACTAATGATTTTGATGTGGCGGTCAGAGAGCTATTCGATGCGTTGCCGGATCTCCAGGGGGTATGTTTGGCGTTTTGCAATTGTCTTCTTTCCAACCATTTCTACCTAGCATCCGAAGGTAGTTTTTAGGACACTGAGAAGCTTATGCTTATCGAGCAGAGTTTCCTGGTCCTTCCTCTTGATGTAACCACACCTCATGTTTCCTGCGCCTGGAATTACAGAGAGCTGGCGACTCTCCTCACGCTGGGTGAAAGTTTGGTCGTGCCAGGGAATCTAACCACGGACCCTTAAGCTGAATTCACACTGGACGCGTCACGGCGCGGTGCGTCATGACGCTGACCAAATATGGTTAGCACTTTCGGCAGCTATGCGCACGCAGCGCGTTTTTTCAGCCACGCGTCACCGAGCGTCAAAGTTAAATAAATTTAACTTTGACGCTCGGTGACGCTTCAGAACAATAGAAAACCTAGAGAATAATGACAGCCAGAAACGTAAACAAGGAGTTTCTGAAATAGGCCATTATAAAACTGTATTGCTTGTACGGTAGAATATACTTTGATGAGTCTCTCTGATTAAAGCATCGGGGGGCTAAATTCTGAAAGTAACAAAAACAAATCGCATTTATATTAGTTCATGATAAGTAACAGTATCATTCGTGTTTAGAGTCTCTTCGATGATATAAAGTTGCCTCGTCTATTCAATTCAACAATGATGTTGAGTCATTATATGTTCCGTTTTGGTAAAAAAAAATATTTCAATCACTCCCCGTTAAGCTTTCAATACCTTCCAAAGGTTTACTTCCGAGGGATTTAATACATGGAAATTTTGGGGAGTGTTGATAAAAATAAGGTGTTTAATTTTCCCTCGAATTTTGGCAGGAAAGGAAACCCCATGAATCCGTAAAGCCAAACATTTTGCTAATTGTAGTAAGACCTTCAAAATCTTTAATATCAATAAATATTTCAGTTCTCTAATGAATGCTTGAAGAGAATCGTCTTCCTGTCAAAACATTGGCCAACCTCTCGAACCGAAATGTCGAAGAAACCGCACGAGACTAATTGAAATACATAGAATACCTCGATGCCAAGATGACGATTCAGGCCAAGATGCTGTTTTTGATATATTAGCTTCAGATTACCGTTTTATCCGTTTCTGTAGCAAACTTAAATGTCCGGCTTGATTTTACAATGCAAAGAAACCAGTACAACTTGTCGAGAATTTTGCAAGTTTGCTGTGAACAGTATTGGAAAACAGAAAACGCGCTGCTCGATGACGCACCGTGTGTGAATAGCATGAAAAAGTGCATGACGCGACGCTCGATGACGCTCAGTGACGCGCCGCGCCGCGACGCGTCCAGTGTGAATTCAGCTTTAAGTCTGTATTCAGCGCCTCTAACAACTGAGCCATCCTCATTTCTAACCGTATGCCTCAAGTAACAATACTTTTAAATAACATTCATATTTTGATGGAATTACTAGAAAATTAAAGCAAGAAGCCACCAACATATTATTTTCCTTCAAGCTGGCATCATCATAGTGGCACTTACGTAATTACTGTGTATGGCAGTTTCAAGGTGTACTGTGTATGGCAAAAAAAATAAAAACGTAACTGTAAAGGTAAAGTTACATCGCCGCTGGACCATCTTAGAAAGTATAACCATTTTCACTTAGTGTGATAATGTGGTAGCTAATTTTAAGTGGTTGTTATTTTAAATAAGGGTATTACCATATTTAAGTGTCAAAGTTCTGAAAGCACCAAACATCTTTTGTAGAGAACCCATCAAGCACGAAGCAAATCTCCGTTTAGAGAGACAAGGTTGGTACATTTATGTCAAAACTCATCTTAAGAGCTGCTTCTTTTATTTATTGATAATAGGCCTAATTCAGTCGTTTTTCGTGTAGCAAATCTTTGATGTAACAGGCCAAGTAGTGATCAAGTGATTATGATTGAGATATAAATCATGGCAGCACTTCGATTAAGACTGCGAATGATTAACTCAATCTTATTAATTATTTCTAGCCGAAGTCCTTAAACTTAAATGACATTTATTGCTTGTTTAGATCTTTGTTCAGAACTGATTCTGAAGAACAGGGAATCAAAGACGTCCCTGTGGTATCTGGTCCTGTTGCTTCGTATTCATTGTTCGATTCGCCGTGGAGTGTCCCTTTGAACAGGTCTCCAACCAAAGGTATCTGTTACTGACCTTACTTCTATTTACCTATACCATTTTGTTTGCTGGTATTTTCAAATTAAATACTGTAGGGAGGTTATTTCAAGCACTTCGGGTAAAAGGCGAAGGATTATTGTCAAATCAATGGTGACACGTGACGCATTTCTACATCCACCTTTCTATTCGCTGTTTACATCTTTGTTTTATTGTTTTTTGGTACATTTCAGCCATGGAATCTAGTTACAGTATTTTTTAGAAAAAAGCGTCGTTGTAACTGTACCTTAGATTGCAGTGCTTTGTTTACCGAGGTTTAATCTACCTCCCTAAGCTGACAATGAATTATGACTTTCAGAGTCGTCATCAGATGAGCCAGGCTATTCGGAACTGTTTGAAAAGCTAACCCTGGATGGTGAGGCCAGCCCGCAACCATCAGCGTTTGCTGGTAGCGAAGTAGAAGCTATAACAACATCAGAAATGTTCCCAAAATCTACAAGGTCTGTAAACATCGGAGTATTCCCATCCTCGGCCACGTCAGCTAACGCACAGTCGCGCCATCTTCACGCTAAGCAGCGAGACAACCGGCCTCTACCCTCTTCTCCAATGGCAAGTCAAATCCCAAACCACCCTATACAACAACAGCTAACAAGAATTGCCATGAACAACCCACATATTGCACAGTCTAGTTTCTACGGCCAGGCTGTTGGCCCTAACAGAATACCAGCTCGTGTCGAGGGGCCAGTCCTTCAGCAAAATCATGTCGGAATCAACAATGCGGGTATAGCCATCAATCAACACCCTTTGTCATTTGTTGGGCCAGTTCCACGTGTACCAATAGCTGTGCAGCAAGGCATGTCCCACCCAGGACATTTTCCAGCTTTTGTGCCACCAGTGGTGCCAAATGGTGCAGTGTTTGGGGCTATTGGTCAAACCCCGCGGTCGCAGTATCAAAACAACCAGGGCCATATCCACCAGCATCCTCCAAATACAATCAATTTTACACCCCCTGAATCACCTGGCCTTTCTCGGAATTCGCCACAAGGAAACCAGGTAATATTTATTTATTGATAAGTCAAGATAAGATAAGATAAGATAAGATAAGATAGATAAGATAAGGCAATACATGACAGCAACTTATGGCTTTGATTCGCAATAGCTCTAAAAACAATCATTAAAACATTACGCGACCTCAGAGCTGATTACAATATCATTTGTTACCTGTCCTGAAGGAAAGGTTTCTTACTTTCATCTGATCTATCGTTATCCAAATGTGAAGCAATAATTAAATAAGGGATTTTCAGTTGTTTCGATCATTGTAGCATTTCTGATTCAATCACCCCTGTAATTTTAGCCATTTTTGTAACAGATTTTAGTAAGCAGTCTCGGGTCAGCACCTCTAACCGGGGCCTCTATTTCAATACGTTGTTTTACATTGTGGGAGTAAAAGGGTTAGTTTTCATTTGTGGCTAAGCAGCTCTTTTCCGTTTAGTCAATATGGAGCTCAAATTTTGGATTTGGCCATGGTGCAATGTCCCCGTTGGAACAGTTGTTAAGTGACCAAAAGAGGACCCAACAGCCACCAGTGCACCGGAAACCAACGAAGTGAAATTCTTGGAAGGGAAAACCTCATCAAATGCTTCCTGGCATCTAATTGTTGAGACATGTGTCTCTTGCTTTCCTGTGGAATTTATCTACAGCCATTAACCAAGGTAGTAGCTTTCTGCTACGAGGTTCGAGGTGTTTGTTGCCTCAATGAGCACTAAGTGAGCCGTAGCGACGTGGTTTTAGTGCATTTTCCAGTTGATAGGCACTGTTTGTACGGGCAAGGTTTAACATCAACTACAATAGTTTCAATTTGACTTGATGATATATCAGAAGAAATTTCTGGCTAGCGCCATTATGAGAAGCATCATATTGATAAAGTTTAATTGCAGTTTCTGTGGATTGCCACCAGTTTTATGGTTTGCTTTGTTAAATTGAATTCCTTGGAAAACGTCTGGTAGTTTATGAAGCTGAAATGCCTAGTGTTAAACGTGGAAAGACGTTCGTTGTCGCTTCCACTTTCACGTAGAATGTATCATTTAATAACTCAGTTCAGATTTAGACTTTGAAATGTACCAGTTGTATTTTAATGTACCCTGAAAAATGGTAAACGAGCTGAAATTTTTGTGTTTATCGTTAGTTTGTTTTTGAACTCTGAAGTTATTATTAGCTTGTCAAGGCTAGGAATCCGACAAAAAGAGCACTTGAACTTAGAGCACTATCCCAAACTAATTCTGTAGTACCACCGTCATCACTTTACAATTGCCATTGCTTCGGTCTGACTGATGAGATTAGACCCTCTTATAACAAATTCAAATGATCGAGGGTCTGTTTGTTTAATTTTTGATTTGATAAATACTCATAATAAAGTTTAATTCTTACTAATAGAGAATAGAGTATTTCACAGTTAAGCCCCGCAAGGATAAGATTACGAAACAAAGTGCGAAAAATAGGAAATTAAGTAAGCAACTTATTATTGAGGAAAGTTGAATGGAAGTTTTGTTGAGCATGTTAACGTTGTGGAATAGCAATTGTCACTTAATTTAGGCTTTGAAGCTCTGAGATGTAATCTGGTTACTGCGCAGGATCGTAGTGACTTAAGTTGTTGAAAACACTAGCCTCATATTGCTTCCTTCTAGCATCCCACATGGAAGTATAATTTGAAAACCGTAGAAGAATTAAGGTATTAATATCAACAACATTTAAAATATAACAGATTGTAATGTTTTTTTCAAACGCTAAGGATCATTAGTAAGACCAATTCCTGTAATAACAATAGAACTCACTCATTCACAATTATTGTAGCCTTAAACCCCCGTTATGCCTAGCCCTGGAGACTGCAAAAATGCTTAACTGTTCTATGCAAGTGGTCTGCCTTTTAGGCCAGGCACGTTTCATGGTTTGTGAGTTATAGGATGAGTAGTAATTATGCCACAAGCATAATTTGCCTTTCATCCAGACATCGTTTACCCATTTTGCCCCTAGAACCCCCAAGTAGCCCTTAAAATGAATGACTAGGTTGTTCATATCTGTTTTCTATATGTTTGTTGATTTTGCAACATTAAAAGCAATAGCAGTAACTGTACTTTTTAGAAAAAGTGAATACTAGATTTTGTAGATTTAAGTCCACGTACTTAATTGTTTCAAATTGCCAATTCAGTTTTAATTAATAAGATTCACTGTAAAAAACAAACCCAATGAATTTGATTTAGCAACAAATGACATTCGTTTTTCATCTTTTGTTTTCTGGTATGGCCTGATCCAGTGTCCTCAGAATGAAATTCATATGTGCAGGGAGGGGGGGTGGGTGCTGCCTGTTATATTGCTTCCTATTCAGTACACTTTTATAACGAAAATAAAGTACAGTTTGATAATTATTGGGGGCTCCAGCACCCTAGCCCCCATTTACGTAAACTTTGTGATCACCGGTCTTGTGCTCAGTTTTGAAACTAAAATAGTTTCTGATCGGAATACATTTCTAGATATGAATAAGAGCGAATCTGAGATGGGAACTACAGAATCTTTCGCCAGTATTCTTTGTGATATTGGTGATTTGTGATTTCTTTTATTACATCATTACTTTCTTTTATTTCAATATTTATGGCTAAGATATTGGTTTTTCAGATTTTACTTGGTATATCATACATAAAAGAAATTACTGTCAGTGGTTACTACGAATATTAAAAATTAATAAAGTTAAGTCATGATTTTGATTCCATATTGGGTATTTATTAGTACGATATTTGTTTTGACTATGAAATTTAAATTATACAGAAATTTTTAAATACTTGACAGGTCTAACTTAAATTTGTTATGACGTTTAATATTGTTTAAATTTAAGCATATCGTCCACATAAATAAGACTTTAATGTGAGATAAAAGAAACGTTTCGTACGCGGCTTCCAATTAAAAGATTGACACCTGTACCTTAGTTTGGCGATAATTAAAAGAAGGAGTTGACTGATTGAGACTGGCTGGCTTTTTCATGAAGACAGAACTTCACTAAAATCGCAGGTGTGCTTTAATTATGCCTAATTTGTACGAAAAATCTACAAACACGACGCAGTAATCTGAACACAAATTCTTCGTTGGTGAAGGACATTGTCAATACAATTCTAGAAACGATTAAAAAAGTACCTACCACTGCTTTTTAAGGTACCTCTTTTAATGACTGCTCGTTCTATATCTTCGTAGCTAGGCAGCTGTGATATATCTCCTATTGCAGCTACACAAGGTTTTTTATCAAGCATCTTTTGAGACACTGTGCGGATATCCTCTGGTGTGACAGCCTCTGAAAGGACAAATAACATTTTACGTATGGCAGGAATGACAGAAACCCAATCAATCAATCAATTCGATGAATCACTGTAACAAATCACTCTAACCAATCAATCATAAAGGATGACATTTTTAGCAATTAAGAAGGCCAATGGAACAATTTTTTTGGTAAACTTCAGCCCATGGTCTCAAAATGCCCGCAAAGTCAACACAGGAAAACAAAAACAGCGATTTAATCTGTGCATTTAAGATCTGCAATTAACTTTCCTACAGTCCATATGTAAAGTCTCTGGACCATTCTACAGTCAATGAATGGTTCGGAAAAAACCAAAACCGCAAGATAAAGAAAAACTTTCTTCCCCCCTATCTCCCACCTATTGTTTGACAAGGATATTACTTACGACTATCCGAAAAATTACATTTAATTTTGTGAAACTGCTATGAAATTGCGGCTGCAGTATTTAATGAAGGAGAGGAGATGCCACTATAAATATGCGAATGTTAACGCTGTATGCCACGAATTTCAGCAGGCATTGTATGGTATTTATTCAAATTTCAATTGCTGTAAGCAAACCAAGAAATACTGAACATCACCGGAGACAGTTTTACGATACTATTCGTAATTGGGAATAACTGTTATCACAACAGCCAGCAACAAATCCTGTGAAAGCCTTGGAAACAAAACAAAGCTTTCTTGGTAAAACCAACTTAGCTAATAAGTAAGCGGAATTTCCTACCAGAAGTATCAAGAAAAAACAACAGCATCGATGGATAATTGTAACAACTAAGCTTACCAATGGCATCGTAGAGCTCTTGTGGGGATTTGCGATAACCAAGACCAAGAACTTGCCTTGAAAACAATAATTATAATAATCAATGCCTTGTAATCCGAGGAGCACCATGTCCTCCCATAAACCTACAGCTGGTGCAAATCGCCATTTCTCTAAGGTTCGTGACTTACAAAAACGAGGCTGTAAAAATTGATGTTGCATCTAAGAAACTGCAAATTTTAAACAAATGACTGGGGTTCATCAGGAAGTTTGAAGAACTTCTCAACAAAATGAGTTTTGAAACAGCTGTAGAAATGATACCTCACACGCCCAACCTTAATGGCAGATTTATGGATTGAAGGGATCTTATTGTCCCCTAAAGAACGAGAAACTTTGAAAAAACGGCTTAGTTCTGACTGGGACTTGCTGCAAAGACAGCCCTAAAATAACGTCAATAAAGTAACATACCTTCCAATATCTTCAAACGCGATAACTCGTGACTCTAAATTCATCATTAACATGGACTGCAATTGTTTCTTAGCTCGAGCAACTTCCTCCTGAAATAAACACAATAAAGTTTTTTGAAGTCCTGATTGGAGAGCACCCATGTTATGTGTCTTATTCAAGAAAGGTCTAAACCCTTGTCAGGTAGCAGCTCAAATTTTACTGGCTCATAGACGAATATTTTACTGGCTCATAGACGAATATTTTACTGGCTTACAGACAGCGAATTTTCAAGAGATAAATCTTATCTTGGGCGAACATTTGGGAGAGTTCAATTTTACGTTACAATGATAGACGTGGAAAGTGCTAATATTTGGAGGAAAACAACAAATTAAGGAACATCCACCACGCCTATTAACAGCAACGGATAAATTGATGACACCCTTTTTTGTTAAAAAGGCGCATTTTTCATTAGAAAATTGACAAGAGATACCGCGAGTCTTCAAATTAGCCTCCCAGGCCTTAACTCGCAAAAAAATACTTTGTGGTAGGAGCAGATCTGAGAACTCACAATAACCGTGTTAGATATTTTAAAATTCACAATAAAAGGACGTCGTTAAAAAAGTCACTTAAGAATTCATCAGTGCCTGTATTTAAAAGAAGTAGATTTTGGACTGGAACTTTTGCATATTCCCTAAAATGTTAGTGGGAACGGGTCCCCCTGATGATCACCTGGTAATTGATTATAATTTTAACAGTAATTGTTTAACATCCGGTAAATCATGTGATGCAGCCTGGTTTGTGGAATCAAACAAATTTCAATTTAACTTATAAACCTGTGAAAGTCAATTCTTGTTCTCTTGCCGCAAGCCCCTAAAAAGTTGACAAAAGCTTCAAATCGGTTTTATGAAAAGGAGACCAGAGGATAACTCTCACCGAATGCGGAACACTTGTTGCCAAGGTGATGTATTCTTTAATTACAACCTGTACCAAATCTTTGATCTGAAAAAAAAGAAATTCGGATTTATCTTCATTTACTTCTAAAATATATTATTTGACGAGCTGACAAATGCTTAATAGTTTGTGTCTATAATAACATTTCTGCTGTGAGAAGTCTTTGTAATCAAAGGACTTCCAAAATCTTCACGAAAAATATTTCAGCGCTCGATTAAGACCCAAGACCTCCTGCTTAAAAAGGGGCCTATGGAGGGGGTGAAATGAGATTACATGTATATCAACAAGTCAATCAATGCTTGTAGACAAACTGATTATGAAAATCAAATGAAGTTTGCGAAATAGCTAAGATTAGTAAGTTAAAAAGCGTAAAGGCGAAAGCAATCATGAATTCACGTAACTGTGTAGTGTTGTTTTACCAATAATAACTTATCATTTTGTCGATCATAATTTTCTTCTAATCAAAAGCAAAAACTTAGATACGATATAATCTCATGAATATAAAATCTTCTGATCACTCCTCTGTCAACAAATCGTTTATCTTAATCACAGAGCCCGCAAAACTCTGGGTCCCAGATTCACACTATAAAAAAGTAACTCTCTCTCTTATTTTATATAGAGTGGGTCTTAACTCTCTCTTATTTTATATAGAGTGGGTCTGGAATCCAGGGCAAATGGTCAATAACTGTGAAGAAAGCTAGTGATAACAAAAAAGTTAAGCAAAAGAACTATAAAATTATGATGCGATTCGATGATTAGAGAGAACATGAGGACTTTAGGCACCGTGGATATTGAAATGAATCAGTTCAAAGAACATCTTGAAACGATGGGTAACATTCAGAATGCTCTTCGCTGGCGCAAGATACTGCTCCAAATAGCAAGAAATACCTGATTAGGATTTGAACTGGCATTGATGCAAAAAATTCCACTGTCTGCGTAGCTGTGGTTGTAAGCAGTAGCAGAATACATCCAATGGTGTCGATTGAGGACATTAAGGTACAGTCTTGAGTACATTCCTTTGCCAGGCCCCCCAGCAGAAAAGGATCCACCTCCACCGAGCAACATATTTAAAACAGCAAAAGCAAAAAAGTCAGGCTCATTGTATGAGACACTTTCAAATCCGATTGACACGTGGGAAAGTTCTGGAAGCGGGTTGGGTCCTGGCTGCACACGAGGTTCAGGCCTATGGTCCTGAAAAGAAAATACGTTTGACTTCGTAATACTCAAGATGTTGCTTATTTCTTGAATTGAGGTAATCAAAGCTTAAGATGGCAAAGATTCCTGAATCTGAAAAAGATTTCTTATTTGGGCATAACAGTAATAGCACAACAGGGTTACATCAAAAATTGTAGGAGCTTCTTTATGTAAAAATTTTCTTCATTAACTAGATATAAATGTTGCAGTCATTTAACAGAAGATAGCTTATATAATGGCAAAAAGCAACTTGAAATTGCTTGTGATGGATGCTCGATAGTAGAAATGTGACGACATACCCGGATAATACCTCCAGTGTACTGTGCGATTGATTGGTCAGGAGGAGGGATGTTCTCTAGGCCTTTTGCCCAGCTTGGAGCCTGTTCAACGAAATATTTCTCTGCCCATTTTACTAGTTCACCGTGATCTGCATTTACAGCAGCGATTGTCATTCTTTCGGGAGAGTAGTACCTCTTCATAAAATGTTGCAGGATTTCTGCGTCCATAACCGTCAGATTTTCAATTGGACAGATCTTAGGAAGACCCAGTGTATTGCCAGAGTACGCAGCCTGTAGATAAGAACAGATCAATAAAACATAACAATAAATATCAAAATTCATATCAGGGTTTTCACGACAATATACCTCATTTTCATCAGATTTCTCAACAAAAACTCTCTGCTTTTATACATTACCAAACATTTTTTCTGCACAAAGCTTTTTTATGTGACGTAAAACGCAGTTGTTTCGCGATAAGTCAAACTCTCAAGGGAAAAATAACCTATCGCCAGCCCACCGAGGAGAGGGGGGCAAGGGGCTCATGGGCCCGTAAGCAAACAGGGGTCCTGTGATAATTAAATTGTGTATATTTATAACACAACGCTTAATAGCATGGTAATTACAAATCATATCTCTACTGGACAAGTCTAACAATTGTCAACGGATATAAATGAAAAGTAAATAAAGAAAATTGTATGCATTTACGCATTTTAGTATTAAATCTACAGGTAGAGGGGGGCCCAAACATTGTGCCTACTCTTGGGCCCGGCTTGGCTCTCTGTGGCCCTGCCTGTTGCACCAAACAGCATACTTCTACCGGAAGCTATTTGTATTTAGTAGCAGTAAACAGAAAATCAGTGCAAAACTTAGGAAATCAAACTCACAGCATGTATCATATCATGCATCTGTGGCTCTGGTTCTGGCCTATATTCCAAAGATTCGATTTCAAAGGCGATAGTCTTTTTCTGCTCTTCTATCTAAAATAAACTTACTTCTATCAAAATGTAAAAGTAATGAAAGCAAAAATTTCAAAAATCGAAAAGAAATATAAAAATAGGAAAATCTAAAAAATCAATGCCAAACGCTTATATGATTCAATCCAAATTTTTTTAGCAAATATATAGGAATAGACAAATTTTAAAACTTAAAAATGGCTGGAGTACCACACAAAGTCAACTAAAAATTGAGAAGGTCTAAAAAATTGATTATCAGCTGTAACGATCTTATCAGAGTTGCTGCATCTTTTTTTATTTGCACTCCCACTTATAACTTAATTTAGGGCATTTACAAAACTGTCTCTAGTCAAGCTCTAGAAGAAACTATAGAATATATAAACTTATGGTGTATGATTTGACGAGGGGGAAATTCACTTAGTTTCAGAGAAGATTCATTCTTGGCAGGTATTTCGGCTATTTTGGGACAAAGAGAAGTTTCTGGGATCCTTTTAAATACATTATAAATGCTATCATTAATCTAGCAAAGATCCTTTTCCTTTCTTTTTTTAAAAGCCAGTGACATAAGCTGAAAAGTGATAAGCAGATTAAGAAAACGAAAATGAATAAATTACTTCTTCATCAGTAAGCCGTGGATGCCATGCAGCTTCAGATAATACTTCCAAAGCTCCTCCTAAGCTACTTGTAAATGCAGATGCTGCATAGACTGTACAATCCCTAAAATGACAAAGCCTTATTTCAAAATGAAAAATAACCATTACATAACCTTGGTTATTAACCTTACACAGTATTTAGGCAGAAACAACAGAAGATATTTTACACAAGCTGATACTATTTTTCAGTATCAAACTCAGTTCATTTTTTGATTCTCAACAGACTCTTTCATTCCATGTTTTACCTATTGACTTGCCTAGCAAAATCAATTTTGGTTGTAGTAACAATCACGAGTAACAATTGAATTGCACAGTGACCAGAGTGCAGTAATCTTAAACAGTTGAAGCACAAGCATTACCTAGTGCAACCGCCAAAAGTATTGTTCAAATTGCTCTTTTGTTCCCATTAGTATAGTTTCTGTTTGACAAACATCAAAGTAAATTCCTTGTGCTGACAAAATCGCACTTTGAAGAAAAGGAAAATGCCCTTACAGGACTAAACACAACTCAAATTTCATTGCTAAATGCTGCATTGTAAAGTTAAAAAAGCATAATTATATACAAATCTGAGTAGAATGGATGCAAGGTTAGCCCCTAGTACACTAAGTACAGCTATAAATATAGTTGAATTATAAATAACATTTAGAAGTTATCTATGTTACTAAACTGATAACAATGTTTTTTTGCAGATAATAAGGAACAATTTAACAACATTTTGCTATTTGCAACTTTCAGTGCACCTGAATGACTGGCAATCTGCATTCCCACCCAGTTCTTCCATTCTTTCATTAACTGCCTCACAGTCTTGATATTTTCTTGAGCTCTGTAATTACAAAATGAATAGAGGCTAATCACAATCTATTCATAAAAACAGCGCAAAACAAGGTACTGTCTAAAATGGGTGGAAAGTGCAATGCAGTGATGCTTTATAAAGTATAATTTCAATCAAGCATGAGATCATAGCAAGACATAGTAAGAGTTTAAGGATAAAGACTGCACAAAGCTTTCTTTACTAATGTTATAGATCCCTTTTTTTCTATAAACATTACTCTATTTGTTCATTGGAAGAAAGGATTTTCTGAATTCCATCTCTTTTTTTGTAGGTATAACACAAAATGCTGTTACTACAAGCCAACAAGCAGCAAACATAGTCTTCTGGTAGGATGGAAGTATTGGGACTAGGACATAAACTTGAATCATTCCCCATTCTTAACTAAATTTCAAGTCCAGACCATAAATCGGAGCTCTAAAATTTTGTGTAAAAAGGGAAAATTCAAGATAAAAAAGCAATAGAATTAGGTAAAAAATGAAGAAACAACAAGCAATAGCAAACATTTGGATAAATAGCAAACTAAGTAAAGAATCTGAAAAGTTTTCTATTACAACTCTAATAAGCAAATTATAATGCAAAAAGCACTGCAGTACCTGAAAAGCCATTTTTTCAAGCATATGAGAAACGCCACTTGGGTAATCAACTTCATGCCTTGATCCAGCATCAAATAGAACTACAAAAGGAAGTAAAGCATTTATCATTCCGTTTTCATGTTTCAAAATTTTGAAGTCAGAACTTTCAATTTACACATCAGGTGATTGCTCACAGCATGGCCTTTGAAAAGCTATCTTAATGTGCTAATAACAGCCTTTCAAAAAAGGTATGATGAAAGATGCAGTACTGGTGTCAAAGTATGTACATGTAAAGGATTTACCAACAGTGACTTTAGCAATGATAGGGAAGTCAGTCATGTCAAATGGCAATATTACAATGGACAGTAGGGTCTATGATTATCAAGAAATTAAAAAAATAATTGTTTTATGCAGTTTTTGAGAATCTCATTCACTAAGCAGACAGTGCTACCATTACCAGTTGAGGCCAAATATCAGCAAAAAGGCTAAATGAATGTAATTGCTTATTATAGAAAAACATCTTGAAATCATTTGTTTTCACAGTAGTCAGCCATTTTATTCAGAAAAGTGAAGCTGAAGGCCATTTATCAAAATCAGTAAATAAGATAAAATAATTTTTGCTGTGGTTATTGTTCCGGCATCATAACTCTTAAATTTATGAGCATGCATGGGCACAAACTATTTGCACAATGAACATACACTGAGGCCTGTACAAAACCAACAATTCTTTCTTTATGTGTCAAGCCAGAGCTGCATGGTTCATACAAATGTTGAAAATCCACATGAAGGCAGACCTGGCTGTTTGAGGCAGGCGACTGCCTACACGTGCCTCCACGCTCGTCCCAGGTTAGTGAGACAAGCTTTTCATCACTCGCCTCAACGTCAGTTTGCACGTTAACGCCCACCTTGGTCTTCCTTTCATTTCTCGACACCTCTTGGGTAAAACTATAATATTGATAGGAATTTGATCCCCTATGTTTTGACTTCAAATAACATTAATCACCTTTCAATCTCTCAGGAAGTCATCTACTCCTGTAAACTGGTTAACTACTTAGCAAGTCATGCGAAAAACAAACGAAACATTTTTAAATGCAATAGGGAAGAGAATCCTTTGAACGGTTTCATTTTCACCAGAATGATATTTCGAAGGCCAATTGAAATGTCATTTGACAGGGTTACCTTTAAGGTATTCATAATATTCCTAACACATGAAACCTGAATCGTTTCAAAATGGTGAGTAACCAGAAAGGATCAACTGTTGAGCTAAGAACTTAAGAGCTAAGAACTAAATTCCTTGTGGCCTAGATTTCTTGTCAAAATTATTCTTGTAAGGGTTTGCATTATTCTTCCTGATGTGCATGCAGTGAGCGGTTGTTGGCCAGTATGCAGAGCATGGAGATAAGGCACTCAAGATGCAGACATGGCATCATTTGGCAACTATAATGCTTTGCCATATATATTTTCACAACTAACCTCATGTCTATTCCTACTTTAAAGCCATATATTGCTATATTGATAATTTGTGTTTTCCATAGTCTCCTATTGGATATTTTATTTGTACCTATGTCAAGATGGGTGTGATCATATGAAACCACACCGTTTCTTATGAAATCACCCCTGGAGCCCCCTTTTGTTAATTTTTTTAGAAATCGCATCTGAGTTGTTGTGTTGTTCCTACAGTGTAAAATATTCAATGCATAAAAACAATGATATCCACTTGTTTTCCAGCGTAAAAGCAATTGGATAAAGTAGAAATAGCATTATAAAGTACCTCCAAGTGTGCAAAACGGCCCGAAAGATTCTTCTGATGCCACCTTTATACCGTTTGACAGCGTTGTTATTTCTACATTATTTTCACGTCGATTCTTGCCTTTTTCTTTGCGTGTTCCGTCAACAGGAGTTGCTGCTACACCTGGTAAAGCTACATTTAGAGGTGGAACTGCTGTATTGCTACTACACTTTCGAATCTTTATTGTTCTGTCAATGCAATTGTAACAAATTTTTCTTAAACATCTATCAACTTGCTTGCAGCTGTAGAACGCCATGTTTCTGTCACTCTACTCTTTTGCCTCAACCTCGATTCCGTCTCAACCTCGAGCCTCGATCAACAAGGCAATCCTTTTTCCCAAGACGACACAAGATCACCGAAAAAGAATATTCTCATCTTGTGACAAGATGACACAAGATTACGCAAGATTATACATATTATACAGGATTGCCAGTTGTTTTATGTATTTCCAACTTGCTTTCCGCAGCCTTTCTTCATCATCTGAAATTAAATTCTCGAAAGGCAAAAACAAAAAATTAGGGAACAACCTTGTAACTAATTGTCTGATTTCATTGATATAAACATTCCTTGAAATTAAATGCATTGCTTGCTGAAAACATCCAACCAATAAGAAATTGATAAAAAATAAAGTACGTAAATTCAATTCTTTACATCATTTAAAAGGCAAACGAAAACAAAGCTCTTCAAATAATTTATCATTTGCTAAGAAGTTATTGTTAAAAAATCAGATGAAGTTCGAGTCTGAAAACTTCAATACAATTACCTCTACAGATTCTTTTTATCAAAGGAAACTCACCCAGCAGCACAAAAACAACAGAGGCCATAGCCCTAAATATGCAAGGAGATTAAGTTCAGCTACCATATTTACCTGAATCGTATATTTTTCCATCTAGCAACAGGGTTCTATTATAAAAGGAAGCGGTTGTGGTTTTTCTAACTGAAATATTCCAAGTGCTACTGTATTTCTGGGTTTTGCTGAATATAAAAATTATAGTTAAGCAACGCGTGCTCTGAAGAACCCAATGCCATGTTCAGGTTGCTTCGAGAAGGTTGGTAGAATGCTCATATTCCACAGGTTGCGAAGAGCGCAAAAAAGGTTAGTAGCCAATAGGAGATGGGAAAACGTAAGTGAAACGGAGAGAATTTAACCTATTTGTTACCAGGAATGGAGGTTTTTCGATGGTGTTTTAACACGCATCATAAAACACATGCCTAAAGGAAATTCTCGAGTGGAAAACGAAGGCATGACTGCTTTTTACTGCAAAAAATTAACAAACTCCGGGCTACTTGCTATAAAAGATGAATTTTGCTTTTAATGGTTATCATAAGACAAACGTTATCCACTACCTACATAGAAACAATTCAATATTTGGATATCTTATTGTTTCTCAACGATTTAAATAAAATTTGAATTGTTGAAAGCAAATTGCCAGAAATTCTAATGTTATCATTTTTTAATATGTTAATCTTCTTTCTACGTTCATGCGCACATTCAGCGATTCCTGCTAAAATCTTGGTAGACTACAGTAAATCAGGGATTCAAGAAGTATATTATGAATCTTCACTAGGCTCCTCGGCGTTAACTTCTTTCTGTCGGATCAAAGAAGCATGCGGATGTGTCGATACTTCAGGAACTGCATGAAGCAAGACCGTGTTTTCATGAGCCTGATCATCTGAAAGACTGTCTTCTTCTGCAATAACAGAGCCAGCTCGATCGTCTTTGACTGGCTCTACTTCACAAGGAATCAACGGCAAGGAAGCAGTGTTTGTGTCGCGTTCCGCCATTTCGATCTCTTCAGCGTGCCCATCCACTTTGAATACGATACCCACTTCTTCCATATTGTCATCTGAGGCCCCTATCCGACCACTTTGTTGCATGAACGTCGGGACAGCAAGCAATTTAGGATCACTACGTTTTCCACTGGAACCGTGGTGTCTTCTGCGGTGATGATGCTTGTGTTTGCGGCTGCCAGAACGCATGCTTCCCTCTCGGTCAACTGAGGCGCTGGTAGGTAGCATACGTGCCAGGGCATTCCGCTTTCTAAAAAATCGACCCGCAGTATAGTGAGGCACAGTGATAGGAAAAGTTAGCCAGCACACTACAAGCTATTTTGTGAAACAACTAACAGAGTATGAAGAAATAAAGTTTTCAAGTACCTGAATCAATACTATGCAATTCAATGATTTGATTAAAACTTAGTCCCTCAAAAACAAACGAGGCCTGTTCATTTTGCAGTAGGTAATCTGTTTTACGCAATCCTTGTAATAGCTTTATTTTAGTCTTAGTTAGTGTACGTTCCCTATTGTAAAAACTAACATTAAATAATCTTTACAATTACAATTACAAAAATAATTGGCTGACGAATAAAAGGCAACATACAAACAAGACATCGCGTCAGAGTAAACCAGTACACTCCTCTAGCTGCGTTATTCATTATTCCGTTTTTAAACTCAAAACTGGGTTGAAAGAAACTGGCTTTTGGCACATGAGTTAAATTCTTTCGCATCAGTATACAACCCTTGACGTCATGAATTTGTTGCTATTTCAACTTTAAAACAACTTTCTAATCGGTCAAGAAACAAGGTGACGACGGTAACAGCAATGAAGTGTTCTTGACATTCAGGGAAGCCTAACTAACGAAACTGTTGCTACCCGTGATCATATGGAATTAAAGTTTTCATAGATGTGTGTGACGTTCATAGCTGATGAAAGTATAAAAGAAAAATAACAAGTTTAAAACTCACACTTTGCTACAACGGTACGGTATTTCATCATCTGGCTCATCAAGAGACTCCAGCGTATACTTTCTCGTCGACAAAGTCCGCGCTCGCTAAAAAAGTCAAGTTAACATGCTGTTTTACTACTGGCAAAAAAATCTGTCAGTGATACCGTCACAGCTCTGGCCAAGGATAAACTAAAAGAGCTCCGTGTCCAAGATATTACAATACGAAATGTGCAGGAAAAAGTTTTAACTTCATTGTTGCCAACAGCTTTAAATCGGTGCGAATTTCAAGCAAAGCAAGTTTTAACTGTAATAAGGCAGAATTAATCTAAAAACAAGGAGACACCGGATAAACATAAAACATAGTTTTTTTCTCAGTCATTACAAAAAAGACCTACCCGACATCGCAATTAAGGTACGATTCAAATCATGGTGTTATTTTCAAGAGTGCACGTATTCAAAGCATTCATTTAAGTAGATGATTTTAAAATCCAGTTTTTTGTACTTACCACTGAAAGTTTGGGTGCCCGAGCTCTTGGAATAACAAATGATATATTATGAGGTAGTCCTTCGTCCATTTCTCCCCTCGTACGCTCTAGACAAGAAACAGATAATGTAAGGAAAATGTCTAACTGTACAATAAGTTCTTAATAAGTGGGCTAGGTATACAAAGTCTTTTCTAAACCTTCCCAAGAATCATATATTCTTCATATATATTCAATTTAACTGGTTAATCAAACTCTCTTCTACATGCGCTCATAGACGAGGAGAAGTCTCAAAGATCCATGGTTGTTTGATAGGCCCTGGCATTTTAGTAGTCTTTAAACGCTCCTTTCTATTTTATTACCTACGAGCTTTGAAATTTCCGATATATCCAGGGACATGACGGCAAAACATAAGAACCCTCATTGACTGAGTAGCTTTAACCATAGCCTGGTGATCGCAATAAGTGTCAAACTTTGAAATAGCAACTTAGAATTGCCCTGTTCTTTACACCAAAAGCGTACCTTTCTACTCTATTCAAATACAGGCAAAATGACTTTATCCCAGGATTGACATCTTGCCTGTCACTATCCAACTTTGACAGCATCATACCCTAAATGCTATTGATATCAATATGGTACACGACAGGCTCGCAAGGACAATATATTTTTAACTCAAAAAAATACCAATCAATATGGTCTCAGATCTATACATCACCGTGGATCAAAGTGCTGGAATGAAATTCCTTTAGATATAAAACGGTCACCATCTGTTCATATCTTTCGTCAGAGACTCAAAGCCTTTCTTTTTGAAAATAATAATTGTAGCAGATTATAGATAGTAATCATCACTATTTTCCTCAACACGTTTCTTAGTTATATTCATCAATTAAAATTTTCCTATAAGGGGATGGCCTCTCCTCGATTAGCTTTGCTACTGAGCGACCTCCTCCTCAAAAATTCCTCTTCATGCAAATTTTCTAAATTTTCTTTAGTTGTGTTTAGTCTTTAAACTTGCATTGTAACATGTAGCCTGTAGTGTATTTTAATATTTTGACAAAATTTGTATGTAGTGGAATTTAAAATTATATATGAACTGAACTGAACTGATTTTGTCTGAATTGTACGTCGATAGCTGCCTTGTAATAAACTGCAGTTAACAAAAACGGCAGCAATCAAGAAAATCGTTATATTTTGATTAAGTACAACTGGGTGATCGCTACATGCATTATCGAGTTGTTGCCCTCTGCTGTATTTCAATAAAAATTTCACGTAAAATAACATTCAACTGCTATAAAGAAAAATCGTGTTTAGAATTGCATCTTTCTTACAAAATTACATCTAATCGCTTGTTGTTGTCAACAACAAGGTTCACTCACGATTTAAGACGCCAGTATCCAAGCGAGGCTGGTTTTCAGAAATATCACTGTTCTCCCTAAAAGCGAAAACGAGATTGATGAGATTCTGTTTACTTATTCTTGCCGATACTTTAAACATTCACCAGCCAACAACGATTCGATGGAAACGGACGTTCCATCGTCTGTTCTATGCAGCTGGTGGAATTTCGATTTAAAAATCAGAAAAGTACAGTTATGGAAGATGTGGAGTTTGCTGGCTGTTCTTTGTCATAACAACTGATGGATTTTGACCAAATAAGGTACCTCAAAGCAAGCGCAACAGCATACGAAGGGTTTCTTTTCACTGCAGACCATTCATCAGTCCTAAAAATGATCGCAAACGAAATAAAGTGGATTTGATTGGGAAACTTTTTATTAAGTCATAATGCCACAATTTCACGAATTTATAAGCGATTGATATTCTGCACAATAAAGCTTAGTAATAGGTTCAAGAAATCTTTTCACAAGAAACTATTGGTTGCAGTATAATAATATAAATATTAGACTTATAATTTGTAACTTGCTTTAATAGATTAAAACTTTTAAAGACAAAAGAAAACATGTAAGAGTGAAAAAACGATCCAGCTATAAGTAGAAAGGAAAGTCAAAAAAGATATAAAAGGAACTCACTTCTGAAATAATGCTGAAGGGTTTTCTGCCATACTGAGGGCACATCTGGTGGATAAAAAACACAACAGTTGACGCCATAGAGTACCTTATTTATTTTGTTCGAATAATACGTAAAATTTTGAATTGTCAGAGTGATTTCGATTGTTTTAAAAGCATTATTCAACTAAGATTTGCAGTTGAAAAACTACCAGTCATCTATTCTCTTTCTGCTTTTATCAGAGCAATAAACTTTATCAAAAAGGATTAAATTTCATACTCCGGCAAGGGTCGAAATATAAGACGATATCAATGTAAAATCTTAGATGTGTCTTCATCTATCTTAGATGTGTCTTCATCAAACCCGACATCTATCTTCATATAAGCAAAAGATCTGGCCTGATGTGAAACGGAAAAGTTCTTTGTTAATTAGGACTGATTTTTAATCATTTGAGAGAGTTTAGAGGACATTGTTGGTTCAAATGCTGCCAATAAGGTGTGCCTTCTTTCCTACCAGTTTAGTTTGGAGTCAAGTTTTGGTTACTGTACAGATGTGCTAGATGATATCAGATCACATCTACAGGTGAAACGGCTTTACGAACAGATAAAGCTTTCCAAACATGGTAATATTTCCAAAGAAGTACCAATTATAATGATTTTCATCACTTTTAAAACTGAATATAATCCCAATAAATCTGCTAACAACGAGCAAATTGTCACTGAAATTGTCCAAACCTACGCAAACAGAGTGAAATAGAAAATAAGTTCTTAATAAGGTAAAGTGTAAAGTGTTAGGGGTGGAAAAAGTGTGTTTTACAAGCCTTCCCCAATTATACATAAATTAGACTTTTTGCCCTTCTTATTAAATAACAATAAATTGGTAGTTCAATAGAAAAGAGACGAGTAATTTTCATACTTATGAGAACAACTTTGCATTTATCTGGAAGTTTAACAGCATAAACAAAAGTAGGGAAATAGGTTGAATTGCTCATGCGATAAAGCTTGATTGCGACAAACTGTTTGACCGTTATTTTTCAAAACATACAATCCTTGCCAAAAGTAGCTGGAACGCCTTCCCATTGCAGCATGCAAATATACAAAGCATGTCTAAAATTACCTTACCAAAATATCAGCGCCGCTCCTAAAATTTCGACCCCCTCCCCCCGTACAATGTTGATTTATTTTCACAATACTTTCATACAGCTTTCAGTGAAAAAATGTTTACCCTCGGCATCAAAACATCCGAATTGAACAAAATTGTAATGAGGGGTGAGGGAGGGGGGAATTTTTCAAAAAAAGCTTCAGCTCTGCACAAGTGTTCCAACAATTTTGGCAAGAATTGTAGCTATTCAAAACGGAAGAAGAATATACTAACTTGTAGGCCATTTTCCGACTTGCGAGCATGATTTCTTCATCAAGCGCCTGGTCTGGCTCTCTTTCTAACCATTTTCGTAAGTACGTCTTGTTCAAATGATCGACAATCTCCTACATAAAATCAACACAAGTTACGTTCCACCACCAGATAATAAAGTCATATCAAAATCGACTCATCTAAAAACGTGGAAATATAAAATTTGAAAATGGCTTCGAAAAAAAAAATTTCACAACATACTTAAGCTTTTTCGTCTGACACTTCTCAAAGTATAAAACGTCAGAAGAAGGGTCCGAAATAACACGATGGAAATATATACCCAGTTGTGGATCGAAATAGGCCAATCAGAATCTTAACTAAGATTACAGAATCTACAGATTAACTAAGATTAACTAAGAAACAAATAATCTTAACTAAGATTAACTAAGAAACAAAGAATCTTAACTAAGATTAACTAAGAAATAAAGAATCTTAACTAAGATTACAGTCAATAGAACATAAATTTCAGACAAGCATACCCGCCAATAACCATGGCCATGATGTCCTAATACTTCTTCCATACCAGCATTAACGTGATCAAGAATCTAAAAAACGAATTTAAAGTCTTTTTCTTCAAATTTTAATGCAACGTAAACGAAAACGAACGTACGCAGCAATCAAGTCTTGGCTTTTTGTATGAAAACAAAAGGGAATTCCCTATATTAAAAAAAGCTTATGCATACGCCATACCACACCCCGAAGAATGATAGCAGTATAAAAATCCGTATTTCATTAACAATATGCACTAAACAGGAACGTGCTAAGGAGGGATTCATGTGGTGCCTCAAGACAAAAATAACTCACACGATCATTGATAACACAAGTCATAGTCATTTCCTGTTTCTCTTTCCTTTTGATTTTCAAGAATCTGACCAGTGGCTTGATCGTTGTTCCCTGAGAGGAAAAAAAGATTGTTATGTTCAATTGCTTAAGCTGCATAAATTATAATTATGTATTACTCCAGCTCTCCAGCTGATTAATGTAGATATGTAGTTAGAGATGGAGGGCAGATGATGTTATGTTTTGTTAATAAATAAAGATATAGCAAACGATTTTGTGTTTTAATGTTTCCAACCTGAACAACAATATAAAAGAGATAAATATTCCACAAAATACAAAAGCATCGCAAATCTTCGAACTAGCCCCCCTCCCCTTTCCCTTTTTCTTTAACAAGCAACCACATAATTTGCACTGCCTGATCACATTCCAAATAACATTTATTTACAATCAAATCGCATTTAACAATTCTTTTTCTTTCGTCAACTTATCTGAATCTCTGCTTATTTATACCATTCACACCCTGCGGTGAACGCATAGAGACACAAAATCTCTCTTATGGTTTTACAAACATAGATTGACTTTGAAACCTCTTTAAATTAAGGGGAAATATCATAACATACACTCTTTTTTTATAAGAGCAATTTTATAAGAACACGAGCCTCAAAACTGGTCAAAGTTAGGAACAAATTAAGAACAAGCTGAGGCTGAGCTTCTGCAAAATGCAATTTTGAACAACGTTTTATCTCAAAATCGAGGATTTTTAGCGATGTGTGGGTGCTTTTTCGGTGAATATTCAAATTTGTCAGCAAATTGAGGCTGTCTCACTCACTTTGTTGGCAAATGAGGCCTGAACGCCTTCTTAGAGTGAAAAAGCTAGCAATAGCACTGCTTACACCCTCTTAATTTAAGAACAAATTAAGAACAATCCAGCCACAGATTTTCGAAAGAATTAAGAACAGTCAGCCTGAACTTAAATTTACTGGTCCTTATAAAAAAAAGAGTGTACACCAAGAAGCTAGTAGTTAGCAAACCTTTATATAAGGTTATAAGATAGCGAAGAACAGATTGCAAATATACAACGCGTGGTGACTCTGCACCTTGCCAAGACCATATCCTACATTCTGAGGGGTAAATGGGAATCCCCTTAAATCAAAAAGGGGGAAGGGGGCTCAGCCGGGAATCGAACCCGGAGCCTCTCGCACCCAAAGCGAGAATCATACCATTAGACCACTGAGCCATCCATACTTGATTTAAATTGTTTATCAATTTATTTTCAGGTACCCGTGCAACGGCTTTAGAAGCGCATTTGATAGCGCCCAGATCCTCTGTGTAATGGCAGAGTACCTGCTGGCTGCACATCGATCGCCTTCAATGAACAGACGGCACTAGCATCGCTTGTCGTTTCTTCAAATATCACGAAAATTAATTCATAATGAAAAGATGATACCTTAGCAATGGAGTCGGAATCAACTGCTATGTAGAAGATGCCATGCCTTCAAATATTTCTAATGAGCCCCCTATTTCAACTTCAAACTCGCTTCGATATGTTTAAAAGTGTCCTTTCAGCTCCGAAACGTTGCCGTTTGGAGAACCATGCTTCTTCTGGTGAGAGTAACATCAATTATTTGAAATAGGTACACTTATAACGCTAAGCCGAACCACAATGTCTTTAGAAGCAGGAACTCGAAATATCCTCTATTTTCATATTTTTGAAGAAAAGGGAATTGAGGAATCAAAATCATTACGGATTTTGGTTGAAAAACATTTAATCAAACAAACATACGGAAAATTTTAATCTATATGCTGAATAGCAAAGGAGGCAAAAGGACTCTTGTGGGATTCCCTAACGTGCGAGAATCAAGACGAGTAGCTGCGAAGCACTCAAAGCTAATTTTCCAACTGGGTAACCAATGTTCTACTGGCGTAGTAAAAGAAGATCAATATAAGTGGAAAGAAGGGCTGTAGGTTTGTTTTATGGAAAAAAGGTTTTCAAGATTGCACGAATAATTAGATTCATTCATTTTTGCTTTTTCCTGCAATCTTAAAATTCAGTTAAAGATATTCAAGGATTTTATCTTTTAGTAAACATCGTAACAGTTGATTTCATTTGTCTGAAGACAGTATTTCCTTTCTTGGGTTGCAGATAGATGTGCGCATGCGCAAAGGGGGAACTGGGCAAGGTGTACCTGAGCCCAAAAGATGAAAAAGGGGCTCAGCCGGGAATCGAACCCGGAGCCTCTCGCACCCAAAGCGAGAATCATACCATTAGACCACTGAGCCGACCTGGCAAATTAAAATGTTGTAAAGTAGAGGCTTTCAGGTACCAGTACTAAAAATTCCACGTCGATGGTTAACCAGTATCCATGGTAACAGGCTCGTTGCGTTATTAACGATGTTGATTATGCATTTCTTATAGCAAGGAGTCACTTGAAAATATACTAAAACACTTAAACGCTAAAACTGGGACCAAAATGCTGATAGGCTAGCAGCCTGTCCACAATTTATATCACTTTTGTAAAAAGGGCCTAACTTGAGTTTCTCTTGCTTAACTTAAACATGAACCATTGCATTATTTTATTACAACTTCTAATGTAAATAAACTTTATAAATCGTGGAAACGGCGGTCTTGGATGTCAAATGAATATAAACTGACAATGACATGTTCAGTTCTCTTTTCAAAATGGTGGAATTACTCGCCCAGTTTTAAACCCAAGAATCTACGATGAGCCTCGTTTCGAATGCACCAGCAGCCACCCTTTTCGATTAAGAAATCCCGCTTTTCTATCATATTGATTGGTTTTGGCCTGAGAAAATTAAAAATAGCAAAAAACTTGATTCGGTTTTGATATTTTAATGCTTCTCTTGGTGGAGTCAAAAAAGCATCTGACATATCTTGTTGTCTGTGGTGTAGTGACAAAAAATGAAGCACCATGAAAATTACGAAAAGTTATCTGTTGGAAAAGAGTACTTCACTTCAATCTACCAAAAAATGAAACAACTGTCTAGAAGTCAAAGAAATAGCTAAAGTTAATGGTAAATAGCGAGTAACGGTGTCCAGTATCTTGAAATGTCCCATTGACCCAAAACAATGTCATAGCTTCCCCCTGATACAGCAAAAATAGAAATAAAGGGGGCTCAGCCGGGAATCGAACCCGGAGCCTCTCGCACCCAAAGCGAGAATCATACCATTAGACCACTGAGCCGCTATAACCTTTCCTGATATTAGAAATAACTAGTTCTCGGGTACCAGTACTAAAAATTCCTAAAAAAGCCATTACTGGTTTCCATGACTGCAGGCAGGTAGCGGCGCAGATTGGCGACACTGCGATGGATAATTGCTCTTTAATTACGTACCTCGTTTACAGTCTACTGTAGTATTATGTTGCTTTTGATGAAGAAAACGCTGTGAATGATTGTGGCAAAATCATAATTTGTGGTGACTGTGGTGAAAGCTGCCCAATAGGTTTGCGAAAATGACATCTCAAAGTATCAGGCATCTCTTTAAACACTTGCCTGCCCTTGCCTCTACTTTCTTTTTCATATTCGAATCGATTAAAAGTGGGGCTGGATATGGGAGTGAGGGGAAAGGACAGGTTTATATAAAGTTACACTTAGCCGAATGAAGGCAAATTACCAGTAGGTCGTGCTCAAGGTTAAATTGTTGCGAAAGAAATGGTGCGATGTAGAGATGTGAGAGAACTGGAACTTAGTTGCTAGGTTATGTGTAACCAGAAAAACGGAAGGAACGCAAGAGGTATGACTGTAGTAGAGTTTTGAGAAGAAAAGTTTAAGAAAAATTAATTGTTAAAGTTCGTAAGAGAGACTTTATAGAAGTTAACGAGAAGTGGATTGATGGAAAAACAAAACTGTAAATATCGTGTGTCGTTTGGGTAATTTCCAGGTCGCTTCGTCACAGCGGACGAACATCTTTTCAGCCTTAATAATTTCGAAAATCTGAGGGTTGATTGTTCCTAATTTGTTCTTTAATTATTAGGGTGTAAGTAGTGCAATTGCTAGCTTTTTCGCTCTAAGGAGGTGTTCAGGCCTCATTTGCTAACAAAGTGAGTGAGACAACCTTCATTTGCCGAAAAGTTTGAAAATTCACCGAAAAAGCACCAACGCAAGGCTAAAATTCCGCGTTTTTAAGATAAAACGTTGTTCAAAATTGCATTTTACAGTAGCTCAGCCTCAGCTTGTTCTTAATTTGTTCTTAAATTTTGACCAACTTTGATGCTTGTGTTCTTATAAAATTGTTCTTATAAAAAAGTGTATTGGGGTCTAATGAAATACCCCAAATACACAATGCTTCCTTGACCCAGCCTCACCATCTTTAAAATCAGTTCCACTGAAACTTTTAATGTTTTTGTTACCTGGACAAAAACAGTGAAGAGCACGACAACCATTGTCGTGGTGACCAGCATTTCTTTAAGATCGCGATCCATGTGGTTGTCATCCAGCAAAATAGCCAGGCAAAATGCCACAGCTCCGCGCAACCCACCATAACTCTGAAACAAAAATGAAGATTTTATCATAATTCATCTAAATCACAAAATTCTTCCATCCTTTATAATAATATAAATTATTCGTATCCGATAAAGATATACATTGTTTTGCCAAGATTTTGCATTTCACACTGCTCACATCGCCGTCATCAAATTAAATTTCAACGATGTCAACAGCGTAGCTGTTCGATAAAGCTCTCATCAAGCCTACACATATATAAATAATTACAAGCCCACCCAAAAAATAATTAAAACTCTGATGCATGAATACATTGATATACTGTAGAAAGATAAGACAGATAAGCCTATAATTCATTAAGGAAAACTTTTAAGGAACATAGTTTTGAAGATAGTTGAAGAAGATGTTAAGATAACAAAATCTGGTGGATTGAGGTTGAGATACAAAGTTACAAAATCTGGTAAGGAAATAATTAACAACATTGCTCAGGCTCGGAATGTATTTTTGCACAGTGAAAAATAATTTTAAGAATCATGTATTCAAGATGAAATCGGAAAACATAAATTAATTAGTAAAATATGCTTGCCAAAATTAATTAAACAGCCCACAGCTTGAGTTTAAATTTTTTATTTTTTATTTTATCTCTCAATTACTACTACCTTTTTCCCTGCCCCCCTCCCCCCCCCCCCAGAAAAATGTTGAAAGTTGAGGCAAACATAAAACACGCCAGCTGGAGAAAGCTACAATGTACGAGCACGAGGCTGTCACAATCATTATTGAGGTTACCCACATCACTTACAATGCCTGCCAAAAGTACTTGGAACAACCACCAATTTACGCTGCATTTGATATCTTTCATTCCTTTCATTCCTCAAACAATGTTGATGATTTAGAGTTTTATCATAAAAGAAGCGCAAAAGAAAGTGCTTCCTAAAATCCTAACTCGTTTGATAGTAAACCAACATTGTTCCGTGGGGGAGAGGGGGATGATTGGTCTTGACCTTGGAAATTGATGTCAGTGTTCCAAGACTTTTGGCAGGCATTGTAAGTGATGTGGGTAACCTCAATAATGATTGTGACAGCCTCGTGCTCGTACATTGTAGCTTTCTCCAGCTGGCGTGTTTTATGTTTGCCTCAACTTTCAACATTTTTTCTATGTCATTTTGTAGTAAACTAACATTATTTCAAGGGGGAGAGGCGGCTGAATTCGAACTTGAAAACTGACGCTAATGTTCCAACACTTTTGAATGTGATTGGAAGTTGAAATTTTGCAAACGGATGACAATTTATAAATTTATATGAGTAATAAAACTCGATGTTCTTTGTAGAATCTGATGTCGCCAAATGTTCATGCTACTCACCATAATGAACTGCTCGGTCTTGCCAATGTTTTGTACCCTGCCATTCCAGTTGGCAAGCGCGGTCAAAACTATAACGCCTAAAATGACAAAAAATCACTTGATCGATAATCATTAATCAAAATCACTTAATCACTTAATCATTATCAAGCAATCAAACACCAAGCAGTTTACGCTGCATTTCATGAAAAAAGTCCTAACCCGTTTGATAGTAAACCAAAATTATTCTGTAGGGGAGAGGGGGATGATTGATTTTGACCTTGGAAATTGATGTCAGTGTTCCCAGGCTTTTGGCAGGCATTGTAAATTCAAACACAGAACACAACTTATAGTAGCTTAACGAAGCATTTGAAGATCACTGCAAATTTAAACAACGGAATTTGTTGACTGAGTAACAAAATAAAAGCTTAAGAATAATGTTATGTCATTAATGTACGTGAACAAAAGTCCTAGTTCTGCTGATTGGCCAGTTGAAACATGATTTCAGAACAATAAATCTTTGCTTTGTTTCTGTGTAAAAGTTGTAAGAAGCCCAGGTTGTGTTCCACTGAGGTCTATAACATTAAACTTTGACTCCAGAAAGGTGGTATACTCTTTGAGAGAGTAAAAAATTGTAATAAAAAATAAAAAGAGTAAAATTGCTAACTAAGGCTCAAACCTTTCTAACAACTTGAAGACGTTTTTGCTTTTCCTCAACTTTGACATAATATCGAAGCTCGGTGCCCTTGGTAACTAAGCTATAAAGATATAGCATAGTATGGATATAGTAAGCATCTTACCTACAGTCCTGACGACTAAAATCAAGACCAGAGTGATAATTATAAAGACTGGGTTCCACAAATGCTTGTTCATCACCAAGGAAACGCCCAGAAACATGAAAATGATTGTCTCACAGCAAGTGCTAGAACAAAATGCAAAAATTGATTTCCATAGGTGCTGGAGAGATAAAATTTTGCCGCATGATCTATTATGATCTTAATGTTCCCAACATGATATTAGATAATTTTGCACAACAATGTGTCATAATTGCGAAATTGTGATTATGATGAAATTATTTCAGTACAATCTCAGTACGAACCATATACTTCACAAAATCTATGACAAAGCATGCTCTTGTTCTCAGTCTAGTATTGATAGGCCTAAACCTATAATAACTATCGATACTATAAAGAGAAAAGTCGACTGAAATATCTTTTTAGATAACAATTTGTTTTGGTGAGAATTTTGTCAGTTAATTTATTTTATTTAAATAAAGTCAATTTAGCAAATGAACATTTTGAATTGCTATACATTTGTCCTAGGAAAAAAAGGAAATGTTTAATAAGCACGAACATTACAATATATCATTTATCTTCAAATTAAAATTCTCAGTTACAATTTTCATATCAACAAATGAAAATGGTACACTGTTTTTCAAAAGAACCAGTAAACTAAAGTTCAGGCTGCCTGTTCTTAATGTTTTCGAAAATCTGAGGCTGGATTGTTCTTAGTTTGTTTTTAAAAGTAATAGGGTGTTGACACGTCCCTAAGCAATTGCTAGCTTTTTCGCTCTAGGAACGTGTTCAGGCCTCATTTGCCAACAAAGAAAGTGAGACAACCTTCATTTGCCGAAAAGTTTGAATATTCACCGAAAAAGCACCCACACATGGCAAAAAAGCCTTGTTTTTGAGATAAAACGTTGTGAAAATTGCATTTTACCTCAGCCTGTTATTAATTTGTTCGTGATTAACTTTCGATCAATTTTTAGGCTCGTGTTCTTATAAAATTGTTCTTTTAAAAAAAGGGTGCAATAATTTACTGACCTGGAAATGATGGACAACAGTGTTGATTGTTAGATTGTTAGATAGAATTCAAAACAGGAATCGAACCTACGAACTTACGATCACAGGCCGAACACTTTGACCGCTCATCCATACCCTGATAAGGAGTATTAGACCACCGTGAGGGTTAAAGAGAAATTAACGATAACTTGAACCAACATACTGTAGTCTTTCTCAGTCCAATTCATAAGAAAATCAGAAAATTGATATCATAGACAAATAAAATATTTGTTTATTCGTAATAAACTAACCTCAGAAGTTTGAGGAAGTATTTGATCGTTGTATGGGACTTTCTTGATACATTTGATTCGACGTAGGGTTTCATGATAATACCACAAAACAATATCCTGTGAATGTAAAATGTTGTCTACCTAGTGAGTAAGGTATTACCAGTTAAAAGTGTATCAGCATTACCTTGACGTTTCAGATTTAAATACTTAAACTTTACTTTTAACAAAATTGTTACTAGGCTCTTTAGAAACTTAAAGGACACTTAAAAATAATAGTATTATATTCTTATTGCGTAGTTAGTAGAGAGGACCCTGGGGAAGATTAGTTATTAGGCTAACCAGGTTTATCCTCTGTAAATAAAGTTGATCTATCTATCTATCTATCTATCTATCTATCTATCTATCTATCTATCTATCTATCTATCTATCTATCTATCTATCTATCTATCTATCTATCTATCTATATATCTATCTATCTATCTATCTATCTATCTATCTATCTATCTATCTATCTATCTATCTATCTATCTATCTATCTATCTATCTATCTATCTATCTATCTATCTATCTATCTATCTATCTAAATCTTTATTAACAACAAAATACTTTATTAACATGTGTTGATAACGAAGATTGTGATCAAGATGACTTTTTTAGAAAACACCACACCAGTACAAGGACGCAGATAAAAGACAGCTTATTATTTTTTACAGTATATCCATATATCAAGAAGAAAATTCAAAATTGTCAACAAATTTGGACAGCAAATCATTATTTATCACTGTCCATTCAGTTCGCTACAATAAAATCAGCAACATAAAAGTCTTCGGAAAAACCCTCTTCGCTTTTTGGCAAGCAGGTGCTCGATGAGAATTTCTTTCTCTTCCATCCTTCTATCAAGAAAGCCCATCTGAGTCTCTAAGTTCTTTATCTCGTTCTCTCTAGAACGGTATCTGTCTTTATGAGCCGTGACCTCGCTTTCCAATATGCTATTGACTCGGTCTGCTTCTTTGCATTCCTTCTCTAGCTTATCAATTTTGTCGGAGAACGAGGCATTGTCTTTCGTACGAGCATCCATTTCATCCGCAAGACTTCTTTCCAGTTCAGCCTTTTTGCTACTTAGCTTAGTTGATTTAGCTTTGAGGTCCTCGATAACCTTTTCTCTCTTACATTTTTCGTCCTGCATGAATTCTACCTTACGCTGCAGCTCGATTAATTCCATTTCCATTTTATCGTTCTTCTTCTGCTGTTCCTTGATGGATTCCTCTGCTGTTCCTAGGCTATCTTCTAGACAATGAATCTTCTTCAGATAGCTTTGAGATTCACGAGCACATGTAATGTCGATGGCCTTATACAAGACGTTTATTGTAACATGCATTGCCTGTTCCTTTGCTTTCAGTTCTTTAATCTCCTGTTCTTTCTCGTTTACTTTGGCTGTTAGCAATCGAGTTTCTTTGTTCCACTTCATTTTTTCTCGCATCAACCTATGAGTGTTCTTCTCTGCCATTGCCTTTAGTTTGTCCTGATAATTAGCATTAATCTCCTTAATTTCATTCTCTTTCACTTCAATATCAAATTCAAGGCCAAAATTCACATCCAAAACCTCTGTCACTTTATTTGCCAGTTGCAATGAATGATCTTGCAGTGCCTGGCATTGATTTTCGGATGCATCCAGATCTTCGGCTAACTCATCAACCTCTGCAGCCTTTTCTTCCAATTGTGCCCTTAAAATCGCGATCTCAGTTGTGAGATTCTCGCTCAGTGCTTTAAACTTATCACTGTCATCGCGCAAAGGGCCTTTTTCTTGGATCTCAAGACCAGAATCCTTTTCAATGACACTCTGCTTTGCAGAAATCAAAGAGCATGCAGATGGTACTGCATTCTTCTGCTTACAAGCTAGCAGTTGAATCCAGCCAAGTTTTTCTACATTTTTTGCCATCTTTGATACCTTTCTATCCAAAGCTAATCCCGCCAACTCTTTGTACTTATCTGCATCAAGTCGACTTTTGAATGTCTGAAATAAAACAAATTTTCATTAGGTTTAAATTCAAACTATTTATACTTTAATAATAATTTGATTATTTGCTCATTTTGAATAAACAAAATCATCGTATACCTCTATTCTTTTCTGTTCTACAAACTATATCTTTACATCTCTGGTTATTATTTTTCTCAAAACCATGATCAAACAACAAAGCTCGTGAACAATCTCAGAATTTATACTATTGCGCCTTTTATTCAGAAAAAATTTTCGAATATAGAAAAACAGTTAAATTGAAAAACTTGAGCAGATCAACAACATACCATAAAGGCTTGAGCAAACGGGCGTTGTTGCTCCTGCTCGTACTTCACCCGATCGATGAGCTGGTTGTTCAACACAACCAAATGCTCCTTCTCTCGCTCCAAGGAGGTATTCGATTCAGTCACGGCTGCTGTATGTTCACTCAACGCAGCTAGCTCATCGCGTAACAAAGAAATACGATCTTTGTCGCGTTTTCTTACTTTCTGATTTCTCGTTAAACTCATGTTTACCGATTCTCACTTTCAACACACAACACCTTTCGATAAATTACCAAAAGCAATCAAAGAACAATAATAAAAAACTTGCAGTTTAAAAGAGCCGTAAATTGATGTGACGTCATATTAGATAATGATACGATTCGTCACAAATGCGATCGAGATTGCCAAGTGCAATAGAGGCTTCGAGGTCAGCTGGTCTTTGCTTAACAAATAACCCAACATTTAACTTAAATATACTGCAATAAAACTTTTGAAAGTACATACTGTTTTTACAATAGAGCCTACGAAACATACTTCAAGAAAGTTTTAAAAAGTTCTTTAGATCGATCTCATGTTGAAAAATTTTAGTCCAAAGTTAACGTTTGTAGAGTTTTGCTGTTCTAAAATTTGCGCTTCTACGAGGCAAAGCGAACAAACACCTACAGAGAAATTGTAGATGGTTACCCAAAACAAGAGCGTCAAAGCAAATGAATTCTACAAGGAATCTAGAGAGGGGAAAACAGACAGAAGTGTCGGCGTTTGTAACACACAGCTTTCTTGAAAGGACTTCAGTATTTCCTTCCACACTTATTCGAGAAAATATTTCTTTCAAAAAATATTTCAAGATTCGGAGGATTTGACAAAATCATGCAATGATCTTTGAACGGCGTTACAAGATATCCAATGATATTGCAACCTAAGAAAGGTAGCCAGCCAATAGATGTTGTTGAAAATTTAAATCGGTATAAACCTACCATCAGCGATGCATTGGAAAAGATTAAGATTACTAAAAACATTCCAAAAATACACGAGGTGAAAGTTTGTTTTTAGAATCTCAAAAATTACTGAAAAAGACAATCTACAAGCGATGTTTAATTTCTATAAAAAAGTACAGATAACGCGGAAACGGGCGGATGAGATAGCCTTTCCAATATTCTTCAAAACTGCACTTAAAACAATACAAAAATAACCTTGTTTTTTGTCTTTGCATGTTTAGCCCTCTCCCCCAAAAATATTATAAGCCCCACTCCCAATCCTTAACTTGCTCTGGGGGTGGGGGTAGGGGTGGGGGTGGGGGTCCCTGATAAAGCATTATTAAAATCAGTAATGAGAAACTTACGCCATTATTCCTGAGAAGTGAAAGATCTCTGCAGTAAGGTACGCCATGTAAGACATCACAAAAATGAATATTGGTTCTATCACTATAAGAGCAAACGAAAATGAATGCAATAAATGATGCGATTGGCACTGCAATAGGAGAATAACTAAAAATACTGCTGTTGGAACCTAGTCATAAAAACATTCAAACATAATACAAACATAATAAATTGTTTATTAAAACATATAACAGTTGTCTTATGAACACAGGCCTGATCATTGCACTGGGCGCGAAACTCGGAGTAGCAACTTAGAACCGTCCTGTTCTATACACCAAAAGCGTGTACAGATCTTTCTATACGGCATCAAGCACTTTATGACAGACAGGCAAACCGTAATTTTCGTTATCAAAACATATAGATACCTTCATACATTGCTAATTTCGAGCTTGCAAATTATCTTTTTTGCCTATCAAGATATACAGTTTTTTGCTGTTCGGTCAAATGAATATGTTTCCTATTTAACAAACACGAGAAGGACATAACTTGATTTAACAATAGCTTATAGCTTCTCACTAAACTCTCAGCCACTCGCCTACGTACAGATCCATACATCTCTTACAGCCCCTATATGATCTCACAGCCCTACATCCCCTCTATACCCCCCCCCAATCCCCTTAGAATTACGTTTAACTTTAATCATAAAAGTTTCAATTGTTACAGAAATCAACATTACAGACCTCTGACGTGCTCCGTGAAACGCGTCACAAAGCTGGCAGCGATGCCCCAAACAACGCCAATAAACGTCCCACCGATGCTCACAACAAAAAACGAAACGAAGGCAAGCGCTACCTGTTAGGTGTTAAAACCAGACAATCATCAATTCACTAACGATAAACAACGATAAGAGACGATAAACAACGATAAACAACGATAAACGACGATAAACGACGAAAAACGACGATAAAATATATGGGTTGAAAGAACAACGTATTGTGCAGTCTTTAAGATGCAAATAGTTTTTAAGACTATAATTGGTTTCTTTAAAATAGGTAATAACAAAAGCAGCCCAACTACAGCCAATTTATTTCTTCTACGATGGGGACTTAAATATAAACGGCAATCCCTGGCAGAAGTCCTATGTAAGCCTTCTTTGGAAAGAATGGGGAACCCGCTGAAGACCTATACACCAGGGACATGGTAGATTTTACGTGCTATTCCTTCATTTAATCAGTTATTAGTCAATTTTATGTCCTATTTACTTCAACAATTAATTTTCAGTTCATAATTTGTAAAAGCACCTGGGACAAGTTGGAATTTCGGAGGTTTTTTTCATTCATCTCGTGGCTTTGATCCATCAAGGTATAGGCAGTATTCAAACTTAGGTGGGTTTATAACACTAAAAAATCCGTTGTAAGAAACCTTGAATTGGCTCCGTGTTGTCTTCAACTAGCATACTCAGAATTCATATTGCCCGCAAGGCTTGTGACGTAAAACCGTATTAACGTTAGCGGTGCAGCGGTATTAATACTTATTAAACAACAACGAGTGTAAACAAAATATACCTCTTTAAATGTGACAAGAGACATGTTCGCCATTGCTTCGAAGGTATGGTAAAGCACAACAGAGGCAGCATCTGCGAATTTTGTGTATTTTACGATAGTTTAATACACACGTCACCATTAAAGTTAACAAGAACTTATCAAATTTCGGATAAAACTAACATGACAAAGCAAAGTAGAAATCAGGCTACAACCTTCAACATATATATGAAATTATTTAGAGATAACTTTCAAGTAAATAAACTATAGAAAATGCAAAGCCGTACAAAGCTAAATAAAAACAAACATTGCTTAAACTGCTGTCCCGTTTATAAAAATCTGGGTGGTTAGAAAAAACAATCAGATGATTAGGAAGAGATCACGGGAAACGGCAAGGTAGGACACCAAAGTACTTTTCGTCCGTATAGAGTATCAAATTCTGAAAAAGACTAAAGCAGAAATGTGCGGGTGCGATTCATCAAAAACAAGAAACAAATCGAATGCACCATTCTTCTGCTAACCATTGGTCATTATCAAAAGTTTATACTCTGAGGAGTTTCGGAAAAAATACTTTAGAATGCTATGTTCCGCTTCTCCGTACCTTTTCAAATTATGCCCTACCAAATAAAATAACTCCTACTTATAAAACTGATTTAATCTGTGGCATATTTATTCTTCCATAACTTGAAAAGGCTTGCTCTTTGCAAAGAAAAATGTTACGTTGCATGTTTTTTGCAAATTTCGATTGAATACAACCGCAAAAAAATAGTTTTACAAACCATTCAGCACAGACTCTCCAAAAACCAAGATGTATAGAACCTCATGGACATGGACCTCCTCAAAGACAGCAAGAACCTGAAATAGGAAAACTCAAAATTACATAGTTCAATTCTTTTGCCACGAAGGCAGCTACTAGAAATTTATTTTCAACTTGAATTAACAAATTGGTATGTTGCCTAGATATTTATCGGCTTTGAAATTTTGTTCACAACTTACCAAGCAATGCAGTTTTTAGAGGATTGATAAAAAAGTATTGAGCTAACAAACAGTTTCCAAATTTTCATGTAAGTAATATTTTCAAATGTGTCAAATTCCTAGGTTGACCACCTTATCTGACCTGGCTGCTCCCAATTTCAGGTGCAAATTACTGAATACATGCGCTGCCAGTGGATCATAAAATTCCTGTATTGAAAACATATCGGTTTCACTCCTTCGCTGCTACAAAAAAACACCCTTGATGTTAGGGGTTATTTTATCCATACTAGTACATACTTGTATAAATTAAGGAAAAAGGAAGACATTTATCTCAAATATTCTTAACTGCAAGCGATGGAGGGGCAAGCTAACTATCAAACAATTAGTGGTGTGTCACATTTTCGTCAGCTGACAGTGCACATTATTGCGCTGACCAAGAATTTTTTTCAGAGATTGATGTGCCTGTTTGATGTAAGCACTAAGAAACGGTCCATTACTTCATTACATATTTTGTCACAAGACTTTTTATGCCACTCTGATTATCGTTTAGCTGCTTGAAAACTCATCAATAAACAAACATCAGAAATGTAAAAATTCATGTAAACCTCTTAATAGGGAAAAATAATTAAAAAAATATCTAAGAAAATAAGCATAAATGGAATGTTGACTTACAGCGACAGGGTCAACAGCAGATATTAAACTACCAAAAAGAAAGGCATGCATCAGTGAATAGCTAGTTGATGTGAGGCCTTGCAGCCCATACAACACAGAGCCTAGACAGGGAGAAGAATCCATGATTGAAGTTCTCTACAGTTGCAAAGCAAAAACGCTCTAATTAATTGATTAGTATTTTAAAAATGGAATAGTCAAAAACAGTCATGTCTTAGACCAACATGGTATAGTCAAATCTACTTTCATGGGAGGTTGAAAAACCACACAGCATTCATTTCGAAACAAAGAATGTATCACATACATCATCATATCATACCTGAAATCAATGCAATATACTAAACAACATTTAAAAGTTTATACAATTACGTGATCCATCAAGTATCATGCTTTTGTATTTCTCAATATAGTAAGCTGGATCAACCTTTGTTGACAAGAAAATTTGTTACACTATTTGTCGCTGCGTGAGTCAAAAAACATAACATGTTGCTTCATATATGAAGAGATTTCAGGCTTAACTAAAACCTTTTCATGCTGGCTATCTGATTCCGAATGATTTGATCTATTGCTGAATAACTTAGTCTAAACACAAAGTGATAATCAAAAGAGCTGACATCAGCATGGTTCCTTGAATTTAGACAAACAACAATTTAAATTTTCAGTAATTAGTCTTTTAGTACTCAAAAATCTTGCACAACAAGCTAGTGTTCGCTACTGGCTAATTTCACACATGGCTTACCATACAAACATGTTTTTTTAGCAAAATCCAGTGTGGATATTATAGTTTTGCTATTTGTTGTATATGAACTCAAATATTCATTCTGTATGAAACAATGAATAGCATTTTGTATTTTAGATGGACTCCTAGCCAGACCATAAGTCAAGCTAAATGCTACCAACAGAGTCCTGAGGGGTTTATGGTGCATGATTTTCACTAAAATTAAGAGATAAATGTGTCTTGCCTTGTAGCCTTTTTAAAGGAAAATTAGCTGTGTGGGCAAGACATTGTCAATACAAAGAGGAGGACAATAGCCTATTGTTTAAAAAATGGAGGCTTGAGGGGCAATTACCCCCTAAATAGTATGTCGAAAAAAACCTGCCGTGCTTTAAAATATAAGAAACATTCAATATGTTTATGAGCACAGCTTTGCCACACACCTAACGTAAAATATTATACCTTTTCTTGACCAGAATATGAGTAACAGATAAAGAGTGTTTCTGCAATTCAGTCAATCTAGAAGTGACTTCAAAAATTCTGAAGCATAAGTCTCCATGCAAATGTAATTTGGAATACACCTCACTAGATGAATCATAGAAACAAAATAAGTAACAATAAAATCTAAAAGGGGGCAGTAAAAATATCTACTTACCTATAGCTAATGAATTGAATATTGTTCCCTGGAATAGATAATTCAACAGTCTTTAGCTTTTTGTATCAAAAGCTAGCATGAAGCAGATGATTCAGAGACATATTAAATTGTTTGTAATTGATACACTGTTTCATTCTAAAAATATCTGGCATGACTGACATAAAAAGTGATAAACATAATTTAGAGAATCAAAAGTTTACCAAAGCTAGTTGGAAAAAGATATGCCAAGCTTATATAATGATAGAAATAAGAATACTTTTTTACATTGCAATTAAAAGTAAAATTCTTCTTCCCAGAGCTCAATTTTTAAAATTTTCAGTCAGAAGAAAGTTGCACTCACAATCTAGGGCATAATATTTTTCTATCAGCACTCATAGATGTGTTTACTGTATCAGTGTTAATATTGTAACCAGCTTAATTAACTGAATTGGGATGAAGTGAGCAAGGCTCTTATAAGATGTACTTAGTGTGCAAAAAGGTTGAAAAGAAATTAAGCATCAATACTCACAATTGTAGCATACAGCAAAATTGTTCCAATATTAAGATAAAAAAGTCTGACTGGCATGAAATATCCAGCATCCAAAATTATCCTAATGAATGTGAATGAAAAAAAGAAATGTTGATTTCTTTTAATACAAAATATAATGATTAAAATAGCCCAATCTTCATAATTCATTAGCTAATAGATTACCTAAAACAATAATTAAAAATCCCATTTCTTTTAGGAAATTTAAATTTACCTAGCTTGGTTTCAATGCGATAGTTTTTTGTTACTTGCATTGTCTTTGTGAGCTATGCTCTTACAGAGTCATATTTCAAGGTTGGTAATTAAGAAGAGAATATAATGCTGTTAATATGGTTGAAATACTGTAAATCCTTGAATTGCCCCCCCCCTCAAAAAAGCCCCCACCCTAGAACTACAAATTGTCAATAAGCCCCCTTGAATCAGGCCCAACTGCTACCATATATTCTCAAATTTTACAGCTCAGTTTGATGGCTTTTGCCATCTGAGGCTGCCTATGGCGTTTTATTGAATTACCACAACAAATTCGTACTTTTGGTAGTAATTAATTAAATGCTCATAAAGAAATTTATACTAAAATAAACAAGGTCTTTCAATAATGTCTTCTTAACGTTTACAATAATTTTACAAGCCCCCACTTGTATAAGCCCCCCTCTCGAATAAACCCCCATCCAAAAATATCAAAAATAAATAAGCCCCCAGGGGGCTAATTCGAGGATTTATGATAATGAAACTTACGGTGGGAGTAAAAACAGAAAGAACAAATTTGAAGTGAAGTAGAACTGTTGCATGCCAGCTGCTCTAAAATAAAGAACAAAAAAGTGATTAAAATTTCATTTCAAATTTAGATAACATATACTAAAAAATATTGTATCATACATCAAACATTTCATACTAAAAATGTATGACTTACTTTAGGATCAAACCAACTGGGACACCCAGCAGTATCAGCAAGCTAAAAAGACAAAAATTTTTATTGGTATGCATTTCATGTTCTCATAAGGTGACATGTCTCCCAAGCAAAATATTTTAAGATATTAGCAATTAAAGGCATTGAATCACGGTAGATAGGCCTTCATAATAGGGGATTCCTGTAGTTTCATGTGATATCAGCATCTGTTGTTGACAATTTGCTAAAGATGAGTACTGTTTTGTAAATCAGTACAAGCTGAGTTCATGTGATCAGTGTCAGGCCCACCAATAGCATTGCAGCACAAAAATCACGACTCTGCGTATTTGGGTACGTTTGGATATACCCTCTCTTTTTTATCATGATTCAATGCCTTTAAGTATTTGTCCTTCACTAAAATAGTCTTCCAGAATTTTATTCAATTGGGTTTATAACTCTTTTCAGTGACTTGTAATTATGTTCTGTGATCAATTTAATAATAATTGAAAGATACCCTTTCAAGAGCAGGACATTTCAAGCTTCATTGGAAAATTAAGAAGTGGTTATGAATGAAATCTCTTGGCTAATCCAGGCATATGGCAGCATGTGATGGTGTGCGATGGCAAGCTAACAATTGGCCAATGATGAAAATTGTTTAACTTTTTTCATTAAGGAGTGCTTTTGGATAAAAAAAATGAGGAATCAAATTCAAATTCTTTCAAAGTTTTAAAAACATGTTAAGATATCCATAACTTACCAGGATTCCGGCATAAGTGATGAAACACGAGTGAAAAAATGAAACACTGGAACAGAAAAACAACTGACTTGATATTGATCTTCACACAAAAAAATCCAAAAAGAAATAAACATTGATTTCCACAATCTCAAGTTGTCTCAGTAATGATAATCAGATATTGACCAAGGGGTCCTTCACTTCTCTTTAAATTCAACTGTGGACAACATACCATGATAGCTTTAATACAAACTACATTTAATTTTACATTGATTATAAGATACACAAAAAAGGCAAGAACATATTACAAGATTTTATTTAAGATTAATTGACTAAGGAGGAACTCTCTAAATAGATATAATATACTAATCGAGAGAGAGACCATAAGAAACAAATAGTGTTAATTTCAAGATTATGTCATATACTTTCAAATTTTCCAGCGTAAAGATAAAGGGAACTTTCCATAGTGTATTTAAGTTGGAATTTTGTAGACTGAAATGTTTTCATATCTCTAAAACTGCAAAGAGGTACAAGAAATTTACTATTGAGATATCAGCAAAGCTGAGGGGTCAACTTTTTCAAGTGCATTTATTGTGCATACCTAATTTTGCAATGCTCCCAAGCAAAATCCATAGACATACACTGAAAGGTGTTTCCACTCTGAAGAAATCAAATTTTGCAACTTTAATGCCTTCAGACTTCTTGTGTTTGGACTTTTCGTGTGTTTTCGTAGTAGAACCATTTCCAAAAACCGACTGAGATTTATTTGAATTCAGTGCTGCAGATGAACGCTCGTAAATTGCTGGTGAAGATTTCGTAGGCAGATGTTTTGTGCAAATCCCATCACTGCAATTCTGTAGAAGTGGATTGCAGCGACTAAGTTTCCAATTTATGGCAGCAGCAATGAGTAGCAACAACATTTTCGGCATAATTTTTCCCTCCATAGCTCTTGTCTTAACTGCTACAAACTGTTGTTAACACAGCAAGTTGAAGCAAATCGACAACTTTTGGGAACTGATTCTTTAGCTTCTAACTAGTCTTTGTGTCAATTTAAAAACAACTTTCCCTTCGTTTTAATATTTGCTTCAAGTTCGGCACAGTAAAGCAACAATCCATCGACGTTGTCTCCAAGTCGGCAGGTCAAAAGACTAAATACCAATGTCTTGGTCGCCGCCATGAGTAATTTGTACGGTAAATGTATAGCAAACATATATGTTGCCTTAATTTAAGCTTGTCTCAATTAACATCTGAAAAACCCCACTTTCTTTGCTCTGTAACAAGCAGTTCTGTCCGCCCACATCTTCTTTGGAACCCAAACAAAGTAAAAGGTAGCCGATTCCTCATACCCCTGTGACCTGAAACCGCCAAACAAGATGTTCCGGTTAAAAATTGTTCTTACGTCTCGGGGGGTAACTAAGCCTAATTTTGGACAGGGACGTGCCATGCTGGTTAAAAAATTTGGACCTATAATTTTGCACATGTCTGGAAAAAGGTGACCAATTATTCCGCAAACATGATGAAAACTATACCCATAATTCCGCAAAGCAAAAAAACATTTTTGAACAACGACAATACCATCAAACAAATTTTGAATGTCCAAAATCTCCATATTACACATATTTCATTCTTTCATTTCTAACTCGACATTCATTTTGTTAATGCTAAATCTCCCTTCTAATAATTTTGCAATATTTTCCCAAAATGGTGCCCATAATTCTGCATGTTTCAACAAATGATAATTCCGCACTTTTTGGAAAAATGTACCCCTAAATAATGGCATGTCCCCGTACCTTCAAACATGTTAAGGTACCTCCCCCCGAGTCTTACGGGGCAACTGCCCCCAAATCCCCGCAAATGCAACATGATTCGAAACGCTTAATTCTAAAATCGGATATTTCGTTTAAAAATTAGAAGGGATGAGGCTGTTTTAACAAGAAACACAGAATATCCAATGTGTTTGGCAATGAGTCTTCTAAGAAATTTCTACTGGTTGGGATTCAACAGAAAGGGTGAGTATGCACCATTGACCACCATAGATATGTGAAGCTCCACAAATTATTAACTGGTAAAATATTCACAGGATAACATAGGGCAGAATAATTTTAAACAGCTTCTGAAAATTTTAAACACAGCAGCACTTCCTAATGGGGAATCATGGACCAACAGGGGGGGATGAAACCTTAGGGCTAAATGGGGAGTTTTCCCACAAGTTTGTTGTTAAAAGTTTCCTCTGGTACTTTCCCCGCCACTAAGCTCAGTCATTATCACAGGCTAGAGCTAAAGCTAAGCTGCACCCATTTCAAAAGCACCGGTAAAATGAAGATAAATTTCTAATCAATTAGCTGGCATGGCCAACAATATGAGCGACAAAAAGCTGTCACAAGTGGCAAGCTATCTATAATTAAAAGCCTACTTAAACTTGTCCTCTAAAAACAAAAGATGTTCATCACATACACCGAATGACCATCTTGACAATTCTGCTTATCTGAATACAAAGTTCAAAAAAATTTGGATCAAATTGAGGTTTTTCTATCCTCATAAAACACTTCTTAACTTATTGCAAAACAAGAGAAATTCAGAAAGAATAATAATTCAGATTTTAAGACGTTAAAAAACGCCGAAACCCATAAAACAACAAATATTATTTAATCAGACACATCTTCTTAGAAATCAAAGAAACAGAGTTTTTAGCAACATCTCCACGCACATTGAAAAGGTGGCCTGAAAACAAAGATCTGGTTTTCATAAACATTTGTTTTCTATTCGAGGGCGGGTGTTTCTATTCAGGCTCAGAACGAAAATTACTTAAGAATGTCGAAGCTAGACAAAATTTAAAGTGTTTTCTTTAGAAAAAGTTTACAATATGCCTTAAAAGTGTTGGAACACCCTCGTCATCTTTCTTACTGAATGTCCCTCTCCCTTCCACAATGTTGGATTCTGACTAGAAAATAACGACAAATTAATTTGGGGACGGAAATGGTAATTATCTTTCTTTCCAACCTTTGTTTAAGGGGGAAGGGGGATTGATTCACTTGAAGTTAGATAATAAAGGGAAACATGCATTTATTAAAAGTGCAGTCTCGGTGTTCCAAGTTCTTTTGGTGGGTACTGTAGCAAACGTAAGGCTATGACTAGGAATACAATACAATATGATACAATATGATACAATATGATACAATATGATACAATATGATACAATATGATACAATATGATACAATACAATACAATACAATACAATACAATACAATACAATACAATACAAAACAAAACAATACAATACAATACAATACAATATAATACAATACAATACAATACAATACAATACAATACAATACAATTAATATCACTGCTCCAAAAAGGCAAACCGTCATTTTTGAAGCAAACAAGGAAACAAGAAAGAAAATATCAATATTTTATCTATTTCTTTTTAAATTGGCTCATGAATTCATTTTCTAATAAAACTGGCATTAAAGCGTATGAATAACCACTGGGAGGATTAGGATCAAAGGCTCCAATTGTTACGATGGGTGGAATCCCTTGATCAAAATCACTTTCCACAACTTTATTCAAGGAATATCTCAAGGTAATTTCATGGTTAAGTACAGGAATACGAGTGTTATAAAACTTCTCGAATTTAAACAGCCTCGATTCATTTGGCAATTCTACCTCGTTTGACAACAGTTCCTCCGCAGGTGATCTAGAAGTCGTGCTATATGACGTCACGCCTTCAGAATCCTCCATTGCAACATCATTATTGTGGTATTCGCATTTCACATCATCAGCATCAGAAATATTCCTTGACAATATCTGAAAACTATGTTCTTCTAATATCTCGTTTTTATGTTTCTGTCCTTTTCCTAACGTGTTGGTGTTACTGAGGTTCTTTTGGCCTAAAACTAGATGGCAATCAAGACCAGATCGTTTCACCCTTTTGTTGTCTTCTGTTCTTTTCTTATCACAACATACTGCAAGGCATTTCTTTTTCATACGATGAGTTTTTTCTTTATCCAACCTGCTATCTACTTCTGAATCAGTTTGATTTCCTTTAAAGGCTACAGCTTTCCTAAACGAAGATTTCTTCTCTAGCAGCTTCAAAGACCTCAACGCATTCTGGCTTTCCAAGACACATTCTGCTCCCTTTGAAGACATGTCTCGCTGAAGTTTATCCTTCAAAGTTATATTTGTGACGTCATTAGAATCCAATTCATTTGAAGTGCTGCTTTTTGCCATAAACGTTGCACCAAAAACCAAAGGCTCTTCTGCCAAGTTCTCTCCTAATTTTCCAGTCTTGTCATTTTTATGCAACCGTTGTATATCATCTCCTTCCTTTGGAGAAATGTGATTTTGTAAACAAAATATTGGTTCTTGTTTTGATGTGTAATCCTGAATTTTCGTAAAACCAGCCTTTGTATTCTGCACATCTCCTCCGAACACACATTGATGAACTGGATCTACAACACACAAAATAAGTTGTTTAGCCTTTCGATGCTTGAAAACACCGAAAGATCCAGGATTTCCAAAACTCTTTGCTTTTCCGCGGAAGGTAAAGGAAAAGCAATGCTAAGAATTGGGAGTGAGAAAGGATTAGGTATATCAAGCAATATATTTAGATATGAAGCAACGTTGTGACCATAAGTTTATCATAGTTAGAAATATCTGAAGCCTTCTCTGCAAAATGGACGATCAATTAAAGATGGCTATGATGACGATGATGTTGATGATCAAGGGCGTAGCTAGTGGGGAAGGGGTTAAGATATGTGAAACCCCAATTCTTCATGGGTTAGTCGGAAAATTTTCATTTCTTCCACAAAATCCTTAGTTTGTAGGTAAAATTGTCTATCCGTTGGTGAAGCAGCACTTGAATTTTTCTTCATCTATGTCTTCGTTGGTAAAGTTAAGTATCGATGACCCTACACCCCCTCCCCCCTCCTCTGGTCTGGAAGGTCAAGCAACGCCACTGATTAGGACGGTAAAAATTAAAACAATTATGACGATGACAAGTACATCACTTCAATAACCCATCTCGTTTGGGGCATTTAACAACATTTTTGCGTATGAAACTTCTGAGTTAACTTGACTAGACATCACAGATATAAACTTTGTTCTGGCTATATAAACTGACAGTACGCATTTATTTGGCTATTGCAAGAGATTTGACCGCGAAAATCATTCGGGGCGTAATTTTAGACTCCCGGACACTTTTCACAAAAACGTAAAATGTAAAAATTTGTAACTATGATGAATCTTTGGTGCTAAATTCGAAGCTAGTGCCCAACCTCTACGGGAGCAAAAGGGAGAATGTTTGAATAGTTTTCACATCGAAGCTGCTTAATTGAAGTACAGTATAATCCGGTTATAACGTACTTTAAGGGACTAGCGTATTAAGTACCTTAAATCCGAAGTACGTTGTAACGAGGGTAAGTAAAAATTGATTAAAACCAAGCACACCTTTTGCCAGGACCAAGTACACCAGTACGTTATATCCGAAAGTACGTAATAACCGAGTACGTTATAACGGGATTCTACTGTAGTGTAATTTCAAGAAACTTATGACACACACCTGTAAGCTCATTCCTTGATGCAGTCCTCTTCATAACGCTCTTTGCAGCATCCTCATTAGAACAATTAATGCCATGATACAATCTTAAATGCCTTCTGGCTCCTCGCCCAATCACAACTTTCTTTTTACAAAAGGGACAAGCAACACAACGATCTGCCTTACCGATGTGTGTTCGTTTGTGATAGTCTAGATTGAAAGAAGCCCGAAATGTCTTGGAGCAAATTTCACATTGGTATGGGCGTTGGTCGGTGTGAATTTTCAGATGACGCGTCAAGGAATGGTTTTTATCAAAGGATTTTCCGCAGAGATTACATCTAGAGAAACGAAAAGCACAAACCATGATAAAATGGAACAAATCAAGCATTTAAACATTCAAGTTTATATGACACTACCAATCGTAGAAGGTTTATCCTATATTGTATCACTTCTCAGAAAAGTTTGTAACAGATAGAAATCGTAGCTGGGTAACTTTCTATATCAGGCAGGTTTCAGGTTAGTTCTGAACTGTAAAAGAACTGCACTGTCCGCTTTCTCAATGAACGTTGATTCGCAACACGTTGTTTAACACAAAGGTAAGTGAACCAATTAAACACTAGCTATTCTATTAAGTATAGCTTGCTTAAAAACTGGAGCACATGAACAGGACTCTGCCTATAAAGGGACTTAAAGTGCAAACGCTTCAAACCAGTATACTTTTCGATTCATATACCAACTTCCTAATTGCCAAAATTTTTCTTTACATTGGAACAATTTCGAAAAAACTTTCATTTCATGCAATCAAAAATTCAAAAAATCATCCAATGCCATGTAAATGGAGTCTTAATCGAAGATAAACTAGGATAGGTGCTAATAATTCTTGTAATTGTGCTAAAAAGTCCACATATATTATCGGAATATCCTAAACAATCTACACAAATACTGTAATGATACTGTTATATTGCTAAATTCCACCAGGTTGCTCTACATTGAAATGGCACCAGCCAAAATAAACCCTCTTTCTGTATCATTATCCAGTTATTCCCATTCCTAAATATAAAACCGATTTCTGGTTTCTCGTGTCCAGTCTTGCATTATAGTTGCAAAAAGTAGCAAAAGAATAACAACCTCAATATACCTTAAAAACAACTAGAAGCCTATAAGTTGACCCAGGTCGAAATCTAAGCTAGCAATGCTGGCATTAAACTGTGTCACAGGAGGCTAGACTCTACCAGAAAGATTTATAACTGTACGCAATAAAAACTCATGAAAATGAAAACTAATTACACATACGTGAATGCTTTTTCTTTCTGTTTGCCTGAATCTTTCTTTTCCTGACTTGATTTCGCACAACTAAGAAGACTTTTGTCAATTTTATTTGGTCCAGTTTCAGGGCTATTCTTCTCACCACTAGTGACGTCACAACCCATTTTTGGCTCTTTCCCTCCATTTAGACGCCCCTTATTTGTACTGGCCACTTCGCAATGCTCATTATACTTCTCACCCTTCGCAGAACCTAGAAATTGAGAAACACGATTTCATCTTTTTAGATTTACCCTGGATACTTTAATGTCATTTAGGTATAAAAAGTCATTTAATAAAAAAATCAAATTATAAAAACACTTTACTATAGCAAAAGAAGAACTATACAGCTGCCTATGCTACATAATGATCAATTCTAAGAAGACATACCAATCCCTTGCTCCTTTGCGATTTTGTTACCTTCTTTTCGTAAAGATCTAGTAAGGATTTTTCCCTCAGCTTTACTGAAACATTCTCCACTATGGTACAGCTTCAAGTGTCTCTTGATGCCTCTCCCAATGGTAACTTTCTTGTTGCAAAGAGAGCACGGGATGCACCGACTTGATTTATCAATGTGTGTCCTCGTGTGACACTGAAGGTTGAAAGCATTGCGGAAGCACCTTTTGCACACGTGACATTTGTACGGTTTGTTGTTTGCATGCACCTTTTGGTGACGTTGCAATACATGTTTTTGGCGAAAGGACATTCCACATTCACTGCACCTGGATAAGATTGTTGACAAATACGTATTAATCATACCCTTAAATAACTGAAATTTAAACACTTCCAAGAAAAACAGAGTAAAATAATTAAGGATAACTAAGCAAGCATTTGGTACCGTAAAAGTTGAAGAAAGGAAAAGCATTATCCGACATTCCTCAGAATATAATTGTCAAATAATGACTAGAAGGCATGTAGAAATTTTTATCAACATTCTCTGCACATTATCGGGTAAAAAGTACCTGTGTGCCATTTTTTTGCATTTCAATTGTATATTGTAATCATTAAAAAGAGAACAGCCTCCTCGATCTTGTAGGTCTAGAAACACTGTTAAAACAAGTGATTCTGCCATCGGTCAACATCTTTTAGAAAACCCAGATTGTGCAAAACTCTATAATGACGACATGTTTCGGATAATTGGCAGAGCCCGGTCGTCCTTCCATCTAGCAGTTTTGGAGTAGATCTACATAAAAACGAAAAAGCCACCATTGTGTAGACAGTAGGAGTTCGTTTTCTCTCTTGGACTCCATTGGTAATTTTTCTTTAGGTTCGCGGCACTGATTGGTCAACCATACCGGTCTTGTGCTTGCGTTTTTCTGATTGGCCTATTTCGATCCACAACTGGGTATATATTTTCCATCGTGTTCTTTCGGAACCTTATTCTGACGTTCTATGCTCTGAGGAGTGTCAGACGAAAAAGCTTTTAGTATGTCGTAAAATGTTTGCTTTTTTCAAAGCCATTTTCAAATCATTAAAAAGCATAACTCGAAAACTATTGCGAGATTTTTATCAATTGGTTTGCATTTGCAATATTGCCATTACGTTTTAAGAGACGCCTTTTGCATTTGTACCTGTTGGGTATTATTGGGTCAAACAACTATTAAGTGGTATGAAATGTCAATCAGCTGTAAAATACCATTATCATTGTGGATCAAACATTACAAAAAATGCTTTGACAGTATTTGGCATCGCTGTATCACAGAATATGTTAGTTTCTGATTTTTAGATTTTTAGATTCTGATTTTAGAATTTTTAGATCAAAATCACAATTCAATAAAAACCATGTCGTAAATGTTTGTTACACTACCCTAGAGGTTTTACTACCCTAGAGGTTTTACTAACCTGGAGGTTATAGACAAGATTTTAGTAAAGTGAGCGACAACAACCAAGTCCTGCGAACAACTATTGGAAATGAGAAGTATTGTTTTATTGGACTCTCACATACACACCTCTTTATAAAAGAATAAATTCTATGTAATAATTAAGACTCAAAATCGCTGAAATTTAAGAATAATTTAAGAATAATGCAAGGCTCAAGCTTCATAAAGAAACAATTTTTTGTTTATTTGAGTTTTCTGGAAGGCAAAACCAATGCGAGTTTCATACTACCGGTTTTGACATAGACGCATCTGATCTTGACTTTTCGTTATGCGTGAAACTCGGAGTTGCAGCTTAGAATTTTCTTGTCTTATACACCAAATCGCGAACCACTAACGGTGTAGAATGAGAAGATTGCTGTGTTTCTAGTTCAACGTGAGTAGGGAGAAATGTGAAGGTCTAGATATTCCTCAATGCTAGAAGATGATTAGCCTTTTTAAATGGATGTATCATTTTCAGTTGAGAGCTAGAGTCCTAAGCCTCTTGATGCATCTATTGTGCCAATGAATAGCACCATCATATTTTTGAAAATGTACCCTACTTAACAAAAGCATCCGAAACTGACACTTATATCAAGAAGAAGTCTTAATCCAAATGTTTGCGGGGATTCGATCAGAAAAATTGGGATTTGGAGGCTGTCAAAGTGTCTACTTTGATTAAAATAATTCTCTGTATCAAAACGTTGGGACATACTTCTTCAAAACTGTGGTTTCGGGGGATGGGAGAAGCAAGAAGAGGAAGCAAGGAAGCAACAAGATTTCTCGTACTAGCAATTGTCACTAGACTGCGAGTAAAAACCGCGTCGGAGAGTATGTCCTTATTTCAACGTGTAGGACGGGGAGTGAATGGCTTTTCCTACTCTGTAGCCCTTTGCAATGGTGTGACACTTGCCTTTCTTGCCTTTCTGAAGCTAATGCGACTGCCTGGAGACAGTCCACGTTAGCAGATTTATCGGGGGCTAGTACCAACTAAGTACCAAAAGTACCATCTATGAACTTCATAGTGATAAATAAGAAAATCAGCTTACTTAAAGGGTCTGACATCCGAGTGCTTCTTTGCGTGTGACGTAAGCTGGCTGGATGTAGGAAACGATTTGCTGCAAGATTGACACACAAAAGGGCGTTCACCCGTGTGTGAGCCACGAATATGCCTCTCAAGAGAAGATTTATGACCAAAGATCTCCGGACAGAAAGAGCATTTCATGGAACAAATACCTGTCAGATCAGAAATCAGGCATGGATATCAGGCATAGGGAGGTAACAGGGACTAAATCATATTAATGTGTTAGATATACAGTCGATATTAGCTCTGCTTCAAGAAACAAACAAATATCAAAACAATGTTCACGTACTAGATCGCAATGAAGTTTACACGAATCAACTATCACGAAGGCAACCTGTTCTTCTTCAATTATTTGATCACCTTTTGGTTCCCTGGAGCTAGCTTAGTCAACGAAAAAAGTCACACAAAGTTGCGTTTCAACACGAGTCGAGTTTCAACGCGTTCGATAGAAAATCATGAACTCTTTGGCGCAATAATTTATTTGATAAAATCTAGACCTGTGTTTGTGTGTGTTTGTGTGTGTCTGTTACCTTAACCTTTGTTGAAATTTCGCACTGAGCATTGAGACATTGATACACATTGAGCTGAGAGTCAAAATGGCTGGAAAACATTCCAACTTCTTTAAAAAATCAATACTTTCATTGCTCATTAAATATCAAACAAAAGTGAACTCAGCCCGGGATGACTTATATCAATAGGTCTCGAATATTTTACAAATACAGCCATTATAACATGCTTAAAGACAATAATATCGATAAAGAACACAATACTTACCCTTATGTCTCCGCTGATGCGCTGCTAGGTTCCCGGCAGAAGTGTAATATTTGTCACAGATTCCACATTTGTACATTTTTATGCCTTTTAAAATAAGTAGTCCAATACAGAACAGGAAAAGTAAAAGGAGAATTGGCATTCACAGAGAACTAAGGGGCAGAAACGAGGTGATTGATATTATAGGAGTACCCTGGTAATTGACATGTACCTCCCTTGTAGGTATATTCGCGTCACAGACCATGACGGAAGGGGAGTTAATAAAGAAATCCCTGGGAATTTTCGACTACTGTTAAACTATCGATCAAAAATATCAGAATTAATTAAACACAATGAGATATTTTGGGTTAACCACAACTATAGCTCAACGATTGATGAAACATTCAGCCATGTAAATTTTGATTATTGCTAAAAACGAGTATATGTTTGCAAAATCTTGAGATGCTTCTTGCTAAACCTAATGTAAAATAGCTTGTCACGGTGCCTTCGTACCTGTATGTCTCCATGTGTGTTGAGACAGTTCTTTTCTTGTCGAGAAGGATTTTATGCACTGCTTGCACTTAAATGTTTTACAACCAAGATGTAATTCTTCTCGATGTTTGGCCAGATCTGTGTGACACTCAAAGGTTTCGCCACAATAGCTACAAAGATAGGGCTTGTCATCTGTGTGTCTCCGTTTATGGGACTGTAGTTTGCTGTTAGATTTAAATGGAATCAGGCAAACGTCACAAGAAAATGGAAACTCCATGGGTTCTGTGTCGGCAGCTGCAAGAAAAAGAACAAGGTGAAATGGCGCCGTTTTTTTCGGGTTTGACTCACAATACGAAGTAGTTTTAAAAGAGGTTCATGTTTCAAACAGGTTATTTTGGTATACCAACTTACTTGCCTTGTGTCAATTTCAAACAAAAAAGTCCAGGTCTACACTAGGACAATAACTAGTCGATAAAATATTTTGTTTTTGACATAATAATTAACACAGTGACAAGATTGATAAAAGATAAAAGACCGGGCCTTACTCTTTTTTGATGGCAACTTTTTTCGCTGATGAGAATTACCAAGCTTGGCATGGATATCTATCGTAGTAGTAGATTTAACTTTTGCTTCATCATTGGCCAGCAACAATATGTTGGTTGAGTCTTTTTCTTGGGCATTTTCACATTCATGTTCTATAACTGAGCTTGAATTAACAGCTGCTTCAAGTCGCTCTGCTATTGACACAGGCATTTGTGACAAACCAGTAATCAATGAACCTTCATTGGTAGACAAAACACCTGATTGGCATACATTTGTTGAAGACTCTATCTGTTGGTTCCCAATGCCATTTTGAATTGTATTTGGGAACTGCTGAGACTGCCTGTTAGATTGACTATTAACTGATAGCATTGGCAGTTGAATTTGAGAGGATGTTTTTTGGTGTGGAAACATAAAGCTTGTCGGGAACTGTCCTAAAAAATTCTGTATACTTGCAATTTGCCTTGTATTTATGCCAGAGAGTGGCATGATACTTGTGCCAGGGGTGTATGCTTGTGGCAACAGATCTAAAACAAGGGGCAAAAACAAGAATTGAAAATTTTTAACATCCTTTGTGTACTACGTTAACATGCTCAATTTCATTACAATCTTTTTCAATCTTCTCTGTGTAATGTCATTACAATCTTTTTCAATCTTCTCTGTGTAATTTCATTACAATCTTTTTCAATCTTCTCTGTGTAATTTCATTACAATCTTTTTCAATCTTCTCTGTGTAATGTCATTACAATCTTTTTCAATCTTCTCTGTGTAATTTCATTACAATCTTTTTATTTCAACTTCTGCCCACAAAAAACAAGAAGCTATCAAAGTGATGTAGCAAACCTCTATGAGAGAGATCATCTGTTTCTAATGGGGAAGATTACCAATAAACACTCAAAATTCTCTAAGCTAAAATGCCCAATCAAATTGAGAAACATTATAGGAGAGTTATTCGTTTGGGCAGAGAGGGAAGTGAAACTGCACCCGAAAGTTGCTAGAACATTTGTTTCTAACTGTTAATATGAGGGCTAAGAATGGGGGGGGGGGATATAAGTCAAAATTTTGAACAATTTTGAACAAGATTGAAGGCTGCTTATATAGGAGCAAGGAAACAGGGTGAAAATCACTTCAGATTGCATGTTTAAATAGGGGTAATCAGGGGCGTAGCTTGCAGGGGTGTGGGGGTGTAACACCCCCCCCCACCCTCAATACTTCAAGAATTTGTCTGTAAATCTTCAGTTTGTCTACAAAACCCTTAGTTTATCCGTAAAATCATCCATCAGTAGGTGAAATAGCATCTAAATTCTTCTCCATCTATGTCAGTAAAATTTTCTTTTGATAACCCCCCACCCCCTAGTCGGAAAGGTCAAGCACGCCACTGGGGGCAATATGCAAGGCAAAGCATTTTCATTGCACCTCAAAACCAGCATGACTTTCACTCTCGATTGCCAATGCATCGTGTAACTGAAACCCTTTTCTAAAGTGAAAATGTATATGAGGATTCAAATTAAATAATGTTTGTAGGCTTTAATTTAATTTTCAAGTTGAAACAATGATAACCCAATGGCATGCTTGCACAGGGAAATGCAAGGGCCTTTTCTTCCTTGGGTTTAAGAAAATTTCAAAAAAGTTGCAATGCTGCATATAACAATTTTGCAGCATTTGCAGAGGTGCTATAGTGGGTGAATACACTAGGAGTTGAAGCTTCTAAGATTCCCATTACAACATCATTCGTCATTCATCAAAGGGGCTTAACATTTTTGGGAGGTGGGGGGGGGGTTCATTTATCATAATTTGTCAATACCAGCAGAGATTGACAAGTGCTAAATTGGCAAATGGTATCAGCTGCTTGATGACAATAGGATTTTGGAAGCAGCTAAAAATTTTGACTGGCTATCAGAATCTTGTCCTGAAATTACTTCTAAAATATTTTTAAAACATAGAATCATTGGTCAAGCAATAGACATCTTGCAATTATAATTCAAACAAAACTATGTGGCAGTTTAATATTTGCCTGAATGAGAACATCTAGCAAATACAATTCAAACATAACGATGGGGCAGTTTAATATTTGCCTGAATGAGAAGATCTTGCAATTACAATTCAAACATAACTATGGGGCAGTTTAATATTTGCCTGAATAAAAACATCTTGCAATTATAATTCAAACATAATTATGGAGCAGCTTCATATTTGCCTGAATGACTATAAATAGGAATAGGAAAAGAAGATTGCAAACTATAAAAACCTGTTGTGATAAGATCATATTCTGGTTTATCAAGAACAGCATTATCAGCTGAAATAATTTTGTTGATTGGATCACCCCTTGGTCTGACTCCAAGCAAAGTGGTGCAACCATTGACATTATCTGCATTATACAAAAGACTGAGAAAACCATATGTGATTCCTCTGTGGGTAACAAATGCCACTTGGTTTTCATTGTAGAATGCAATCTAAAAGGGAGAGAAAAAATGAAAATGATATTGAATATACCTTGCATGGAAGAAGAATCTAGAAATATCTAAGACATTTTCATACCATATTCTTGAAACAAAATATATATGGTTTAAGTTCTTATTTTGAATCCCTTTTCCCAAAATCCAGTTTTATTAGTTGAAATGATATTAGTTGAAATGATCCGAATCCTCCTATATTATGTGTCCTTTTCTTAACAATATTTCAAGCCAGCTCTTATTATTTCAGTCAACTCTGAAGGCTTGTTTCAAGCAAGTTTCATTAATTGACTTCCTAACATATAATTTGCGAAATATGGAAAGCTTAATAGCTCTCTCCATCAATAAACGTTACAAGAAGTCTTGGGAGTATTTCTTAGACAGTTACTCTATTATAATGTGACAAAGATCTTGAAAACAACTGGGGAATTAAACATGCAAATTCATGCAATTCAGCAAACATATTTACAATTTATCGAATAAATGTTAAACAAAAATATATTAATAAAATATAAAAAGTTAAAGATTGATGGATACAAGATGCTCTATCTATAAAACAATTTGTAGTAAAGTTTGACAACCAATTGGGAATCGATTAATCAGTGCCCTGATATAGTTAATGCTACACCTACCTCGTTTTCTGTAGATATGCTTCCTTCTTCCCTCACACTATGTCCTCCCCAGTTTTGGTATAATGCCATGATAGGTTTTATTCGTATACATGTGTTTTGTGGCACTAAGCCTTCTCCCACATTTCAATCTTGTTGTTGATGTGTATCCTTTTGGAGAAACCTCCTATTGAATCAGAGGCTACAATTCTTAGAACTTCAAAGCAAGGGTGCTATAGATTAAGCAGTGGTGCCGTAGAGGGGAGGCTCAGGGGGACTAGGCCCCCTTGTCAAAATTAGGAGGGAATTGAATGGGCTTGCTCCAATTAACGCTGGACCTAGAATAAAAGGACCGTTCTCAAATAGTCGCCGAGCAAACTTTCTAGTTTTGAATCAACGCGCTGCGTATATCTGAACTTGCGCCGCTATTGGCAATCAAGATTGCCGCCTGAATGAAAAAACATCAAGGTGAAATTGCCGCAAGGTGAAGGTAAAGAGGTGAAGCAAAACAGTATAGGCGTTTCAAACGGGAAAAAAAGATTATTCAACTACTAATTCAGCAATTCATCTTTCAAGAATTAAACAGACTTTTATTTTGTGCAGTCGATCTATAAACGCCCGGTCTAAAATAGATCCGAGTATTGAGTGAAATTTTGGAATAAACTCCCTGGCATCTATTCCACTATATTCGTTTTTTTTACTTTTGCCACAGCTAAAACCACTCCCAGGACCAAAAGCTTGAGCCAAAAAATGGTAGACCACACACAGCACCAATAGAAGGCAAGCAAAAGAATCATTGCAAAAATTAAATCGATGCCAATCAATAACACATTTTAATAATGATACACTTAATTATTTCTTTCAAAATACGACTTTTGTTAAAATAATACTTTCAAAGTTAATCTATTCTAACAACGTTCTGAATGTTTTCTAATGGAATTCGTGAAAATGTAAGACATGCCAAGTTAAGATCGTGGAAAATAATGCAGAATTTGAAACTGTGCAATTTGTTGCGTTAATACTGTATTAATTTTTCTTCCAATAAAATATCCCTGCATTATTTTATGTATCACTTTTAACTTTGTTCAAATACTGTTGGGTAGGGGGCGTGGGTGTAGCTCTACCTCTTATAGTAGGGTCATTACTACAATGTGTGGTATGTTATCTTTTAACGAATTTTTGGGCACTGTAATATTTGAATTAGAATTTATGAATCATTTAATTTGCAGAAAAATTATTTAGTATCTCTTGAACAACATCATGAACCATAACCACTTAGACATTATTTGCAAAGATAGCTCTTATGAACTTGCTCTTATTGTGCAATTGTTTGTACATTATATGACACACGATTTTGGTGTATAGAACAAAACGGTTCTGAGGTGCTACTCTGCGTATCACGCATGGCCCGCGCCACTGATCATAAACTAGAGGAGCCAGCAATGTAAAAAAAGTTAACAGGGCGCGGATGTGAGGTCACGGCGCGGATGTGAGGTCAGGGCACGGACCTGAGGTCAGGGCACGGACCTGAGGTCAGGGCGCGAATCTGATGTCACCAGGCAACTGTTAAAACTGTTATATGACACAAACATACTCTAATCATCTGGGGTTCCTAATAATGTTGCTTGGGTACTCTGTAGAATAAAACCAGTCCATGCTATGAAAATACTAAGGGCCTTCAAGGGACTACGTCGTAACCTACAACTATGTCATCTACCAATTTTACATAAGAAAATCTTATTAAATAAATTGAAAAAATGTCATTAGAAGTTAAACATAAGTAGTGAGTCAGTAATCATTCGCAGTTAGTTGTATTGTCCTTGTCAGATGTTGCAGCATACTGTCTTGTATAGTATAGGTCAATTTGATCTTTTCTGTTTCTCAAAAAAGGTCCTTTGTATAGACTGGAAGTGAAACATAACTTGGTCATTATGTCTTTCGGTACTTTGTCAAAATCAAAAGACATTTACTTCAAAAAGTAGAAAACATAACAGCATACGATTCGTCTTTGATTTGTGCATAATTTGTGTAATTTTAACATTATTTTAACAAATATCATTTTCTAACGCTCTGAAAGTCTGAAGTGGCCTAAACAGAGTTATCATTAAAGCTGTTTTTAACAGGGTCATATCCAATTCTAGGAATTGTAAAGTCATTCCTGAATACCTTCAAACAATGTTCTATTTTGATCAGCTCTTTAAACGTTGCTCGGTTGTGATCATTTTCGCTGACTTTCTGCTTCAAAATAGCTTTCGTTGTTCCAGGACCTAGTCCAACTGAGTAGTTGGGAAGTCCATCAATGTGATAAAATTGTGCCTAAAATGAAGAAAAAGCTGCAAATCTCAATTCTTGTCTTAAAGATGAGAAAGAAATTCCTTAAGTGAACAGGATAATCATTAAAAAGTCGGTCGAAGGAGTAAGCAGGGACGCTGGAGAGGAGGGTGTAGTGATTTGTATATTGTAAAATAGGCCATAATCCTGCTCCTTCATCGATCATCCATCACCATCCTAACTCATCCTTAGTCAGCAATTTGATTTGTATGTAAGTCAAGTCAGTTCAGTTCAGTTAAGATCAGAATTATACAGCAATACACTGTCTCTCTCACTGGCTCCGTGTTCTCTGCACGTTAAATAAGAATCGAAGCGAACACCAACGATGGAAAGTCAAAAGATAGAAGATAGGGACCATAGCAATTCTTGCTAAATAATATCGTTCCTATAAGGGCACGGGAGGTCAACCACCCCTGTTGCCATTTGATAGGGAGACAAGGGGAATCAAAATGCTCTTTTAATAGAAATGCCCTTGAAATCGGCCGTTTGTAATTTTCAAATTCTCACCGTCCGGCCTTACTAATGACGGCATTTCTCAAAACTTTCTTTTGCAAAAGATCAGCCGATTTTCAAGATACTCACAGAAGGTCGAAACAAAATGCCAGTGACGAAAGAATTGTCGGTTGCTGGAAATTATTTTTTAAATGCCCTTTTGCTCAAGCCTGCCCCCTTGCCCCTTGGTCGTTCCGGCATCCCTGGGAGTAAGGGATTCACCTATAACTAAACTTCTGTAAACCATTTGGGAGATAAGATTGTACTCTGGATATGCTAATGGTAAAAATAGGTTCCATGGTTATGAGTAGCTATTTGTATAAGAAATTAAAAGTTAAAAAGGTTAGGTACACTTTAGACAAGGTGGCTCAAGTCTATAATTAAACCATAAAGATTTCGTTAAATTTGTGGCATGACAATTTAGATAGTTCGATACTTCAACTTCCATTATTTAGAACGTCAAAACGAAGATCGAGTCAAACTCAATTGAAAAACAAAACAAAAAAGTCAAACTAAAGATATAAAATTGAATGTAAGGAATATTTGGGGCATACCCCAATACCATAGCATTTCACGTGAGTAAGCATGACGTTAGTAAACAACTAATTTATGAATTGAATCAATAAATAGTGCATGATAGTAAGTCAAAGTACCCATTTTTTATTTTAAATGTCCCTCAAGATTCCGTTTCCCCACTATTAAGATGTCCTGCTCGATAAGTTTAGCATTATAAATACGTACCAATTTCCGCATCCCGGAAACGAGGTCTCGTAGTCCGAATTCGAGTTTCATGAATTTATTCGGAGTGACTGCTGATGTTGCCTTATCGATTGAATTCAGTGGCCTTTTCAAAACAGTCAATTGGGAACGCTGACCCTCTCTGATTTGAATATACTGTACTTTGTTTATATGTTTTTGAAGAGACTCCATTGCTTTCTTAAGATTCTTACCACACTGCAAATAAATTATGTAGTTACAGTTTTTATAAAAAGCAAAACTGACGCGCATTCAATACGTTTCCACTTGCAACAGATATTTTTAAAGGATATACAATGGACTTCAGCTATCACGAGCCCAAATTATTACAAACTTCTCGCTGTTACGAACTAAAAGTCTGGTTCCCTCTCCTAGTAAAACGAAGACCTCTGTACAACAAAATTCCGTTATCAAGACCTTTTCTATTGGTCCCTACATTCTTCTTAAAAGCAGGATAAAATGTAGAATCAAATTCTTCAGATATTAAAGAAACATTAAGAAGTTTGTCTTCCTTAAAAAATCTTTTTTTCTACACTGTCTACACTTTAGTACAATTGTTAATCGGAGCCAAGAAATACAATCATCTCGTTTGTTTAGTGCAAAGCTCGGGATCGAGGCTGAGTTTTCACCGCAGTAAAAATTCACGAAACAGAATTGAAAAGTCACGAAACAATGGGATTTAACTCTAACCGTATTTTTTGTAATAACCAACTGCTAGCGCGACATATGGCCTTAAAAGGCTTCAGGTTGGTATTACAATTCGATTCGCAATATTGCCAAAGACCGGGTGAATCTGTATATTAATAGCCCCAAGTGAATGACAAATCAAAAATTGTTTGTGAGAAGAACTGGACATACGGCTTGTACCTTAAGATTCATAAAAAAGCAAGTAACGCACCTTTTCAAAGCAAGCTTTACATAAGGGTAGTAACTGAATTTTGCATCTTAAGCAGTGGTGCAGAGAGGGGGGGGCAGGTGGGGCAATTTGCCCCAGGGCCTCGGCCTGAAAGGGGCCCCCAAATTATTCTGAAAATTTTTTTAAAATATCTTTTTTTGAGAAACTGAAAATGCATTCAAAGATATATTTGTTAATATCGAAAATGATGGCAGTAATTTCTTGGGTCCATACACTGAGTCTTGTTTGAATTTAAGGCCTATCAGCTGTATTTATTGAGTCTGGGGCCCCGAGAAAAGCTGAATAAGCCTCAGATTACATATTGTACGAATTCATATTTTAAGCTGAGTTTCCCTGAGTTTTGCAAAATCGTACTTATTGGTCAAAGGGAGCCCTGATAAAAAATTAGGTAACCCATATAATATGGCCCGTTCAAGTGAGTTATGTTTGCATTTAGACTCGTTGCATAAAGCTATATTATATTTTTGAGGCCCCTTTCAGCAAACTAGCATTAATAAAGAACCGCTTACGTTTAACAATGACTCAAGATAGACTATCGAGCCTCATGACTCTTTCGATCGAGCACGAACTAGCAAGACAAATTGATTACGACAATATCATTGATCAGTTTGCAACTGAAAAGCAAGAAAAATTAACTTTTGAAGGACGAAAGAACTGAAAAGCATAGTTCCGTGGGATTTTTTAAATAGAAGTGCGTAGAAAAAAAGTTTGCTTTCATTTTAAATTTTAATATTGCGTGGCTCACCAGAAAAAAACAGTCAGAATTGAAGGAACACATTTTGAAGCCCTCTTTAATCAGCTAAAAGGGTGTGGTCAAAGAGCGTATTTAAATCGCTTACCTTTAGAATTTATGCTTTTTATTACATTTTATGATATTTTAACCATATTCTATAACGTGTGCAAACGTTTGGAAATAATGGGCGTTTCCCATTTGAAAAAGGGCGTGGTCTCGAAAATTTTTTGTATCCGACTCTAGGGCCCTAACCGGGACTTTGCCCCAGGGCCCAGGCCGCCTCTCGGCGGCCCTGATCTTAAGATGTAAGCATTTTTTACAGGATGGCATTGGAGAAAACAAAAGACAAATTTTTTGATGAGGTGGGGTGGGGTGGGGATAGCAATAGCCTAATTGACACTCCTTTATGTCTGACATTATACACAGATATACACATGTGTGTTTTGGTGGCTTTGTAGTTTTTCACTCCAATCGAAAAAAATTGATATGCATATGCTCTTACCGACTTCCCTGCTCTTTTAAAAAACCAACTCACGCCTCTCTCATGTCTCTACAAAAGAAAATCAGAGTTAACCAATGCATAAAAAGGAATATTTCAGCAACCGCAATGGTGTTTACTTACAAGGGACACTTGGTTTATGGTCTTGCATAGGCGTGTAGTAGCACTTCTGAAAAGAGCCTATTACCAATATGTTTCACATTGCTAGATACATAAAAACCAGTTCAGGTTTTCTCTAGGCTATAAGCCCCAATTAGAGGCACATTCATGCCACATGGTCCCTTATGCATAATGCCCCCTACTGATTATTAATGTACTTTTATGTATACCCTGTCTATAGGTTTGCAGACAGGGTAAGACAAGGTTGTTATACTTTGGTGTATAACCACCTTATGACATACCTTATGATATATCATATAGCATATTTATAAAACTAACACATATGAATTGATTTATTTGCATAGGTTGTCTAAAGCCTCAAATTCTAACGTTTTGCTAATCAATTTGCAAATAAATCATTTAAAAAATTGTCGTTAATACAAATATAATTTCCTAAAATTATTTTGATATGCACAAAATAAACCTAATTTCAAAGATCAAAACTGAAGAAAGGCAATAATGTTTACAAATTTGCTGGCGAGATCTTCTGTGTATGCAGTTAGGCTTTTTGCATCGCTATCCAACGTTTCAAGCGAGTTCCAGAAATTTGCTGCTTCTATTTGATTGCTAATGATGGCTTTCGATAGTATGAAACAATGTCCAAACAGGAGCACTACAGCAAGTCCTAGGGAAAAATCACAAATTTCAACCACTGAAGAAACTCAAAGCATCGTTTCAGTTTTCCTCACTTTTTTATAATTCTTGACATTGTTTATCTGGTCAGTTTTTTGTTTATTCTAAAGTCATGATAAAGGATAAAGGAAGTCTGAATGTTTAGTAGATTTCTTTATAAAATAATATGTTAATATCACCATCGTGCCAGATGAATAAAAGTAGAAAACCAAGTAGAATTGTCATGTTAGAACAAGAGATATATAGCTTTACTTTTATCCATTAGCTTGTCTGAATATACAATAGATAGTGACAAGACAGAAAAATGGCTAGGCAAAAATCACACCAGATGATTTGCATTGCTTACCCTTCATTTTATTCCTTTTAACAGCTTTCTCTCGTTATCAATCTCTTTCTGGAAAGTGTCTTTGCCACTTGAGATTGCTCTTCTGATTTCTATCATTTTGACTTGTCATGGCGTAATTTATAGCTAAAAGTCTTTGGGAAAACCAGAATGAACTCGCATCGAAAGTGATTACTTCTAGTTAAATTTGTCTGTAATGGTCATACTGAAAGAATTATTTTCTTAATGGTGTTTTCAATGAGCACAATACCTTTATGCTCGCATGAAGTAATACGGAAAGTTGCTTGCAAATCATCCATGAACATTTTTGGATGAAAACAAAGGGATTCTAAGAATTAGAGAACCACACTGAGGCCATCATCAGGGTCTTTATTTACAAAACAATAAGATTTCTCGAAAACAAAAACATTAATTTTACTTTTAGTCAACAAGATGAGGAATCAACCCTTCAGTAAGTCCCTTTTGAGCTATCAGATTCTACAGAGAGGCAACCACGGAGGGGAAAATAGATTTTAGGCAGCAGCTGCTTAGTTTTCGTTCGTAACTGAATCAAACCCTTGCATTACAAAACATCAAAGCAGAGGTTCTACGTTTAGAGAGCGAGCTCTGTCTCTATTGGTACCTTGTCCTGGGCATCTCCAAGAGTTGGATCACTCCCTAAAAATCTCGTACACCTTTCACAAATTACCAAAAAAATATCTTTAAAATCTCTTAATGATTGCCGAAATCTCAAAATATTTAAAATAAATCATGAAATCTAAGAAATCTTATCAAAAACTCAAAATCGTTAAAAAATTTTGAAATCTTAAAAATAAATCTTTAAAAATTTAAAAATAAAAATTTGTTGGCAGTGGCTGAAAATTTATACCAAATCCTGGAATATTCCAAGCTTATTTGAAACGAATCCTCGACAAAAAGCTTTGCGGTTTATAAATCAATATCACTTAACGTGAGAAAAGCGTTCACATCAAGTACCCCCTGAAGCACCCCTGCCTATGCTCGCCTGCTCAAAAATAGCCAGCCTCGATCTGGCTCTAAAATTTGATGTGACGTCAGAAAATTGATGACGTCATAAAAACATATTTTCAGATTTTTGAATATTGTTCATTACTCCCAAAAAAGCATAAATGTAGAAAATCAGCTGAATCTGTTACAAATTGGCTGAGACATGGCCAGACACAGCGCAGCCATTGGGCTTGCAGGGGCTATAGGCCCCCCCTCCCACTTATTTGCAATAATAGGTTAAAAATTATTAGAAAGTTTACTCTAATGAATTTTAGAAAGTTAACTCTAACGGATCCAAAGTAGTAACAGTTCGTCTTGACTAAGAACCCATTTTTGCTCATTTCCTTGGTGTGTTATCTTGCTAAGTCTCTGAATTTTACTGTTAATTAAAAATAAGTGGAATGAAGCAAGTATTTTCTAAAAGGGACATTTTCCAGCGTTCTAAAGGGCGTAGCCTAAAAGATTCTTGGTCATGCCTTTTTCAGCCCATCCACTTTTGGGATGGTGCGCGGTGCCTGGACATGGCCATATCAGCACAGGTTCTTCCCATCAAACCTAAATAACTTTATGAACCAAGCCAGAATAATAGTAATCCGCTGCAAACTTGAAATCTTTCACTGGCCGTATCGTGGCCAATTTTGAACATAATTTTGCATGTTGAGAGGTATTTGTGCGGCTCTTGATAAAGAAGTTCAAAAAATAGATTTTTGATATCAGCAACAAATCTTCAAACACCAACATAAAAAAATTCTTTTTCCAACATCAAGTTTTGAATCGCCTTAATTAAACTATGACGGTAACCACTTTAAAGCAGCAATTTCATCTTTGCCAGAAATTCGTTCTTGTTTGGTGTACACGTTCCAAAAAATATATTGCATAAAGAACAAACTTTTTGCTGTGCACTGTTCGGTAGCAAACTATCATCTGAAAATCATAGTTATCATAGTCAATTTCCTAAATCACAGAATTTTCATTAAAAAGCCCAAAATCTTTGAGATCTTGCTTTTAACAATGAAATGTTAGATTTTAAAAATCCCAAAATCTTTAAGTTCCCTTGAAATCTCTGTAGACATTCTGAGCCTCTCTAGGTTGACGTTACATCATACTTTTGTTCCTAAATAAATTTGAAAAAGCTGTTTTGTCAAAAATAGCTACTGTGTGTTAGTTTTACTGCTATTTATATATATGACGTAGAGCTACAATCGATAAACTTTGGAAAGTATTCTTCGTATTACTTGTTCTTATCGCAAAATGAGCAATATTATATTGAAACTTCACACGTTAATCAAGAAGAATAAAATATCATCAAAATAATTACATTATTATGTCAGAGATAGTTAAATTTTTTACATTATTAATTGTAGGTTCAAATTACAGGCAGTTTTTATAACAAACAGCATGCAAAAAGAAGACTAAAAATTAAGAAACTGTATTACTGATCATTCTAGCGTTACGTTACGCTAAGCTAGGTTACGTTACGTTACGTTGTCTTATGTTATGCTATGCTACGCTACCCTATGTTATGTTATTTTATGTTACGTTATGCTATGTTATGTCATTCTGTGCAATATTATCATGTGTTATGCACTATGTTGTGTTATGCATTATGTTATGCTATGCTATGTTACGTTATGCCATGTTATGCCATGTTATGTTATGTTATGTTTTGCTATGCTGTGTTACGGTATGCCATGTTATGTTATGTTTTGTTTTGCTATGCTATGTTACGTTATGCCATGTTATGTTATGTTTTGTTTTGCTTTGTTATATTATGCTTTGTTATATTATGCTTTGTTATATTATGCTATGTTATTTTATATTTTTGTGTTATGTTATATAATTTTAAGTTGATGTAGTTGTTTTATGTTCGTCGATAATTATTGTTATTGTTGCTTTTGTTTCAGTTTTACTTATCTGATCTTAATCACTTTAGTAATTTAGAAAACTTTGAGAAACTCATATTACTAAATTAAACAAATAAATTTAAAGACTGAAGAATTATTCCGCGTTTAGTTTCTTGAACAACGAGTGTGGTTTTATTTAAAAAGTCAATATACCAACCAGCATTTTCTTGTTTTTGTTCTCAAGTTTGTTTTTTATAAAGCTTTTAAAAATTCTAACCAAGGTGAAAAAAACATTGAAAGTCTGAATATTTTGAAGGTGCGCAGAAGAATTTGTTTTAGCCGTGGCATACAAAAAGACTAACATTGAATAGAGTTCGTAAAGGTGGGGCTAAAAGGGAGTGGTCCTAAGTAAGGCTTTTACGGTATGTTCTTCGCTAACAACTAGAAATCTTAGCAGTGTGGGAGAAAATGGCCGGTGATCAAAAGGCCACTGCGAGGAGATCTGTCCACATTCAAGGGCAAACAGAGTGGCAATGTGTTTATGACATAATTCAAATAGTAGTTTATTTACATATTATTTAATGTCCGCAACGCCCTATTTCCTCGACGCCCCACTTGTTCTTGACGCTCTGGAACCCAGGGTAAAGAGCACTTGAAATCAGGAATTTAGGATCCGCTGGCAGCGCATATATTCAGTAATACACCGCTGACATAAGGAGCATGAATGTCAGATACACAGAGTTCAAATTTAAATTTTCATTCACAGCATCAATTACAAAGTACATGCAAGAAAAGTTTTGCCGTTACGCTAAAAGAAAATAGATAACAGAGATACAAGTAAACAATGTGAAGGTAACAGCGTAGGGCATGCGAAAAAAGTCACAAAAGCAATCTAGTCGCGTGCCTTATTTGTCATGAATTAGTGCATTGAAAAAGGAAAATTGAATCTTAATTATTATTAAAGAAATGTTAGATTGGAATAAAACTTTAGAATGGAATAAAATTAAGCATAATTACTATTTAAAAAGAACAAATAGATCAAGAATTATCAAAAATACAAAACAAAAACAATAAGGCGAAAGTTTTGAAAAATTATGAATAATTGAAATGGCAAAAGTAACGTTTTTATACTTTTGTGAATAACGTTTTCGTTTCAATTTGTTTATATTCAAAAGGCAAATCATTCCAAGTTTTGGAGCTTAGAAAAAATTCTTATTTTCTTCTGTATTAAGTTGGGTCTGATTGAAGTGAGAAATAATTGTTTGTAGAATGTCTGGTATGATAATCTTGAAGGGAAGTATACTTTCCCAAAGTCTATTTGGTCTCCTTCGCAGTTTAGAAATGCCCTTGCAGTAGTTCGAATGCCTTACTAGAAGGGAAGAGGCTTTGGCGAAATGTTTATCAAGCAAATCACAATACCTTTCGTGATGAATATCAAACGCAAACTTACATACTTCGAGTTTGTAAAGCTTATAATTTATTAACGAGTATCAGTGCCGTCGGAACGAAATATATATTGGGAGGTTGCCCATTTTATTGCTTCCCATTAAGTACACTGCTCCAGCAACCCCCCCCCCCCCACTTCCGACGGCTTTTAGTTATATTCTTAACTTTATGGTCTTGATTGTGGTGTGTGACGCAAACACATCAGAGGCTACATTTTCTCCATTGCTAAGGTAATAGTGAAGCAGAACTTTGAAACAAAAAATCTGAGAAAAATAGCAATTTGCTATATCAATTTTAAGATTCCAATTTAGACCTTTTCTTCATTCCAGTTATTGAGCTGACATTGTAAATATTCGCTCTTTTGTAACATTATGATTGCCTATCCATTATTCAGTCACATGATTTTTTTTTACAAAAATTTTTCAAATTCTACTGAATTTTGATACAAACTTTTTATAATAAAATAAAATAAAATAATATAAAGTTTTAAGAATCTTAAGACCCCACAGCTAGAGGGACACAGTATTCTGGTTTCTCAGTTTCTTCATCTTCAACTTGCTGTGGAATTTTGCTTTCCACCATCCTCATATTTTCACCAGCTCCAGGCTGAATTTCACCTTGATTTTCAGCATTCCCGGCTGCTGAAAGTCTCTTTAAGAGTCGCTTGAAGATACCATATCGATATTCCAGGACCCCAACAACTAAAATGGAATTACATCAAGTAAAACCAGTGCCGTCGGAACGAAATTCATATTGAGGGGGGGGGGGCTGCGTATTGTTTTCCTTCTCATTCAGTACACTGTTTTATAGGAAACATACTACAGGTTGACAATTATTGGGAGGGCTCCAGCCCCCCCCCCCAGCCCCCAGGTTCCGACGGGCCTGCCATCCCCACTCATCCATCAAAAGGGTCACTTATTCTAGCAAAGTGTAGCTAGGGATAGTCTGATGAAATCTAAATTTGGGGGAAGGCGCCAGGGAAGTTCATATTACAAACCCCTTACAAAATATTTGTTATTTAATTTTCTTTCCTTTGAGGAACAAGAGAAGGCATGGCCTCCCTGCCCGTTGCTTCCTCTCTTTATAGTCCAGGAGCTTAGAATATCAACCACTGCTAAAGTCACAAATATGCAAAATGCTTGCAAAACCTGAATGAAGCAAAGAAAATGCAAGTGTTGTATTTGGGTTAGAGAGTTTTGGGACAGTGAGTTCTGGAACGTGGGTTTTGGGACAGCGAGTTTGGGACAAAATGGAGGAATCAAACTCCTTCAAAACGGATTAGACGAAATAAAAACACCGTAACGATTTAATAAATTAGGTGTCTAGCAAAAATAACACAAACAAACAAACAAACAGTTCAATATCGAATCCTTTTAACTGAAGGGGCGAGGGCTGAAAAACTTTCTAAACAATAACACCTTTTTAGCACAACAAAAAAAACTTGTATGGAAACGGTAAAGAGGACATCTGAAAATTCAACAAATCTTTATGAAAAGAAGCTAAAACCATAAGGATAAAACAAATAGAACTCAATTTACCGATTAATAAAATTGCTGAACCAACTGTTCCACCGATTATGGCTCCGAAATCAATGTTACTGCTTTTGCTGTCTGCTGGAAATTAGAGTATACGGATTCAGTCGCATTAGAAACTGCACAATCAAGGAAAGTGACACTTTACCGGACATCCTCTAGGCCACACTAATAACAAGTAAACTGTATCATCAAGGAATCTGATAGTGGAAATATTTCAACTAAATATCTGAAAGTAACTAAAAGCTGCTTGATTGTTGGAACAGGCATTTAAAACTGCTAGAACATTAGTGCAGTATTATTTTGTAATAATGACGTCAACAGTAACAGACAGAAATCTTGGCTGAGGAAAGTGTATAGCTCTGGTGATGCGTGATTCTGTACAAGGTCAGTTTGAGGTGCGAATCTGCATTGGGGATTCGATCAAAAGTTACAAATATTTCATTACTTACCAATACTGCTATTTGTACCAGGAAGTGAGTGTTTATTTACGCAGCACTGATCTTTGCAACCTGGGAACCCAATGTCGCAGTATTCCTTGCAATCCCACAGTTGACCGTCGTAAAGGAATTTCTTCTCGACAGTTTTGCATCCAGGTCTTCCTTCTGTGAATAACACCATTATGGCCGCGATGATGACAAATGTCAGGACGGCCATTTTGATTTGTTACTGAATGGTTCTTTGTCAACTAAACATTGAAGTACTTCCAACGGCAGTTTGTGGGCACAGCCTAACATCAACTTCAATTAATTTAGAAAAAAGGAGAAAATTGATAACTTTTGCTCGTTTATTTTTTTTACTGCGCAGTCACCGACACAAAACTGGTTACTGTACTGTAGTCGAAGCTAGAGGCTAAAGCATAAATGCCTCTCTGACTTTCTGAATAGGCGTCACATCTGATTGGCTGCGAAAAGAATCGCCACAGCGGGTGCCTAGCGCAAAAAGGACGAGAAAAAGCTATCCGGGAAAAACCCTTTGACCCGAAATTTCGCAAGACTTTTTCTCACTGAATATTGGGCCTACCTTTGAAGTGGATCATTGAGTATGAGAAAAATGGACTTCGGCACATGACAAATTATGGGGAAACATACAGGTAAATCTTGTGGAGGGGGGGGGAGCTGGTGCGACTGATAATTTCGGAAGACATGGTCAAACCAGTCAGTTGCCTCGGGCCCCGAACTGAGAGTGAGAGGGCCCCAAAAAGTTACAGCAAAGTTCCTAAAAGTAACAGCAATAACATCCACAATTTTAATGATGTCATCACAGGCCCATCTTTCTTTTTGCCATGAGCGTAGTCAAGACGTTTCTATCACCTTCCCCGCCGCAACTATTGAAAGTAGCTAGGGAAAGGACTTGTTACTCTAAATAAGTTGGGGACAATGCTGCAAGTTAATCATACAAATCTTATCAAGCCCAGGCATGAAAAGGAAACAAGTGCCCCTTGAATGTTGTGGGTGGGACATTAGCTTTGATTAAGCAGTAAACAAATTGAGTTGCAGCTGGGCAACCCCATAATCCCACAAGGGACATTTCGGGGGTTCGTTTGTAAACAGGTGGTAGTGACTATTCCTTTTCTCCTTTTCTTACTTTTCCTCCACGGAAATTCATAATGGGGGATTGGAGGCTGCACATTATATATTTTCATTCAGTACACTGTTATAAAGGAATTAAACTAAAGTTTAACAATTAATGGGGGCTCCTGGACTCAGAGAGCGTGCGTAATATTGGCTTCGTTCCATGCGCACGCTCTTTGAATCTAGGAAGGATGTCGTTCTCTCAAAAGAATGTTAGGCAACTAGCAACATGATTGGCTGGGACTTCTTCAGTTCACCGCACTTCCGGTCACCACTTCATATATCAAGGGAAGCGTATCTGCCTTCTGCCTTCTTCCGGAGAGTAATGCAATCGAAGTGGGGAAACGTTCAACTATATAAAATAATAATTCTTTTGGCCGTGGCTGTAAGCCACGGCTATGAAGCCTGTGATTTGAAGGAGTCAAACAGCACATTCCTATACATAGGAGTAGAGTGGGCATGCAATAAGTATTGCCCCAAAATACGCGGATGCCTAAAGCAATGTTGTCGTAAGTTTTTTCATTTTTTTCAATCATTCGCTCTTAGCTAGCATTTTGAGAGCTCATGGATCCCGCGTGATCAAAAGTTAACAATTATTTTCTGAGTAGCAGGTTGTTAGTATAAGCAAGATATCTTCGTGCCAGGTGTATTTTTATACCTGTAGGAGAGTGTAAGTGCTGAGGCGCAAATCACTCTATGGAAATCTCATACACCTTTGGTGGAAATCCTTTTGTTTTATCTAAAATCCCTGGAAATCCTATTGTTTTCGTGGAAATCTCGTACGCTATTTGTGAGAGGGAATAACTGCTACAGCGACAGCTACAGATTGAGTTTGCTTTTCGAAGTTATGTTTTCACTTTATAAAATTTCTTCACCTCTGGTCTTCCCCGACTATGATTCACCGGCCTCGCTGCGTATCGAAAGCCTTTCGTCCTTATCTTACCCCGCCTCCTATTTATTTTGCCTTATTCTTGAGGATGGAAACATAGTTTCTGACCATGATTTACACGTTTGATAATGTAGGCAAATATTGCTTGGTGTGACAACCCAGGTAATGACAATTTCCTCTATTTGTAAAATCTGCACGCAGGCTACGTGTTGGGTACGTGTTGGACTTTGCTCGAATTTTCGCTTCCTTAAGGAGGGGAATTCCCAGCAGCATATAAACAAAACACCAGACCAAGTTGTACCTATTGTTGCTAGAGTGGTTACTTCTTTTACCTTTCAGCAAAGACAACAAAGGCCAATTCAACCGCAGAAACAAAATTGCCAGGTCCACGACAGGACCTAGCAGTATCGGATCCGGACACAGACAGAGAAGTCATGGTTCCACAAAAGGACCCAGTAGTGTTGGATCGCGCAGTGTCGTGCTTAGAAAAAGCCCGACTACCGGAACTTTGGCGACGGAAGAAGCAGCAATTACTTGGGATTAATTGGCACCATCGTAGGCGTCGGCCTTATCGGTTATGGTACAGCTTTAAACATTTACAAATCTCTTAACAAACGCCTAGCCAAAAAACTAGAGAATCCTGATGGGATAATACGATTGACCATGTGTCATACACCCCAAGGAGTTTTTAACTGTATTTACTAAACACATCACAGGTCCCCTATGATCAGGGAACGCTCTCCAACATATGACATATAACAAGACAAAATCTCTATCCGGATTAGCTATGTTTAAAACCAGGTTTTGACTGTTACTATTAATAAAGCATGAAAAATCCATGTTATTTAGTTACCTTTAAAACGTTTATGGAGAAGCTTACAGCGAAACGTCAACCAAGTTGTTTTTTTATTGAGTATCTATTTATATTTTAAAAAACTTTAAGAGTAAGGAGCTATTGAATATATATTTATAGAAATAATATAATTATTTAGTTGATCTGAAGACGACCAGGTAACGGTCAAAACATGTTAGCATAGCGCTGAAAATGAAAAGAGCGCAAAAACTCAATTCGAAGACTAGTTCTTCAAAGTGTATCTGCCTTCTTCTACTTGTTCACTTTAAATAAAATAGTTAAATTATATTTAATATTTAATATAATATTAATATTTATAATATAATATAATATAATATTTAAGTTATAAGTTGTATTGTATAATAAGAAATTTGCTTATCTTTTTCTAACTTATTCAGAGAAACATAAGTATAATTTTACACAATTTTTATTAACAGTGGTGTTCCAGTTAAGCCGGCGTTATATTAGAAACTTGCGTCGGCCAACAAGTTCGTTGCAGCCAGCTGGAGTTCCAACTGAAACGATCGTGCCCCTCATAAATGGGGACGAACAGATTGCTGAAAATCAGCTCCCTGATCGTATCAATGACGGGGATGGAGAGATTGCTGAAAATCAGCTCCCTGATCATATCAATGATGGGGATGGAGGATTGCTGAAAATCAGCTCCCTGATCGTATCAATGACGGGGATGGAGAGATTGCTGAAAATCAGCTCCCTGATCATATCAATGATGGGGATGGAGAGATTGCTGAAAATCAGCTCCCTGATCGTATCAATGACGGGGATGGAGAGATTGCTGAAAATCAGCTCCCTGATCATATCAATGATGGGGATGGAGGAGTAGTGCCTCCAGAACAAAACAAGTACGAGGATGGAGTAGTTATGCCCATCCAAGAAGAAGAAGGCCCAGCGCCCTGCAAGTCCACAGACCCTATCCAAGGGAAGAGTCAAGTGGCTCAAGAAAACGTTGACATTAGAACTACTACAGTGTAGATTTCGAAAAAATGTACTTCTTGATCATTTTTGTTTGTTTTTATAGTCTTTCCTCTGCCAGTTTCTCAAATATTGTTATTTTGCACACTTTTTGCTCGAAAAAGAAAATACATCTTTTGAAGGATGACAAATGGTAGAAATATTCATGAATTCAGGATCAAGATTCAAGACGACCTGGTTATAAACAGCAAATGATTTATCAGAGAATTTATTCACACTATCAATTTATTTATGGAAATCAAAATGGGAGGGGCTAGTGGGTAGAGGGCTAGAGGGCTAGAGGAGAGGGACATGTGCCATACCTGAGTCCTTCGTCAAAGTAAGTTAAAATTTTACAAATGATTGAATTACCAATATATTTACAAGAAACATTAACAGGCCTTTGCTAGAAATAACTATTTGGAAAACGAGAATGCCAACAGTTACATACGTCTTGGAATTGGAATATCTTCTCCATTGATGTTGTCCTGTTTACTTTTAAATGATACTGTGTGATTCTGACGTCACGAGCAAGCTCGGTATACGATTTTCATTTAGCCAAATATTTAACTTGAAGAATTGGAGATACCAAAAAGCCGAACTGTGCCTGCATCCCGATCGTGCTTGTCCTGTAATAAAAAAGAGAATTGAGAAAAGGGTCAGCTAAAGACACCAAAACATGTACACCCTTGAACAATTTTATTAGAACACAAGCCCTAGTGAAAAGTTAAGAGCAAATAAAGAACAAGCCGAGGCTGAGTTACCGTAAAATGTAATTTTGGTCAATGCTTAGAAACTCCCTTAAAAATTTCATCTTAAAAACGAGGAGTTCTTTGTTACTGGTTCTTATAAAAATTGATTGTAAAATTACTCACATATTATATGCATTAAACGTAGAAAATATAAAGAAGTTTGAAAATACATCCTACGTTGTTAATTCTTTCAAGATTTTTAATATCATTCCCTTCTACAGGTGAGAAAAGAACAAGCAAAAAATCACTCGAAATTGTGTAAAAAATTTTTGATCAGGACTTTGCGAAATGATCACAGTAAACTTTTCTTGCCGAGTTTTTTGATTTTCAAATGATGCAACCTTGCGTGCAGAATAACTGCAGTGTATTTCGAAGCGGAAATATGAATACCAAAAATCCGAGGCAGGAAGGGGAACTACAGGCTCGTAACAAACATTCCTTCTCCTTTAGAACTTATTTTGCCTTTCAAAAGAGAAGAAGACATGGCCTCCCAGCCCCCCTCGCCACAGGCCCTGGAGTATCTTTCAGAACTCACACTCAACTCGAGTACAACAGTTTTTTATAAATACTTAAATCACTAGATAACAGCAAAATTTTCCAACAGAGTATCTTCATGACATTTTAACTTTTTAAGGAGTCTGAAGCAGCGAGTGCAGGATTTGGGCTATGTCCACACTGGAAGAGGGATTTAAGCAACTGGGATTGGGATGAACCTTTTTCTAAACTTCTGAATTTGAAGCCACGCTGTGAAAGAGGTTCACACAAGTCTTTGGTCTGTGACGCAGGCTGAGCTTATTCAGTGGCTGAACCACCTACTATTTCCATGGAAAATCCAAACAAAGGCGGCATTCACACACAAAATAGAGATTAATCTTTATTCTGTGATCCACCCCATTGTTACATTCAAGTTTCGAAATGGGCAACAGGATTTCCCCCTGGCCTACAGCAACTTTGGGGAATCTTCGTTAATAGGAAGAAAGTGGTGGTACACTCTGGAAAGGCTTTCAACATTTTTACAGGCGTACAGACCGATATTGAAGAAAATTGTATCACAATGTTTCACAATACGAGCAAAAAAATTTTCATCGATGCTTTTAGTAACATGGGCAGTCACAACACAGGGAGAGACAGGCTCCTACACACGAGGGGCAAATCACTAAGAAAATCTCGTACACCTTTAATGAATTCCTATTGTTTTATCTGAGAATCCCCAGAAATCCTTTTCTTTTAGGCAAAATCTCGTACGTTATTTGCAAGAGTGAATCGCCCCTCGCCTACGCAGGTTTAAAAGTAGGAGAGAGAAACAAAGGCAAATAAAAGACTCGTGACATAAGAATTTGCAAAAACTCTTTCGCTAAAAAGTGAGGAGAATGGCCCTACGTCATTTTTGTCAAACCATTGGGTTATCAGAGGTGTGTCTGCAACCACTAAGCCCCTCTTTTACTATTACAAGATACAATTATTTAAGGCAACTTGTCTGACAATAGTCAATAGCAACTGAAAGGGCTTCAAAGAGTTTTTAAGGCGTGGTACGTGGTACACACATCAACGATCTCTGGTAGACTGTAGGTTGTCTGTGAATGTTAAACTGCGCTTGCGCCAAAAGAAAAATTACACCGCAAATGCTAACATGGACGTAGTGGAATGGCCACGAAAAAGTGCTCTAAAGTGTGACGTCACAAACAAATACTTTACAATTTTTTACTTTTACCACATATTCTATTTTTTATAAGAACCAGTAAATTCAAGTTCAGGCTGACTGTTCCTAATTTTCTCGAAAATCACAGGCTGGATTGTTCTTAATTTCTTCCAAAATTAAATAGGTGTAAGCAGTGCGATTGCGCTCTAGAAATGTGTTCAGGCCTCATTTGCCAACAAAGTGAGTGGAACAACCTTCGTTTGCCGATAAGTTTGAATATTCACCGAAAAGCACCCACACACGGCTAAAAATCCTAGTTTTTGAGATCAACGTTGTTCAAAATTTGCATTTTACAGTAGCTCACCCTCAGCTTGTTCTTCATTTTTTTCAACTTTTGACCAATTTTGAGGCTCGTGATCTTATAGAATTGTTCTCAGAAAAAGAAAAGAGTGTAGCCTCAAGGAACACGATGAAATACCTCTAACAATAAAAAATCAGTTAAATATGTTTTAAAGTGGGTGAGGTATGGCCAATGAAAGATTGGATATCTGCTAACGGATCACTGTTATTTTGGCTTCGCTTAAAAAGTTATGAACAGAAACCAAATTACAGTGATTTGATTGGACAAGAGCCTGTGCTTATGTGGCCATATCTCAGCCAATGTTTAACACATTTAGCTGGTTTCAAACATTTAGAGATACTTCGTGATGCTCTTTCACGTTATGTGGTCCAAAATAAAAAAATCTTAAAAAGGGTTTCCTGACGTCATCGCTTTGTAAAACTGAGCTTTTCTTCAGGCAACCGCTGCAAGAGCAAAGAGCTGAATGTTATACGGTGCAATCGGACAGCAACCAGTGGCCTAAGGGAGTCAGCCACTTGGTATATTTCAGTTCGGGGCCCCCTGTTAAAAGCATTTGTATAACATATTGACAGAACATAAAGGGTAATCAACAGACTTTCCACCCTTTTAGATTGATTTATCACACAGGCTTGAGGCCCTTGGTTTTTAAACTTAAGTTAACTTTAGTCCGTTACGCCACTGTCAGCAGCTTATGTTACCACACAACGCTATTGCCACACAAATTGCCAAAAATTGCGCCGTGTGGCAGTAGCCTAGATGACAAAAAAGTGAAACCTTAATCAATAGAAATGTAATTGCTTTGAAGCTTAATTAGAACATGTTCTGTGTGAAGGGCAAGGAGAAAAGGTGATGGTCAGAACATTAATTGCTATGAATAAGTTGTTTTCATGATATGTTAACAATAATCAATATCTGTAACACTTTGTACCAGTGCTGTTTTTAACGACAGAGCGGTCCCAGTATTGATTTTCATGAAAAGAGTTTTAGTGTGTACACGTCTTTACAAAGAGTGAGTAAAACCCTTTTAAATACATTTTAACACCAGGAATTGTCTTTTTTCCTATTAAATGAAGTCAAACTTGCCTGGAAAAAGAGATGGTTTGGTGTGACAAGTGACAACAAGTTAAAAAAACTTTATGTGTAAATGAAATGAGAAAGTAAAATAAGAATTTTTAAGAGTGAATTGGGGGCCAGCCCAGCAGTATAAAGGACGTTGGAAATTTTACACTCAAAATTGGTATAGTTGGAATAAAATTTAGCTTATATCTCGAAAATTGATTGAATCGAAAATGTACAAATGTACCGTATAGGGTGAAGCACACTTTTTTGGGCTAATGCGGACAAAAAGTGCTATAAAAAAGATTATAAAGATAATTACTTTATCATCACATGCAAAGGCAAGCAAGTACTTGTTTGGATGCCAGGCTACTGTAAACGTCGGAGCCAAACAGTGAACTTCGGCGATTCTTTCTCCTGTGTCCACCATCGCCTGTATAGTGACAACATAAAGGAAAAAACAAACATTAAGCCCTGGCAAAACGACTAAACATTTCACTAAACATTTAATTCAACTTGTGTTTAGTGAAATTGATCGAAGTTTAGCGAGGGTGGCAAAACGTGACTAAACTTTTCACTAAACTTCACTCAACTTGTTTAAACTGCGAGCTGTCTATGACGCTGTTGGGTTGTAGGGGATCTTGCATAGGAATTTGCTTTTGGTTTATTTTGTTGCATGCACAAGCAGTGGATAAGAATTGGATGAAGCGACGAGGAAAGAAAAGACTTTTTAGCACATTAACAACAAAGTTGACTGTTGAAGAAGACATAGTAGCGTACAACGAGATATGCAGATGTCTCATAAAGGCTTTTTGGGTCACGTAGAGACAGGAAAACCAACGAGAACAGACGAAAACCTTTGGATTTCCACAACTAGGGTGGCAAAACGACTAAACTTTTCACTAAACTTTTGACTAAACAAAAGTTGAGTGAAATGTTTAGTGAAATGCTTAGTGAAATTACATAAAACATAAACAGGTGCATTGGACATCAGATTTGAATACATTGTCGATAAAACTACATTGTCGGTAAAAAGGCGTGTCCCCCGTGAGCACGGTTATGTAGGCTTTAGAGCAGTATTAAAGGGTTTCATATAAAGCCGATCAATGTTTGTTTATCAGACACAACTTTATGGAACCCGTTCTCCATACAAAAAGTCCATGAAAAACACGAATGTAATATATATTTATCTCTGATAAAACTAAAATATTTCCGACAGGATGATGTCAGGTTTGACGCTGAACCCCTCTACCCCCTTTTACACCTTAGGGGTGTGTCGTGGTGGGCTAAGCCCCCTAATGAAAATTCAGAGAGATTTTGGGGGCTCAGCTCCCTTACCAACTAAATATAAACGTACGAAGGTACAGCTCAAAAGTATGGGGTACATGTAGCCAAAAAAGGGACACCTCTGTGAGTAGGGGGGGGGGGTACGTTTTCCCTGTACTTCCCCGGTTCTTAAGTCCATTGAACTAAAATAAGTCGAGTAAGTTATGTATATTTGATGGCAAAACTTAATGGCAAAACAGATGTTGCTATGGTTTGGTTTATTTCAGAGATAAACGGAGCAAAGCTACTCACAATGTCAATAAACAAATCTTCTGAAGCAGACGCAAGCATTTGTCCATCATAACTAAATCCGAGTTGCCGCACCGGCCAACTAGAATGATGAAATTTATATCTATAAATTCTTTTAAATTCATAAAAAACCAAATTAAATCATGTAAATGTTAATCATCAAAGCTTATTAGATCATATGAAATATCATATAAATATATGTGATATATAGGTATTTATAAATAATGTGATATATAAGTATCTATAAGTAAGTAAACTTGAGTATCATATAAGCATTTCTAATTTAGAGGTAGATCAGAGACCTCCACTGAAGGGAGACTTCGCTGCCACGAATTGCCTGTCACTTTCGCTGCCACGAATTGCCGCGGAGGGTTCTCGGAGGGATCATCCTCCCTTGTAAAAATTAAGAGAGATTTGGAGGGGGTTCAGTGTATGTTTGGTTGGGCAAATTCCTTATGCCTGTTATATTGGATCACTATGTACATTTGCTTTCAGGGGAAAAGGTAGAAGGGAAGAGGCTGAATTAATGATTGACTAGTAAACGCGAAAGCCAAAGGGCCCTCTTTTTCAATCTTCTCTCTGATAAGCTGCACCTGTTTTTGTGCCATTTCTGGTATTGTAATTGTAATTTATGCATTGAAAAAACTCTGATGAAGAAAGTAGACATTCCCTAAGGCTACTCAAACTGGTAGGGCACAAACAGATTGTATGGCAGCATCCTTGTTCCCAGGCCCCGCATCTACGGTTCCCTCCATTATCTTTTAATAAGGCGCTACCTCAATTTTCAACACAAACTAAGTTAAGGTCATTTTTCTTAAACTGTTATAAATGTCAGTTCAAAAAAATCTGAATATAGCGAATCTAAAGAAGTACTTGTCTTGTAGAAAACATGTACAAGAACGAACGAACGATAAATGGTAGAAGGTGCGTTTAACTCTTATTACAAACATGTCCTATTTACACATATGAATTTGAATTAACAGGAAGAAGAGTATCGGCTGTTGCAATACAGTTTCATCTTTATACAGTCTTCAATACAGTCATACAGTCTTCAATACAGTCTCATTTGTTCAGCTTTATATTTTTAATACGACATGTAAGTGTAGTTTTTATTAGGACTAAAACGCATGAAGATTTCTTTGGCCCGGTTGGGAAATTTTTGAGAAACTTAAGTCTTCGTGCTACACACACACACCGCCTTTTCGATGAAGTGCCCAGAAACAAATTGGCGGGAAATCATTACTCCTTCGAGTTTCTTTTTACTTGGATAAAGCACGGAGCAAAAACGGCTTAGAAAAAGCGAATAAAGCCGCAGAAAATCTGATCAGACGACAAAAGAAATAAGAGCGACAAGAAGCATTCAAAGTTTACGGATAAAAATTGGTCTTGCGCAATCATATTAAATTCTGTGGTCAAACGTTGAAGTCCCAGAATTTCTGTCAAAGGGGAATCCCAAAGTAAACGGAAAATTCCAATGAAGATTGAAATCGCTCACAAGACGTTAGAGGACGTCGCTTTAAATTATTGCTGACGAATGGATTTTCATTTTTTCATTTGCTTGGACTCTTCCAAGTCCTTTAACAAAAAGGATTCTTCATGTTTTCATATCCTTGTGAAACAGATTTGACTTTAAACACTTCATAAAATTACGTGTCTTGTAACTTTTTATGTCCTACTTCATCTGTTTTGGTTGGGTTTAAAAAAACCGGTAAAAGGTGTTCGTGATTTACAGAAAAAACCCGACGGGAACACAATATCTTCCGGGGAGGGGCAGTACACTCTTGGAAACAGCGCACGAGATTCTCACGAAAACAAAAGGATTGTCGGGGATTTTCAGATTAAACAATAGGATTTCCACCGAGGCATACGAGATTTCCAAAGAGTGACTTGCCCCTTCAGGGCCTACGCCACGAATTTGAAAGTGGGGGGCCGCGGCTAGCAAAAGTAGGGGGCCAAGGCTAGCAAAAGTAG